CAGTTATAAAAGATGGCAAATATATTTCGACACGCCCCCATAATGCTTGTAGGTAGAAATGTAGTTACGCATGCAAAAGAATAACAAGCAACAGCAGGTACTGCAGGCGGGCTAACATTGAATAGTTACCCCCTCCATCTCCTCACCCTCCTCCTTCCCCTCCCCCACACTGCTGCAGGAGCAGCAGAGAAGGGGGGAAGAGAGGAGAGGTGGAGGGACGGCTGCATGTTGCCTCACACCCGCCACCCGGTACCACTCCCCCTGCTCCCCCACATCCTCACACCCTCCCCCCCAGCGGCAGCTGCAGCGGTGGGACTGAAAGAAGGAGGAGGGGAAGGGAGAGAGTTGACCCAACACTCCAACACCCGCCACCCCCATACCCTCCTCCCCACGGCTGTAGGGAGACAAAGGAGGAGGGGGGTGTGGCGGGAAGAAAGCCGCCAGAGCGGCCTAAACGGTGTCGGCGCAGATGGATCAGGGGCGGCTTCAGGGAGAGAGCAGGGGCGGAAAGGCCCATCGCGTGCCAGTGCCACGGGGTGCACGACGGGTAAGATAAGAGAAAGGGCCCGATCGTGTGCCTCGGGGCGCACGACGAGCAGGGCACCATCGTGTGCCACGGGGCGCGCGACGGGTAGAAAAGGCGTCACACGCCAACCGGGGGCGGGACAAGGAAAAATTCGTCACGCGCCCTAGGCGCGCGACCGGAAAATCGTAGCAGCGGAAACGTGAGGCCAGAACGAACGTCGCTCTGATAACATGTTGAGAGATCAAGGTGAACGAACGAGTAGATTAAGCTAGGGCCTAGGCTTAGTAGTCTAGGCCCAACTAGAGTGTCGAGCAGGTTTGTCCTAGGCGAGGTATCGAGTGAGTTGGAAGAGAGAAAATTGGGAGAATGAATTTCACTATAGGTTTCAGAAACATATAGCATAGGAAACAAAGTTGGTGCACCACCTACAAATCACAATAACTACACTACAACTACAAGCGGTTATAAAAGATGGCAAATATATTTCGACAGGGACCTCATCACCTGAAGGGAGTCGATCGAACATTAGCTGGAGGTCGCCAGGCTGAAGGGCTTCGCCGACGGCACCGTGCCCATTCCGCCCGAGAAGGATGTCGAGCTGCGCGGGGAGTTTCGTTCTACTCACCTGCTCACCTTTATGGTCATCTCGAGGTGCTGCTCGCCGGTGGTGCAACTGATGCTCAGGAGCTGTCGAGAGCGAAAGGGTGGTGGTCAGCAGGCATGGTCGCCTGGCTGCAACACATGGTGAGGCGCGGGAAGTTCGTGCTGAAGTACATCCCGACCACCAAGCAGCCAGCGGACTCCTGACGAAGGCGCTGCATTTTCCGGCTTTCAAACCGGTGCTCTGTCGCCATCTGGCCAAGTTCGTCTGGCTACCGTCGGCGGGCGGCGACGACGAGTGCAGTAGTATGTGCCGTGCCCTTACTGCACGGCTGGTGCCTGGTGACGGCGTGCTGTGTGTGGGGTGCACGCCGTGAGAGTTTTTCTCCATGGAGTAGTGTCGTGTGGGCTGGAGGCCCCAAGGTTGTGACCGCGGCAGGGGGAGCGTAACGGGAATGGAGTGTTGGCCCCGCCCCTCGCTTGGGCAACGCCGACGACTTGGTCGGGTGTACGGGAGAGTAGCAACCGACCATTCATAGGGGAGAGCTTGCTCAAACAGGCTTCGTCGAGCAGCAGGGGACCGCTGTGGTGCTGCTGTCGACCAGGGAGCTCGACAACTGTAACTGACTGGTCTGGGCAACGGGTGTGGGCCGTCAACCAGGAGGGGCAATTCGACCGGGAGGCCTCCGTCGGACCTGCAGCTCGGCCAGGGGGGGGTCTCCGTCCGACCTGCAGCTCGTCCGGGAGCAGTCCGTCGACCTGCAGTTCGTCCTGGAGGTCGACGGAGCAGTTCGTCGACCTGACAAGTGAGCAGCGGTCGACGAGGGAGCTCGACGACAAACGCTGACAGTTCTGGTCGACGGAAGGGGTCCGTCGACTAGGGGGTAGCTTGACGGGAGTTGTGGTCGACCAGGGGCACCTGTTGGTCGACTAGAGGGACTTTGTGGTCGACCAGAGGGAGTGGTGGTCGACCGGAAGCACCTGGTGGTCGACAAGGTTGACTGGGTAATCCGCTCGACGAGTTCGACGGAGGCACGCGAACGTCGTCGAGGTCGCGATGGCGAAGACGATTGCGGGCTGGCTATCTCGACGTTTATGTGACTCGTTAGGCGCAGACAACAGCTGACGGATGCCCAACGAGGCAAGCTCGGGCCAAACATCTGCGCGCACCTGCGAGCGTGCGCACTGCTGTGTTCTACGGGGCAACGCTGGACAGCGCTCTGCTGTAGCGTTGGCACGCCGTCGACCTGCTCTGCTGGCAGGTCACCCTTCTGCAGTGCTGGCCGCGACTCCTCTACGCAACGCTGGCAGACAATCGACCGAGCTGTTCTGGCGGTCGATTAGGCTAGCTGCAGGGTGCTAGGTGCCTCATGTAGTCATTCTGTCATTGCTTGTTCAATCATTTTATAATTCCAACTTTCCTAGTGTAAACTCTTGCCGATTTTCTCCTGTGAATGTGCAAGCACCAAGGAACTAAGCAAAACCACGATCACTCCTAGTAGTTTCGTGCCGGCCTCCGTCGTCTAGCTCACTACCGTTGTAGAGTGTCTCTCCGCACGTGTATGTGTGTGTGTGTGTGTGTGTGTGTGTGTGTGTGTGTGTGTGTGTGTGTGTGTGTGTGTATGTGTGTATGCTGTGTTTTTGTTTTGTTTTAGATTTTGATCATCCCACTTAGAACTGTAGAAACTGCAAATGAGATCCACGTATACACTACATTCGCCTCTTTATCCACAGGAATGGTGTGGGGTTTGATTTCTGACCAGGCGATTGCATTTCCAGATGCTTCCGCCCCTTCCACATAGTCTCGTCGTTTTTCGGGATCGTCTGGGAATTGCGTCAACTTCAATCACAGCAAAGCAATCTACTGGCTGTGAATGCCGTTTCAGATCGGAATCAAGCCATCCTGACTGTCGATTCGTTTAGCTGTGTTTGGAACGAGGGTTTCTTGTTGCCTCACCTTGAGATTATCGCTTGATGAAGGTATCGCAAGCAGGAAGAATGTACCAGCAGATTTGCCACAAACGTTCTGTTGTACAGCAAGCAACAATAGCCAGCATTCCTGCTCAGAGGGACACACAGACATTCAGGCGAACATTGAAAGCCGAGCTTAGTGTTTCAGTTCCACGTAGGCCACCGCTGGAGATTTTGTTTGAATAATCCTCAAGTCGCCGACCAGCATTTTCGACACCACTTTTTTGCAGTGTGATTGGAAAAATTGCGGCACCCGCGGCTGTTGAATATTTTTGGAACTCGCAGTTGGCGCCTTAGTAACGTAAATGGCGGCGTTGGGCCGTCTGAAGAGCCGCTTGCTTACGGTTCTTCAGTAAGCGAGTTGTGAGTCCACTAACAAGAGGGTAACGAAAGAGCGTGCTTGGGTACGATTATTCAGGAAGCGAGGCACGCTTTTGGAGTTCGGCAAGCGTGAATGTTGGCGATTGTAGACTTTGTATGTTCGCCACATCGCGTTAACACTTGAATCCCATTTCCCCGGTTCATAGAAGCTAAAATTTGTACACTTTGTATGGTAGTAGTGACCACCGTCAAACGACCAGATTTGCTTCCCTTCGGAGTGCAGTTACCGTCGTGGCGGCCTTGCAGTAGCGCCGACCGTGCGATAGTGCCGACTGTGCGATACCGCCAATCGTCGGGCCTTCGCAAAGAAACGAGAACAGGCTGTTTCAGGAAAGAAGAAGAAGAAAAAAGTACTACATTACTCTCGAGATGCGCGAGGCGACGACGATTTCAGACTCCAGCGGTGATGGCGAGGCGGGAGGAGAGGGAATGCAGGCAGCAGGCAGGCAGGAAGAAGCCCGTTCTCCACAGGAGCAGACTGATCCGTCTCAAGCCAGTCCCTCTCGTTCACCTGCTCAGCAGCAGCAGCAGCAGCAGCAGCAGCAGCAGCAGCAGCAGCAGCAGCAGCAGCAGCAGCAGCAGCAGCAGCAGCAGCAGCAGCAGCAGCAGCAGCAGCAGCAGCAGCCAGGTTCCACATCAGCAGCAGCGGCAACCAGCTCGGAAGATCCTCCTGAGCCGCAATCCGGACCTGCAGGTGGCCCAGCGTCCGAACCAACAATCGGCTCAGCGACTGAACCTGCAGCTGGCTCGGCATCCAAGCCTCGGGGAGCAAAGAAGCCACACCACCGGAATGTGATAGATCAGAAACTGCAACAGGAAATAGTCGCTCTGAAGCAGGCTCACCCCGTGCTCACCAGCGCGCACATCGCGCGCGCGGTTACTAAGCTGTACGGCGTTCCAGTGAAAGAGTCGCAGGTGGAGATGATTATACTGAGGTCCACTGTAGACCGGAGCGTGCAGAGCGACTGGACGAGGTGGCGGCGTACGCGTTATAAGAACCCGCCGCTGGAGAAGGCGCTGGTAAAATGGGTGCGCGAGAGGAAGCGCGAGGAGGAACGCGATCCGATGAGAGTAATTAAAGGGGTTAAAAAGCAGCTTACGGTCAAGGAGATGCGGGATTATGCGATGAAGTTAGGACCGTCGCATGGCGTGCCTGATGTGTTTAAGTACAGCGATGATTGGATTAAGAAGGTTCTAGAAGAAAACGGGTTGAATAAGAAAGGAGAGGAGATTAGTAGGGCAGGAGGTGAAGGTTCGGGGAATAATGACGGTGGGGGCAGTGGAGCAGGTTTCGGGGAAGGTGGTGCTAACGGGTTGGACGGAGGCGGGAGCCCAGGCTCGGAGAAAACCAGGCTCGGAGAAGCCAGGCTCGGAGAAGCCTAAGCCGAAGCGTCCTTTGGTTCGGAACGAGATCCCGTTTGAGCTCCAGCTTCGGTACGAGATTGCTGTGGTTAAGCGCGCTCGGCCGCACTTAGAGAACAGAGTGATTGCTGCTGCTATCAGGGCTAAGTACGGAGTGGAAATGACCCCGAGGGCAATAAGGAAGATCGGGGAGGAGAGTGATAAGTGGTTTAGGCTGGCTGCAGGAGTGGTCTCAGATCCTGACCAATCACGAATGGAGGAGGCTTTAGCGGAGTGGGTGATTAAAGAGGAGGAGACGGAGAAGAGGGAGGTGACTATAGAGGAGATTATAGCGAAGGCAAAGGAGATTGGGCCGGGGTATAAGGTGCGGCCGAATTTCAAGTATGGCAGGTCATGGGCTACGAGGTTTATGAAGAGGTTCGGGTTGCTGCTGCTGTCGGAGACTAGTACCAAGGATGCTGATAACGAGGATGAGGGAGGGGCGAGAGGAGCGGGAGGAGAGGGAGGCGATGATGGTTATGATGACTGGTTGAGAGAGAATTCGGGGGGCGAGGGGGAGGAGGAGGAGGTGGAGGGGGAGGGGGAGGAGGAGGAGGTGGAGGAGGAGGCCAGGCAGGGAGGTATCAGGCCAGCGAGGGAGGAAGGCAAGGAGTTGATAGGGAGTCTGGGGGAGAGGAGGAAGGGCAGGGGGATGAGGACAGGGAAGGAGAGGAGTGGGGAGGCGAGGAGGAGGCGGGGGAGGAAGAGGGGGATGGCGGCGCAGGGGAGGAGAGGGATGGTGGATTAGTTAGTTTCGTAAATCTGCAGATGCGAACAGCAAATCGTGCTGCCAGGCAGGTGTTATGTGAGTCGGCAGGGGCAGGAGGCGCGGGTACAGTGGCGGGACGGGGTATGGGAAGAGATGGGGGGGGAGGAGATGGAGGGGGCAAAGGAGAAGGGGGCGGAGGCGGGGAGGGGGAGGGAAAAGACGGGGAAGGGGAAAGGGAGAGGGAAAGCGAAGGGGAAGGGGAAGGGGAAGCGGGAGGTGGTGTGAGTAGCCCTGAGCCTGATCAAGGGGATGCAGGAGAAGGGGCTTCTCCAAGGGTAAATAGCCCTTGGTCTGCGGATATTTTGAATGAGCTGTTTGAAGAAGCAGGGGTAGATGGAATCGGCACAGATGGTGATGGTGCAAGGGGAAGAGACGAAGGGGTGACGGGGAAGAAGGGAGGAGGTGAGGGAACAGAGAGTGGGAGGGCGGAGGAGGGAGCAGGAGGAGAGGAGAGAGCAGGAGGAGAGGGGCCAGAGGTTGTGAGGCAAGCTTCTGACTTAGCTGCTACTAATGCCGATGGTGCTGCTGTTGCTGCTTCTGCTACTGCTGTTGACACTGATGCTGATGTTGATGCTGGTGTTGGTGGTGTTGCTGCCGCTGCTGCTCATGGTGATGGCAGTCCTGGTGATGCTGCAGGTGCAGAAGGAATGAAAAAGAGAGGAACCAAGCGGGTTAGGTGGGTGGACGAGCAGCAGGGGGCGGGAGACGAGGAGAGGGGAACCGGGGAGAGGGATGTGGGAGAAAGGGAAAGTCGGGAGGGTGGTTTTGGGGGGGTTGAAGGGACTGAGGGGGCTGATGCGGATGGTGATAATGGTGGTGATGGCGATGGCAGTAGTGATTGGGTTGGTGATGGTGGTGCGGGTGGTGGTGCTGATGGTGATGGTGCTGCTGCTGCTGCTGGTGCTGCTGCTGGTGCTGCTGCTGGTGGTGGTGATGGGGATGGTGGTGGTGATGGTGATGGTGCTGCTGCTGCTGCTGGTGCTGCTGCTGGTGCTGCTGCTGGTGCTGCTGCTGGTGGTGGTGATGGGGATGGTGATGGGATGGTGGTGGTGAGGGTGGTGGTGTGGAGAAACAAAGGCATGCGGCACACATTGCGGAACACAGTGCGCCACACAGTGCAGCCACAGAAGCTGGTGCTGTCATCATCCTCACAGCGGAGGGGGAAGCACTGGATGAGGACAACAGTGAAGGAGAAGAAGCAGAACGAGGCCCAGTGGCGCTCGTCGTACTGGATGGGGATGATGCATCCGAGGAGGGAGGTCTAGGCCACTCTGATGGTGCACGCGCAGCAGGGTCCGATACAGACAAGGGTGGTTGTAATGCTCACAGCACGCCCACTGGCGTCTCTTCCCCCATACCCATTGTTCTCGCCCTTGCTGCCGCCAACGATCCCGATACCCCCACCACAACCCTTCCCACCTCTTCCCAAGCTGCCCTGGCTTCTCAAGCCTCGAACCCCCCCAATTCCTCCCAAGCCGCATGGGCTGCCGAAACCACAGAAAAGGCTCCTATCCCCCCCTATTCCGATGATTCGAAGCGTTGCACGGTCAGGGAGCTGACGGTGGGTCAGAAGCGCGCCTTCTGCCTCGTGCGCCACGCCCTGCCGTACCTGCGCCGAACCAACATCCACGAGCTCGCCAAGGCTGCGCTGCCGGCTTGGGGAGCGCGCGTGTCGTTTGATACTGTAAAGTATGTGGTGAGGGACAGCTGGTGGTGGCTGAAGATTCCACGGGGGAAGGAGGAAGAAATGAAGAATAAACCAAGGAAAAAGAGGAGGAGTAGGAAAGAGAAGGGCACAGGGCAGTGCGCGAAGCTGGAAGAGGCGTTATGGAAGTGGATAGAGGGGATAGGAGCAGCGGAGTTGGTGACGAAAGGAAGGGTAAAGGATAGGATGTTGGTGATGGAAGTGGGGGTGCGGGGTAGGGGTGGGACAGGCGGGAAGAGCGGAGATGGGAGAAGGAGGCGGCATTGCTCGTCTGAGTTCCCTCAAAACCCTCAATTGTCCGCCCCTGTTTTTCTGACGCTGGAGATGATCAGAGGCATGGCGAAGGAGCTAGGACCGACTTTAGACGCTCCTCCTGGATTCAAGTACGCGGAGAACTGGGTGCGGAGGGTTATAGCGCGGTTCCAGGCAAAGGCGAGGAGTGAGGGGGAGGGGCGAGCGGAAGGGGTGGATGGGGATAGGGTGGAGGGTGGGGAGGATGAGGAGGGAGTGGATGGGGATTGGTCAGACGAGGAGTCGTATGGTGATGGGGAGAGTGATGAGGAGAGTGATGAGGGGGAGGAAGAGGATGAGAGTAACGAGGGTTCAAGTGAGGATGATGATGTGGTGGAGGTGGGAGGAGGAGGTGAAGGGGGGAAGAAGAGAGGGCGGAGCGGGGAGACAGCAGCGCAGAACTCGGAGCATGCAAGGGGTGGGAAACGGGGGAAAATCGCCACACCTTCGGGAGACATACAAGTTGCTGCTGCTGCTGCTGCTGCTGCTGCTGCTGCTACTGCCGCCGCTCCTTGTGCCGGGGCTGATCAGGACCCGCACCGGTATGCGCTGCACAAGTGGGCGGACGATCCGGACCTTTCCAGCCTCATGCGGTGCGTGCTCGGGCCAGACTGGCTCACACAGTGCACCCGAAGAGGCGGCATTGCGTATGAGAACAACGGCAGCTTGACTGCTGATGCTGCTGTTGCCGACTGCCGCCCTCCCCGCCATCGCCGTGCGGTTGCTACAGGCGCTGCTACTGCTGCTGCTGGGTTCAGCAGTTCTCTGGCTGGTGCGGCCGGTGGCCGTACCGTTATGTACCGTTATGAACCGCATGGGGATTCATGGACAGCTGTCGCTGCTGGTGCTCGAGTCACAAGGAGCCAGGCTTTCGCAAGAACAGCAAGAGGAGTAGGAGGAGGAGGAGGAGGAGGAGGAGGAGGAGGAGGAGGAGGAGGAGGAGGAGGAGGAGGAGGAGGAGGAGGAGGAGGAGGAGGAGGAGGAGGAGGAGGAGGAGGAGGAGGAGGAGGAGGAGGAGGAGGAGGAGGAGGAGGAGGAGGAGGAGGAGCGGGTATAGCAGGCACGGCAGGTGTCAAAGGTTATAGCAGGCAAAGCAGGTGTGACTGGCACACCAGGGGGCACAGCAGGGGGCACTGCAGGGGGCACAGCAGGGGACTGGTACACAGCAGGATCACCACTCAATTTCCAGCAGCTCAACCTGCCCGGCCCACACCAGTTGCGTGCAACCCCACAGCACACCGGCCATTCACCCCACTCCCACACGTATGGCTTCGCTTCTCAAACACAACCTGCTGCTGCCACGTCACCTGCTGCTGCTGCTGCACCTGGTGTTGGGCCGGCTGCAGGAGGGGCGGCTGCTGCAGCTGCGGCACTGCTTGCAGCAGCACTGGGCGCTGGTGGTGGTGCTGGTGTTGGTGGTATAGCCGGTGCTCTGGGTGGTGGTTTTGGTGGGTTCGGTAACGCTGCTGGTGGTGCTGGTGCAAGCGGTGGTGCATTGGCCAGTGCAGGCAATCTGGGGGCCCTGGTGAACGCGAGTGCAGGGGCTATTCAAGGATCAGGAGATGGTAACCAGCAGCAGCAGATGCTGCTGCTGCTCACTCTCTTGGCCGCACAGGCCGCAGGAGGAGGTGCCGGAGGGGGCGTGGAGGGGGGTGTGGAAGGGGGTGTGGGAGGGGGTTTGGGAGGGAGTGTGGGTTTAGGTTTTGGAGGAGCAGGAGGGGTAGGAGCTGGAGCTGGAGCAGGAGCAGGAGGAGATTTGGGATGGGGAGCTGGGGGAGTGGTTAGTGAACGAGAGGGGAGGAGGGAGAGGAAGGCGCGGGAGAAGGAGCGGAAGAGAGAGAAGAAGAGAAGGAGAGCAGAGGAGAAGGCTCGGAGACGAGCGGAGAGACGGGGTGGGAGTGACTGGAGGGATTCGATAAGTGAAAGACATGGGGAAAAGGGGGAAAGGCACAGGACAAAGGGAGACAAGTATGGGTCGGAGGCAGGCGGGCGGCGTGCGTCGTTTGAGAGTGCGTGGCATGTGCTGGTGGGTGCGGGATCAGGTGGTGAGAGTGGGGATGGAGAGGGGAAGAGGAGGGGTGAAGGACGGAGTGTGAGGGAAGTGGGCGGCAGAAAGCGGGCGGCAGAAGTGATTGAGCTCTCAGATGATGACAAAGAGGAGGAGAAGGGATCAGATGATGATGTGGTGGAGGTGAGGGGGGGTGGATGGGGGAAAGGTGCGAAGGGTGGTGGTAGAAGCAGCGGCAAGAAGCGACGGCGGGAGAAGGAGAAGGAGAAGGAGAAGAAAAAGGAGAAAAGGATAGGTACCGTCGTGGAAAGGGCCGGCGATCACGGAAGGACAGCTCGAGTGATGATGACGACGAGGATAATGAGTCTGATGATAACGAGGATGTGGATGGGGATGAGGATGGGGATTATCGGGATGAGGAGGACGAGGAGGGGGAGCAGGATAACTCCCAGGGGCGGGGTGGGATCCTGCATGTACGGAGGAACCTCAGGAGAAGCAGCACAGGTGCAGCAGGATCAACTGGAGCTGGTGGCATTTCAAGCATTCCGAGCCATCCGAGCAATCGGAGCAACCCACTGAATCCGAGCCAGTCACTGGCTCTGGTGGCGCAGGCTGCATCTGGGGCGGGCTTACCTCTTCCCGCCTCAGTCACGCAGGAACGGGCTGCTGCTGCTCTTGCTGCCGCCATTGCAGCTGCTGCTTCCGTTGCCCGTGGTGACTCCCCCAATGTTGCTGCTTACAACGCTACTGCTGCTGCTGGTGCCCGTGGGAGTGGGGGTGCTGGGTGGGGGGGTGCTACTAGGGGAGGGATCGGTGGTGTGTCTGGTGGCGGGTTGGCTGGTGGTGCTGCTGCGATGGGAGGTGCTGGTTTTGGGCAGTTACTGGGTGCTATAAATGCTGGTGTGATGCGGAATGCTGTTGGGATGGTAAATGCTGGTGGAGTGGGTAGTGCTGGTACTAGTGGACTGTTTAACGCCCACGGACCAGGCAATGCTGCTTTAGGGCAGCCATACTTCTCCCCGTATTATCCTCCCCAGTTCTATTCCGGCTTCAGAAATGCTCCTGCTGCTGCTCCCGCTCCTGCTCCTGGTTTTCCCTCTGCTCCTGCTGCTGCTGCTGCGGCGTCTCCTGCTGCTGCCTTTGCTGCTGCCGCCACTGCTGCTGCTGCTGGGGCTCAGATCGGTGGGGGTGGTAATGCGATTTCGGCTGCTGGTCGGGCTGCTGGTGCTGCCAATTGGGACCGTTTCGTGCAGCAAGTGCAGCAGCAGGGGCAGTGGCAGCAGCAGCAGCAGCAGCAGCAGCAGCAGCAGCAGCAGCAGCAGCAGCAGCAGCAGCAACAGCAACAACAGCAGCAGCAGGAACAGCAGAAGCAGAAGGGACAGAAGCAGCAACGAAAGCAGAAGCAGAAGCAACAGCAGCAGCAGCAGCAGCAGCAGCAGCAGCAGCAGCAGACAGGTGGTTCTGGGTATAGAGCTTCCCTTCTGCAGCAGCTAGAGAAGATGCACAAGCAGCAGCTGCAGCTCATAGGTCAGCTGCAGCACCAGCTGCAGCACCAGCAGTTCAAGGCACCATCTCCCCAGCAGCAGTGGCAGAAACAGCACCTAGAGAACCAGTTGCAGCAGGCACAGCGGTTTGCTTGGCAGCAGCAGAGTGAGATGCAGCTGCTGAAGAAGCAGATCGAGGATCAACAACAGGCGCAGCAGCAGCAGCAGCAGCAGCAGCAGCAGCAGCAGCAGCAGCAGCAGCAGCAGCAGCAGCAGCAGCAGCAGCAGCAGCAGCAGCAACAGGCACAGCAGCAGCAGCAGCAGCAGCAGCAAAGTGCCCCACCTGCTGCTGCAGCCTCTTCTGCTGCCGCTACCTCTACTCCTGCTGCTACCGCCCCTGGTACTGCTGCCACTGCTCTCCCTGGTGCTGCTACCATTGATCTCCCTGCAGCTGCTACTACTGCTGGTGCTGGTGCTGCCACCACTGCTCCTGCTGATGCTGATGCTCCTACCACCACTGCTGACTCTTGTGCTGCCACTGTCGCTCCTGCTGACGCTGACGCACCTGCCACAGCTGCTCCTTTTGAGGCGCCTCAAAATTCCACTACTCCTGCTGACTCTGATGCTGCTACCGTCATTCCTGCTGACGCTGATGCACCTGCCACAACTGCTCCTGCCACAGATGCACCTGCAACAGATGCACCTGCAACAGATGCACCTGCAACAGATGCACCTGCAACAGATGCACCTGCAACAGATGTACCTGCAATAGATGCACCTGCCACTGCTGCTGCTGCAACAGCTGCACCTGCCACAGCTGCACCTGCCACAGCTGCACCTGCCACAGCTGCACCTCCTGAGTCGCCTGAGGCTGAAACCACAGCAGCTACAGCCGCACCACCTGATTCACCAGAGGCTGAGATCACAGGTGCTACAGCCGCATCACCTGATTCACCAGAGGCTGAGATCACAGGTGCTACAGCCGCATCTGTAGCAGCTACAGCCGCACCACCTGATTCAGAGGCTGAGATCACAGGTGCTACAGCCGCACCACCTGATTCACCAGAGGCTGAGATCAGAGGTGCTACAGCCGCATCTGTAGCAGCTACAGCCGCACCACCTGATTCACCAGAGGCTGAGATCACAGGTGCTACAGCCGCATCTGTAGCAGCTACAGCCGCATCACCTGATTCACCAGAGGCTGAGATCACAGGTGCTACAGCCGCACCACCTGATTCACCAGAGGCTGAGATCACAGGTGCTACAGCCACATCTGTAGCAGCTACAGCCGCATCTGTAGCAGCTACAGCCACACCACGTGATTCAGAGGCTGAGATCACAGGTGTTACAGCCACATCTGTAGCAGCTACAGCCGCATCTGTAGCAGCTACAGCCGCACCACCTGATTCACCAGAGGCTGAGATCACAGGTGCTGAAATTGATGCCGTGGACGCCACCATTGGCAAGCTCCTTGAAGGAAAGGATTCTGACACACCTGTAGCTGCTACAGCTTGTGAAAATGTGGATGCGACAACTGAGGCTAATGCTGTAGCTGCTACAGCCGATGAGGTAATGGCTGTAGCCGCTACAGCCGATGAGGTAGTGGCTATAGCCGCTACATCTGGTGAGGATACACAAGAAAAGATGGAACGACAGGTGCCTAGAGCAACAGTCACGGATGATATGGAAGTGGATGGAGGTACGGCTACAGGCGGTAAGGCAGGGGATCTCACAGTAGCTACAGCTGGTGAGACAGGGAATGGCACAGCAGCACCTACAACCAACGAGGCTGAAGATGCCACAGCAGCGACAGCTGATGATGAGGCAGGAGGAGACGCCACTGTTGCGGCAAAGAACATGGCTAGTCCAAAGGAGTGCCCACAGGGGAGGAAAAGGGCTAGAACCAGTCCAGATGCTGACAATGATGATGCATGTGGTGCTACGGGCGATGGTGCTACAGATGGTGGTGATGCAGGTGGTGGGGGTGCTGTTGCTGGTGCTACAGGTGATGGTGCTACAGGGGATGGTGATGCAGGTGGTGGTGGTGCTACAGTTGTTGCTACAGGTGGTGGTGCTACAGACGATGGGGAGTCAAAAGCGATTGCGCCGATGCATGTGGGAGGCAATGAGCACGAGGCAAAGGACGCAACGGATGTGGATGCGGATGTGGATGTGGATGTGGGTGTGGATGGAGGAGATGATACTGCAGCAGGTGATGATGGGGAGGCAAGAGGAGATGATGGTACGAATGATGTTGCACCTCAGCATGGTGAGGCAAAGGACTCAGTTGATGTTGATGTGGATGTGGATGTGGATGGAGAAGGAGATGATGCAGCAGCAGGTGATGATGGGGAGCGAAGAGGTCATGGTGGTAAAATTGATGCTGGAGCTACAGCCGATGCGGCTACAGCAGATGGGGCTACAGCAGATGGCGCTACAGATGATGTTGATATGGCTGACGACGCTACAGGTGATGGTGGTAGAGATGATGGGGCTACAGCCGATGGTGCTGAGACTGCTGGGGCTACATCTGACGGCGCTAAAGGCGCTGGTGCTACAGGCGCTGGTGCTACAGACAACGGTGCCACAGAAGATGGGGTGAAAAGTGCCAGTGCTGTGGATGGAGGTGTAGTAGGCGCTACAGGCGATGGGGCTACAGGCAATGGCGCTACAGGCCATGTGGCTACAGGCGATGGGGCTACAGGCAATGGCGCTAGAGGTGATGGCGCTAGAGGTGATGGCGCTAGAGGTGATGGCGCTAGAGGTGATGGCACTGCTGATGGTGCTACAGACGGCGGTGCTACAGACGGCGGTGCTGCAGGCGATGGTGCTGCAGGCAATGGTGCTGCAGGCAATGGTGCTGCAGGCGATGGTGCTGCACGCTGCACAGTTGATGGTGGGGCTTCAGATGGTGGGGCGGCGGTTTAGATACAAGGCACACAGGACACACACTTATCACTGAATGTGTTAAACATTCTATCCGTTCAGCTAACATGGTACCGTACTTGCTTGCAGATACCATACCGTACCATATTTGTTTTGTGGTGTGTGATTGATGCATGTAAGAGACGTCAAATAAATTCAAAGTGAGTGCAGCTATTATAACTGCTATTAAGCTGTAATATTACCGTATGACACAATGCACTGTATCATAACATAACCGCTGTTTGAGGGGACCGCATTCGCTGCAGGGAAAATCTTGTACTGTACAAGTTGTACTGTACAAGGTGACATTTGACATTTGAGTAGACTGACAAGTTATACGTCAGGAACAGTGCAGGCATTTTCTGTAGTTGCACCTGCTGCTACGGTATTACTCCACTTGTCTGCTCATTCACTGTACCGATATTTGCTCCTCTGGCTGTGCTGCAAGCCACAGCGCCTGCTGCTATCGCCCTAACTGCCTCTTGATTCTCCGCTTCAGCTGCTGCTCAAGTGACGCTCGGACACCAGAAGGGCCTTGCTGAATCTGCTGCCTATCACCCTAACTGCCTCTTGATTTGCTGTATCTGCGTCTCCTGCTGCACTGCAAACCGCTGCGCCTGCTCCAACTGCTGCTCCAGGCGCTGCCGCTGCCACTGCTGCTGCTGGGTTGGGTACATGAACTGCTCCTCCTCCCTCTCTAGCTGCCGCAGCTGCCATTGCAACTGTTGCACATGCTGCCTTTGCTGTGCCTGCTCCAGCTGCAATTGCTTCAGCTGCTGCTCCAGTGACACTCGGACAGACCTCTGAGTCGACCCAAAATTCTGCCCCAGTGACACTCGGACACCAGAAGAAACTCGCTGATTCTGCTGCTCTTGCTGCTGAGGGAATTGCTGCTGCTGCTGCCGCTGCCGCAAGAATTGCTGTTGTTGTTGTCGCTGCTGTGGCTGCAGCAAAAACTGGCCTACCTGGGTGGCTAATTGATCACCCACTGCATTAGAAGCACCAGTACCAGCAGCACCCTTGTTTCTTCCTCCTCCAGCATTTGATGTTCCACCAGCACTTAGCATCCCACCAGCGTTAAGCGCTCCACCAGCACTTAGTGCACTCAGGAACTGGCCTAGACCGGCACCTCCCAACCCAGCAGCACCGGTTGAAACCACTCCAGAAGCAGGAGTACCAACAACACCGGGAGCAGGAGCACTGTTCCCACCACTCGCGACTGCAGTGGCAGCCGCAATGGCAGCAGCGAGAGCAGCAGCAGCCTTTTCAGGTGTGACTGAGGTTGGAAGAGGTAAGCCTGCCCCAGATGCAGCCTGCGCTGCTGCCTGCGCCACCAGAGCCTCGACCACTGCAGAGGATGCTGCTACTCCTGTGCTGCTGCCTTGTCCGGGATACTTCCTCCTCCTTTTTCTATCATCATCCACCTCTCCCTCCTCCTCCTCTTTGTTTGAATCAGTATTGTAACTCTCACTGCTATCACTATCGTCACTAGAACTATCACTATCATCGCTTCCACTTTCACTATCATCACTCTCACTAGCACTGCCGTCATCACTATCACTATCGCCGTCATCACTATCACCATCACCATCCTCATCACTTGAGTTTCTGGTTCTCCCTTTCCTTCCCCTTCGCCTATCGTCTCTCCCTCTCTCCCGCGCTCTCCGCCTCTTCTTCCCTCCTCTCTTCCCATCCCTCTTCCTCCCCTTTCTTCCTTTCCTACTCCCTTGTCTCCTCACTCTTTGTCTCACCTCCACTACATCTTCTGAATCATCCTCACTCCCGCTCTCACTCTCACCCTCATTCCCACTCTCACTCTCACTCTCACTCTCGCCCTTCCTATCCTTCCTCCTCCCTCCTTTCCCTCCTCTCTCTCCTCTCTTCGCCTCCAATACATCCTCTGAATCCTCCTCACTCTCACTCCCGCTCTCATCCTCACCCTCACCCTTGCTACCTTTCCTCTTTCCTCTTCTCTTCCCTCGCCTCCTCCCCTTTCTCCCCCCTCTTCTTAACTCCTCATCATCTGAATCCTCCTCACTCTCACTCGCGCCCTTCTTTCCTTTCTTCTTCCTGCCTCTCACTCTCCTTCTCCTCACCTCCACTTTTTCTCTAGAATTCTCCTCACTCTCACTCTCACTCCTCTTGCTAGAACCACCACTCAAATCCTCTTCCTTCACCAATATCTCATTCACCTCTGCCTTCCCACCCCTCGACCGCCCATTCCCACCGCTCTCCCGCCCATTCTCACCGCTCTCCTGCCCATTCTCACCGCTCTCCTGCCCATTCCCACCGCTCTCCTGCCCATTCCCGCCGTTGTCCTGCCTATTACCACCCCGTTCTCCCCCATTCCTCTTCCCACTCTTTAAACCCCCAGTTGCATCTTTATCCCCTCCCCTGCTATCAATTTCCCCTCCCGCACGGCTACGCTCCTTTCTCCCACCATCCTTGTCCCCTCTCCCACAATCACCCTCCCCTTCCCCACCGCCTCTCTCCCCTTCATCTCCATTTTCCCCGCCATTGTGAGTCATCAAGACAGGGTCACCGCCGCCCCTCTCCCTTCCAATGCCGCCCCTCTCCCCGTCACTGCCGCCCCTCTCCCTTCCAATGCCGCCCCTCTCCCCGTCACTGCCGCCCCTCTCCCCGTCACTGCCGCCCCTCTCCCCGTCACTGCCGCCCCTCTCCCCGTCACTGCCGCCCCTCTCCCTGCTACCGCCGCCCCTATCCTCGTCACCGCCGCCCCGCTCCCCGTCACTGCCGCCCATCTCGCCCCCATCCCCTCCAGCCTGTCCCCCTGTTTCTCTCCCCACACCATCCGTCTCCCCTCCTGCATCCCCACCAGCCTGCATGGTGTTTCCAGTCGTCTCAACTCCACCCTCAGCATTTTTTTTCGTCTCCCCAGCAGCGCCCCCACCAACCAGCATGGCCCATGCAGTGTGAAAGGAAGCGTTTCGTTTCTTAGACCGCTTTTCAGCCTGCTTTTGAGGCGTCTCAAAAGCCTGTGTACCAGCTGAATCAATACCCGTCTTTGCCCCGCTCCTTCCCTTCTTTTGAAGTGCTTTTTTCGACTGAGATGTTTCCAGACTTCGACCGCCCTCTGACCTTCTCACCTTCTCTCTCACCCTCTCCTCTCGTGCCATCTCCTCTCTCACCATCTCCTTCCTCCCCAATCTCTCCTCTCTCACTCTCTCCTCCTCTACCACCCTCCTCTTCTTTCCCTGCCTTTTCTCATTACCCAATCCTCTAACCCCGTAGTCAGGTCCTCTATCTTCCCCTCCTCCTTCCCCTCCCCATCCCACTGCTCCTCCCCCTCCTCCCGCTCCTTCCCCCCACTCACTACCACCAAATGCCCTCTCTCCCCGCTCATACAAGTACCCAGATGCGTTCCGAGAGGAGTAAGGAAAAGCACCAGTGCCGCCAGGCAGCCCTCCCATCCACTCTCCACCACCACCTCCTCCTCTCTGATCCTGTCTCACCGCACACTTTGGCAAGCGCTTGCCACGCGTGGTGGGACCAGCAGGGCCCGCATTGGGAGTGAGACCAGCTGCTTGGGGACCAGAGAAAGCGTGTCCAGGCATGGGTGGAGAGCGGTTGAGACCGTTACCAAGGGATGGTGCGGCAATGAAACCACCTGCCCAAGAACCAACCCCGCCTAATGGTCTCTGCAGCCTCTGCTGCCAGTGCTCCGAGCCCATGACAGCAGCACGAGAGTCAATAGCTGAATTTTGAGTCGACTCAAAAGTCGACCTGTGCTGCCCCTGCAGCCTCTGCTGCCACTCCTCCGAACCCATGACAGGAGCACGAGGAGCAAGAGGGTCAGCAGCGGTACGTGTGCCTCGAAATTCAGGAGCACGAGGAACAAGAGGGTCAGCTGCATGTGCACCAGGGAAGCCAGCACGAGGGGCAAGAGGGTCTGCAGCACGGGAGCCAGGGAAACCGGGGGGAACACGGAGCCTAAGATAACCAGCGGCTTGAGAACCAGAGAAGCCAGTAGCACGAGGTGCAGGAAGACCCGCTGCCCATGAACCATCCTTGCCCAAAAACCCCTCCCTCTGCTGTGCTGTGGCGTTCACAGCAGTCATGGGAGAAGTACGGCCAAAGTCACCAGGCCAGGACCCATCCCTGCCCCATGCCCCTTGCTGGCGCTGCATAGACATGTGCAGAGGAGGAGGAGGAGGAGGCTTGCTTTGAGGCGGCAGCGGCAAGGAAGGGAAGCCGCGAGAGTCAATAGCTTCAAGAGCGTCAAGCGCTTCAGCAGAGTCAACAGAGTCAACAGAGTCAACAGCATTGAGGGAGTCAGGAGAATCAGGGCGGTTGTCTGGGAGCTCATCATCGCCACCCCATGGGGTCTGCTGCCCGTGAAACCTCTGCTGCCCGTGAAACCTCTGCTGCCCGTGAAACCTCTGCTGCCCCTGAAACCTCTGCTGCTTCTGCAACTCCTCCTGCTCCTGAAACGCCCGGAGTTTGGCTTTACTGGCCCAGGGTGTTGGCAGCAGCGGGGCAGCATTGCCTGCTGCAGCACCACCACTACCAGCAGCAGCACCACCACTACCAGCTGCAGCAGCAGCACCAGCAGTGTGCGCGAGTTTGGCCGGCGGCCTTGCAGTGTGTTCGGGATAAGCATCACCACGACTAGCACCAGCGGCACCAGCACCACCAGCGGCACCACCAGCAGCAGCATCAGCCCGAGCAGCAGAAGCGGCAACAGCAGCAGCAGAAGCCTCCCTGACAGAGCGCAGGTACGCATACTTACGGAGCCAGTTCAGCCCGTAGATTGACTGCATAAGCGATTTCACATGCGTATCGTCTGCCCACTTCTCCAAATCATACGGGTCTGACTGCCGGTCGTGTGGAAAGCGGTCCAGCAAAGGTGCTGACCGCTTCTGTAGGTTGTATGGGTCACACCGTCGACCAGACTGTCGGTCAGACTGTCTGTTAGACTGTCGGTCACACTGTCGGTCAGAATGTCCGTCAGACTTCTTGTTTACCCCCTCCCCTTCCTCTCCCCCCTCCCTTCCTCCCTCCCCTTCCCGGCCTCCTCCCCCCGTCCCGGCGCCATCACCCTCACTCCCCGCCCCCCCCTGCCTTCTTCCCTCCTTTATACCGCTCTAGAACCCCCAGAACCCATTCCTCTGTGTATTCAAAGTCAGAGGGGGCATCTAGATTCCACCCTATCATCTCTGCCCTATCCAGCAGCATCTGCACCGTTAAACGCCCAGAGGTTTTCAGTTTATCCTCCCCCACCACCCTCTTTCCTGCCCCATCTGTCACAACCTTCACTGATAAGCTCACTGGTGTCTCACCCTGTGCAATTGCTTCCACTTCTTCTCCCTCTCCTACCTTCCCCCTTCCTCCCCCCTCTCTCTCTCCTCCCCCCTCCCCTCCTCCCGTCCCTGCCTCCTCTTCCCCACCCCCCTCTTCCCCCTCCATCACAAAAATCCTGTCCTTTATCCTCCCTTTCCTCACCAACTCCCCCGCTCCTATCCCCTCAATCCACTTCAACAGCGCCGCTTCCAGCCTCACACACTGCACCCGCCCATCCACACCACCCTCCACCGCATAATACTTCTTCTTCTTCCAATCCCACCGCTTTCCTCTCACTCTAAACTCCTCCTCCTTCCCTCTTGGAATATTCATCCACCAATCGCCGTGCTGCCTGATTTTCCGAATCATGGACTCGAACACGGGCGTTCCCCAAGCCTGGAGCAGAGCCTTGGCAAGGAACAAGCTGGAGAGGTTCGGAACGGAGTGTATGACGAGGCAAAGCGCCCGCTTTTGGTGCGTGGTCATTTGGAAGGAGCGGCGGAGCGGCACGGGCAGGGGGGGGCCATGTATCCGCTTGCGCACACCGGGAGTTGGGGTGGTTTCGCTGGGTTGAGAGGGGTGCGTGGGGGGTGAGGAGTGGTTGTCGGGGGTGATAATGGCAGGGGTATTTGCGGCGGGGAGGGCAAGGACGATAGATAGGGCGGGGGGATGCGAGGCGGGTGAGGTGGAGGTGGGGGAAGGAGGTTCTTCTTGTTCTTCTGACAAAGTTTCATGTGTTAGTAAGGCTTCAGGTGGTACAGGTACGGTTCCAGGTGTTGGTACAGTTTCAGGAGTCGGTGCGGTTTCAGGTAAAGGTACAGGTACACTTTCAGGTGCTGGGACAGTTTCAGGTGCTGGGACACTTTCAGGTGCTGGTACAGTTTCAGGTGTTTGCTGTGCAGATGCCGGTTGGGACGTGGGACGGGTACAGAGAAAGTCAGGCAATCGCAGCAGGGGAATGGAGCTTGAACTGTTCTGCTGCTGAAGTGATGGACTGGTTAGTGACTGCTGGGATGCATTGACTGGCTGCTGCTGCTGCTGCTGCTGCTGCTGCTGCTGCTGTGCCTGCAGCAGCTGCTGCTGCTTCTGCTTCTGCTGCTGCGCATACTTCTGCTGCATCTGCTGCACCATGGGCACTGCCGAGAGGGGCATGCAGTGCATGAGAGGCGACGCAAGGGACGACAGGCTCCCCCTGACAAACCCACTGCCATGCCCACCCATAGCAAAACCAGCAGCAGGACTGCTGAAACCAGCAGCAGCACCAGCAGTGGCAGCAGCAGCAGCAGCAGCGGCAGGGGCAGCACTGCTGGCACCAGCAGCATCGAGGTAAATGCCGCAGCCAGTGGCACCGCCGTGGTACTTACTAAGCCAATCCGGCCCCAAAATTGCCCTCATAAGGCTTGATACATCTGGATCATCCACCCACTGGTCTAGAGCGTACGGGTCCTCTTCTCGACTGCTGTATGCAGCTGAACGTAGGGTCTCCTCGAACCGCCTCTGCAACACAACCGGATCCCAACATTCCCCCTCGTTCCCCTCGTTCCCTCCTTCCTCGTTTCCCTCCTGCTCGCCCCCCTCTTCATCCCCCTCTCCCTCTTCCTCGTCGCTTCCATCATCCTCCTCCTCCCCATCTGACTCGTCCTCCTCCTCCTCCTCCGCCTCCTCATTCCCCCCCCCCCGCTCCCCCTCCCCTCCCTCTCCATTCTCCCACCTCAGTCCCCCTTCCCCTGCCCCCTCTCCCCCTGCCCCCTCTCCTCCTGCTCCCTCAATTCCCCCAACAACCCCGGTCTTCTTCACCCTATATCGCGCCACCACCGCTTCTGCCCACCCAATTCCGTACTTAAAGTTACTCGAAACGCCTAAAGCAGGCCCAAGCTTCCTCCCCATGTCAGAAACCATTTCCAGCGTCAGAAACACAGGAAACGGGCGCTTCTGAGCTGCCTTCCCCCCATCCTTCCCCCCATCCTCCCCCTGCTCCTCCAGCACCAATCTCCGCTCTCTAATCCTCCCCCGGCAAACCAACTCCTCCGCCCCCATCTCCTCAAACCACCGCCCCAACGCCTCTTCCAACCTCGCCCACCTCCCCACCCCCGCTCCAACCACCCGCTTCTTCTTCTTCCTCCTCCTCTTCCTCTTCTTCTTCTTCCCCATATTCCTCCACGCCTTCCCCGGCACTCTGCTCATCTCCTGCTCTTTCCCCCGGGGAATAGTCATCCACCACCACCTATCTCTTACTATGTACGATATAGTGGCGCTGTATATCTGCACGCCCCAAGCCGGCAGCGCAGCTCGGGCGAGGTAGGCTTGGCGCAGGTTCGGCAGGGCCCGTTGCACGAGGCAGAAGGCTCGCCTTTGCCCCGGGTTCAGCACGGAATGGCGGGGCCGACGCTCCTTCCCCTCCTTGGGCGGCGTTTTGGAGGGATGTGGGGGAGGCGTGGTCTGGGCGGCTCGGACAGCTTGGGCTCGGGCGGCTTGGGCTTGGACGGCTTGGGCGGCTTGGGCGGCTAGGCGGCCCTGAAAGGAGTGCAAAGGGTCTGTGGTTCGGGAAGCCGGAGCGGCTTGGGAGGGGAGGTGGAGGAGCGTGGTGGTGTGGCGGGCGGCGGGGGTATTGGGATCACTGGGAGAAGCAAGGCCAATGACAATGGGCATGCGGGAAGAGACGCCGGTGGGTGTGCTGGGGGCTGCACCTGTGGCTGGCGGCGCTTGGGAGGGGAGGTGGAGGAGGGTGGTGGTGTGGGGGGCGGTGGGGGTATCGGGGCGGTTGGGAGCAGCAAGGCCGATGACAATGGGCAAACGGGAAGAGATGCCAGTGGGTGTGCTGGGGGCTGCACCCGTGGCTGGTGGGGCCACACCCATGGCTGGAGTGGCTGCACCTGTGGCTAGTGGGGCCACACCCATGGCTGGGGTGGCTGCACCTGTGGCTGGTGGGGCCACACCCATGGCTGGGGTGGCTGCACCCGTGGCTGGGGACGCAGCGCATGTGCCTAGAGCAACAGCCTCTGTTCCGGAAGTGAGTTGTCCAAGCCTTCGCTTCTTCACACCATCACCACCATCACCATCGCCACCACCATCGCCACCACCAACGCCACCACCATCGTCACCAGCATCGTCCTCCCACCTAACCCGCTTGCTTCCTCTCTTCCTCATTCCTGCTGCAGCTACAGCAGCATGAACACCCTCAGCAGCACCAGCACCGCTAAAACCACAGGCATCATCAGCATCAGAATCATCATCATCATCATCATCATCATCATCATCATCATCATCATCAGCATGAGCATCATCATCGTCATCAGCACCACTATCAGGATCACCATTACTCGTCCGTTCCTCTACCCCCAAGGCCCCTCCTGCGCTCTCCCCATCTCCATACCCAATTGTGTGCAACGCCCCTCCTCCATCCCTCCCAGACCCTGTTCTGTAAACTAAATCCACCCCCTCCTCTTCTTCTAGTAACTCAGTCAAGGGATCCGCACACCAAGGGTTATTTACCCTTGAATAATCCCCTTCTCCTACATTTCCTCGATCAGGTTCAGGGATACTCACAACGCCCCCTCCTACTCCTTCACCTCCTTCATCTCCTTCCCTTCCTACCCCTGTACTCGATATTGAGCGTCCCGCTGCTGTACCCCCTGCCGACTTATGCAACACCTGCCAGGCAGCCCATTCAGCAGTCCGAATCTGCATGTTCACAAAACTGATCAACCCACCATCCCATCCCTCCACCTCTCCCTCCTCTTCGTCTCCTTTCTCCATCCCATCCTCTCCCGCTCCTCCCTCTCCTCGCGCGCCTCCCCCATCCTCGCTATCAGCATCCTCGTTACTAGTCTCTGATAGCAGCAGCAGCCCGAACCTTTTCATAAACCTCGTAGCCCACGACCTGCCATACCTGAAACCCGGCCGCACATTATATCCCGGACCTATCTCCTTCGCCTTCGCTATAATCTCCTCTCGAGTCACCTCCCTCTTCTCCCGCTCCTCTTCTTTAATCACCCACTCAGCCAATGCCTCCTCCATTCGTAACAGGTTCGGATCTGGCACCGCTGCGGTAACAATCCCGAACCACTTGTCGTAAAACGTACTTATTCTGTCCAGCGACCGAAAGTTCATCCCCGTTTCGTTTCCGTACTTAGCTGTAATCGCTGCAGCAACCACCTTGTTGTCTAAGTTAGGCCGTGCACGTTTCACCACAGAAATCTCGTACCGAATCCGGATATCAAACGGAACCTCGTTCCAAGGAACACGCCCCGAGCCTGAGTCCCCACCCTGAGCACCACCACCAGCAGGACCCTCTTCCCCCGAACCTGCTCCATCAGGGCCGGCATCAGTCCCCGAGCCTGCACCTCCGGCCAGATTAACCTCCTCCCCTCTCGAATTCAACCCGTGGTCCTTTAAAAGCCGGAGCATCCAATCCGTGCTGTAAATATGCTCTGCCGGGACGCCATACGAAGGCCCTATAGCCATCGCATAATCCACCATTTCTTTCATTGTCACGAACCTCTTAACTCGGTTTAGAATATTCTGCGGTTTCAGCGACTCACGGCGCCTCCTTTCGCGTATCCACTGCAGCAGATCTGCTTCCATTTCCGGGTTCTCGTAACGCTTGCGCCAAAAATTGTGCCACTTGCTTTTATCGGACGGGTCGGTTTTGGCGCGAACGATAATCATCTCCACCTTTGCCTCCCTCAGCGTCACTCCGAAGTGCTTCGCGACTGCACGTGCGATCTGCTCGCTGGTGAGAAAGGGGTGGGCTTTTTTGAGAGCCAAGATTTCCCGCTCAATTTTCTGGTCCACCACGATTCGTTTGTTCTTCCGCTTCCACGGACGAGGTTCGGATCCAGAAGCCACAGGTTCGGACGGCGGTTCGGAACGCCCTGCCGAGCCTGTCGCTGCTGCAGACGTGGCTGCTGGCTGCTGCTGATTGGCTGACGAAGGCGCAGCAGGATCAGTCTGCATTTCGCCTCCACCAGACCCACCATTCTGATCGAAACCTGATGGCTCCTGCTGTCGCATCTTAAAGCGAACGAAAGCCAGTCAAATGAGGTTGTCACGAGACTACCAAGGGAGATAAAGAGAGAGAGAAAAAAACACCCATCAGCTCCGCAATCGTAGCTGCTGGACTACGATGAATCGCGTGGCTCTTCTCACGAGTATAACAACTTAGACGCAACCATAGCACTCCGGCAAGCTGTCACGACGATATGTAAATCACGACGATGTCACGACCGAGCCTGAAATGCTAACGAACCTAACTACAATAAGGACGAGCCTAGCTAAAATAGGGACGAGCCTAGACCTACGACATAACTGAATCTACGACTCGACTAGAATCACGACGACGAGCCTAGAATAAACGAACGAGCTTGCCACTTCTAATATATCAAGGTAAGCTCGGCGTTGTGTCAGAATTGCAGCTGACTGGGAGCGACTTGAGAAAGATTCAAACAACCATGGGTTTGGCGGGAACATTGAGAGGGGAGATAAGCAGCTGAGGAACAAGAAATAGAGAAGAAACCTTACGTTGGGCTCATTATCAGGCAGAACTGGAGACACATATGGAATACTAGCTCTTCAGCAAGAATGCAGGAAAAGTAGTTGCCTTCGGATGCAGGGTTGACTGATCTCTCCATAATTCCGTCGCACAAGACGGAAAAGAAGATCGACGGTTGACATGACCTCTCTGATGACAGGCGGATGAAGTTGACGGTAAAGAAGCACCAAGGTGGAGAGATAAACTCCTGCTTCGCCGCAGAAAAACAAACCTCATCATTCGCAGGGTGAGGTGCTAAACATCGATATTTTCGTCGCTCTAGGCGAAAGTCGAAACATTTTCGGCACCTGTGTAGTGTATGTAATCGACGGTTAATCGAAAGGTACTCGAGGACTGCTGCTGATGTGATCGACGGCATCCATGCGATGGAAACCGTGAATGGATTTTGAGAATATTCAGAAAAATTGGGTTTTCGAGGCGGTGTTTTTTAGGGGGGTGACCTTTGGGTGAACCAGCGCCAGAGAGTCAGAAGAAAGCATTCAGAAAGAATTCGAGACGGAAGACCAAAATTCACCTCACCTCACAACTTATCGTTAGTTGCACATTTACACTAATGGAGCCTAAAAGCCCAGAAGAGAAAAAACTAATTAAAATTTAGTTATCACACTAGACAAAGCACCCTAAGGAACCGGCATGATGCAAGCATGGCTAACATCAATCAGCTACAACTAGCACATCGTCATCGTCATCCTTGGACCCACCAGCAGCAGCAGAAACATTACCATCATTATTATCACCGCCGTCGACTTCCACGACATCATCATCATCATCATCATCATCATCATCATCAAGATCACCACCAGCCGCACCAGAAGCAGCAGCCGCAGATCGACCAAGCGGAGATGAGGACGCAAACTGTCCGAGCAGCAGTTTTGACATGGAGCTCGGGGCAGGAGGATCACTCGACGCACGTGCCCCACTTGGCCCCGCAGCAGCACCAGTGGCAGCAACAGAAGCAGCACTAGCACCAGCAGCAGCAGCCATGCTCGTCGTATCCTGCTGAAGTGCCAGCAGTTTTGACATGGAGCTTGGGGCAGGCGGATCACCCAACCCACCTGTTGCACTTGGCCCTGCAGCAGCACCAGCCACAGCAACAGAACCACCAGCAGCAGAAGCAGCAGCCGAGCTCGTGGTGTCCTGCTGAAGTGCCAGCAGCGTGCACATGGACGGTGTGAGTGGCATCGCATGGCGCGTTGCGGCGCGAGTCGCAGGGCTATCCTGCGACAGCGGTCCATCGGGGCTAACTTGTGTAGATGGACGAGCAGGAGGCTGTGTTGAGGGGGTGCTTTCGGGTATGGCAGTGGCGATATGGGGCTGACCTGAGGGGCTATTTGAGGGGCTATTGTGACCTTCCGACAATTCCTCTTCACCGCATCTCAAGGCCTGCTCCCCTCCATCTCTGAGCGACTGCTCCTCCTCTCCTTGCGTACCCTGCCCCACTGGAATCTCCGCTATAGCACTCTCCCCTATAGCACTCTCCGCTATAGCACTCTGCGCCATTGCAGCTTGTGCCGCAATGCTTTGCGCAATCATACTGTGTGCCCATGGCGGTTGCACGTCCTTCTTCCTCGCCCTGTGCAGCGCCCTCATACGCCGTTCCCGCTTGCTTTGACCCACACTTAGACTTTGGCTCCTCAGAACTCTCCCGTGGTAACCAATCGCTACTCTCCCCTCCCGCCGTCTGCCTGGCACCTGCCTGACTGCTGACGGCTCAGCAGCAGCACCAGCAGCAGGAGCAGTGGCACCACCACCACCACCACCATCACCAACACTTAACCCAGCAGCGGCAGCGGCAGCAGAAGAAGCAGCAGCGGCAGCAACAGCGGCAGTGCGGTGCCTCCTAGCCATAGCAGCTCTAACAGCCGCAGCAGCAGCAGCAGCACGGGTTCTGGTGGCAATACCTGTAGGAGCAGCTGTAGCAGCAGGCAAAGCATGGGTGCTTGCCACTGATGCTGTACCATGAAATCCCGTCTTCACAGCAGCACCGGTTCGTCCAGTCACGGCTGCAACACGAAACCCAGCCTTTCCAGTGACAGCTGTAGCGTAAAATCCTGCCTTGACGGCAGCACGTGTTCGTCCAGTCACGGCTGTAGCACGGAATCCCGCCTTTCCAGTCAAAGCTGTAGCATAGAACCCAACCTTCAAAGGAGCACGGGTTCGGCCAGTCACGGCTGTAGCACAAAATCCTGCCTTGACAGCAGCACGGGTTCGTCCAGTCACGGCTGTAGCAGAACGTGTGTCAACATCCGCAGTAGCACTCGCAGTTGCTGCTGCAGCAGCGCGTGTCCACACACCTACAGCTGTAGCAGCAGGCACAGCTGTAGCAGCAGGATCAGCTGTAGGGGCAGAGACAGCTGTAGCAGCAAGCGCAGCTATAGCAGCGGGCAGAGCAGTAGGTGCAGCTGTAGCAGCAGTATCATCAGGAGTGAGAAGCTGAACAGTGGTTGGAGGAGCAGGAGCAGTACTGATCACAAGAGCAGGAGCAGCGGTGGGTGCAGCGGTGGGCGCAGCAGTGGGCGCAGCTGTGGGTGAAGTGGTGGGTGCAGCAGCAGGTGCACGGAAGGCAAAGGTGGGGGACGATGCGGCTGGGAGGGCGAGAATCACTCCAGACCTCTGGGACAAGGGGGAATGCAACCCTTCTGCTGCTACTATTCCTGTTGCCCTTGCTCCTGGTGCTCCTGCTGCTGATGCAAGCAGAGAAGCATGCAGAGTGTGCCGGTTGGCACTTGGAGTGTATGGGTCAGTAGGCAGATTGTGCCGGCTAGCAGTTAAAGAGTGACGGCCAGCAGGCAGAGTGGATTGGTTAGCAGTTGGGGTGTATCGATCAGCATCAGTGGAAGGCGGATTGGCTGGCAGGCGGGGAGCAGAACCGGCAGCAGAACCAGCAGCAGCAGAAGAAGGGGCGTTGTAGTTAGGGCGTCGCCGGAGTACCCTGAGACCGTAAGGTGGTTCCCAATGATTCTCCTGAAAGGCTCTGGTATGACCCAATGAAGAAGGTGCAATAGAACGAACAGCAGCAGCAGGAGTGGCTGCAGGAGCAGGACGAACAGTAGCAGCAGCAGGAGTGGCAGGACTGGCAGCATTGGCAGTGGCAGCGGTACCAGCACCAGCAGCAAAAGAGTTTCTGGAAGAGAAGTTTGAGAGAGGGCCTCTAGGCCCGTGCAGGAAGCTTAGGAGGGAGTTGCGGGAGGGGAGCGGAGGTGCAGAGGAGCGGGGAGGTGCAGAGGAATGGGGAGGTGAGGAGGGAGGTGAGGTGGGGAGAGGTGTGGAGGTGCAGAGGAGAGGAGAAGGTGCATAGGAAGGGTGATGAGACCCCCCTGCAGCAGGAATCCGCGCAAGTGAAGGGCGGGCGGCTGAAGGAGCACCAGTGGCAGTTGCGGCAATGAGGCGAGCAGTGGCAGCAAGAGGAGCAGAAGCAGGAGCAACAGCAGAGGGGCGGGGAGGCTGCACGCGCGTGGAGTGAGTAGGCTGGGTGGCGAGCGAGGCAATCAGCTGCTGCAGTTGGCCCGGCAGGGCTGCAGCACCAGCACCTGCAGCAGAATTACCAGCAGCAGCAGCAGCAGCAGCAGAATTACCAGCAGCAGTGCCACCAGTGCGCTGCAGTGGCAGCTGGGAAGCTGCCATAGCCGAAATCTGCTCCCATAAGTTTGTGGGCATAGACGCACCAGCAGCAGCACGGCCACCTGCCGCAGCAGCAGTGGATTGCGGGAGCTGCATTGGCTGCTGCTGGGAATGATTAGCCCCTGAAGCAATCTGCTGCAGCAGGGCTGGTAGAAGCGCAGCAGCAGCAGCAGCAGCAGCAGCAGCAGCAGCAGCAGCAGCAGCAGTGGGATTTTGCAGCTGAGGGGAATGAGCAGTCGCCTGTGAGGTTAACGAGGCGATCTGCTGCAAGAGGTTAGGGAGAAAAGAGGCAGCAGCGGTAGGGCGCGGTTGCTGCTGTGTTTGTTGCTGCTGCGGTTGCTGCTGCTGCTGCTGCTGCTGCTGCTGCTGCTGCTGCTGCTGCTGCTGCTGCTGCTGCTGCTGCTGCTGCACCAACAGTGACCCCAGAGCGAGTGCGAAATCGGGACCAAAGGACTGGGTGACGTTGCATGCGAGGGACAGCAATTCTGAATTGGGGCCCGAGGAGGCTGCGAGTTGGGTTGTGAGAAGGTGGGTAAGGAGAGCTGCAGCATCTCTTTCTCCTGCTCCTGGAGAGAGTGCTGCTGCTTGATTCGCTGCTGTTTGTTTGGCTGCAGAAGCACAAGCAGCGGCAGGAGGAGCAGGAGCAGAACCGGGAGCAGCAGGAGCAGGAGCAGGAACAGGAGCAGGAGCAGGAACAGGAGCAGGAGCAGGAACAGGAGCAGGAGCAGGAACAGAAGCAGGAGCAGGAGCAGGAACAGGAGCAGGAGCGGGAGCGGGAGCAGGAGCAGGAGCGGGAGCAGGAGCAGGAGCGGGAGCAGGGGAAGCACGATCAGTAGGGGCGACTGGGGCAGCAGCAGCAGTGGCAGCAGCAGTAGTAGCAGCAGGAGAAGCAGCAGCGACAGTATCAGTAGCAGTAGTTGCACCTGCTGCTACTGCAGAAGCAGCACCTGTGGCAGCAGCATCATCTGTAGCAGCAGCAGCACCTGTAGCAGCAGCAGCACCTGTACCAGCAGCAGCACCTGTAGCAGCAGCAGCACCTGTAGCAGCAGCAGCACCTGTAGCAGCAGCAGCACCTGTAGCAGCAGCAGCACATGTAGCAGGAGCAGCACCTGTAGCAGCAGCAGCACCTATAGCAGGAGCACCAGTGGCAGCAGCAGGATCTGTAGCATCACCAATCTCAGTGAGACTGAGACGGGTACCAGTGGCGTGCGGAGCGGTAGGGTGGGAAAAGAGAGCGGTGCTGCTGAAAGGATCGTTGGAAGAACCAGGGTCAGGCAGAGGGGCACCAGTGGTGGGTGGCACTTGGGAGTTTGGGAACAAAAACTGTGCGAGGAGAGGGGGCAGCCCTAAAGGAGCCTGCCCACCCATCAGACCCTGCTGCTGCTGTGGCTGAGCTTGAATGCTGTTGTTGGTGTTCATGTGCTGCTGCTGCGGGTATGCTGTTGATGGTGGTGCACTGTTGTACGTGTGCTGTGTCACTGTGGCAAAGCGTGTGCCGAACGGCGTTTCCTGCTGCGCCCCGAACTGGATCGTGGTCACCTGGGCCTGGGGAGCACCAGAGGCAGGGGCAGCACCAGCAGCAGCAGCAGCAGCGGCAGGGAAAGGAGGTTGAGGGAAGGAGGTTTGGGGGAAGGCGGATTGGGGGAAGGCAGGATGCATCGGCATTACTCCTGGTGCCTGCTGCTGCAGCATACTGGTGAACGCCTTTTGAGGCGCCTCAAAAGTCGTCTGCTGCAGCATACTGGTGAACGCTGCAAGCGCATCCCCCCTTACACCCATCTTCTCCTTTCCCTTCTTCTTTCCCCTCTTCTCCCTCTCCTTCCCCTTTTCCCTCTTCCTTTTCTTCTCTTTCTCCTTCTTCTTCTCCCTCTTCCTCTTCTTCCTTTCCTTCCTCTCCTTCCTCTGCTGCCTCCTCCTCTCCCTCGCCTCCTCTTTTGTATGATCGCCCCACTCTGCTGCTTCTCCCTCCGTTTCCCCACCTGTCTCCGTCTCGCCCCCTGTTGTCCCTCCTCCCCTCGCTTTCCCTCCCCTCCCTCCACCACCCCCCCACTCTTCAACCTCTGCATCCTCCTCCTCCTCCTCCTCCTCCACCTCCACCACCTCATCCTCCTCATCCCCCTCTACCTCCTCTTCCTCCTCCTCATACCCCTCCTCCACCTCCTCCATCTCCACCTCCTCTTCCTCTTCTTCCTCCTCTTCCTCCTCCTCTACAGCAACCACAGAAGCATCTTCCAGCACACTCCATGCGTCCCGCATGCCTCTCACCCCTACAAGCCCTGAAAACTGCCACCACCGCCAAAACTCCTCAGGCGTTTTGATCTTCCCGGCTGCCATAACAGCTGCAACTGCCGCATCCCTCTCCTCCCTCCCTCCCGCCTCTCCCTCTCCTCCATCTGCTTCCTCTTCCTCCCCTCTCCCCTCCTCTCCCCCCTCCCCTTCCCCCCTCTTCCTCTTCCTGCCCTTGTCCTTATCCAAACCCGTGCCCGAACCGACTTCAAAACCCGTTGAAACAGGCTCGGGAGACGCCTTGTCGAGGTTTCCCCACGCTGCCTGCAGGTTCGGAAGAACGTCCGAGGCTCCGCCGACCCGGATTCCTGCCAGCTCAGCAACAATATCTTGAAGATACGCTGGGATTGGTCCAGGCAAGTTGGCTAGGTTGAGCGAGTTTAGAAGCGAGGCTGCTACACTCCCTCCTGCCACTCCCCCTGCCACTCCCCCTGCAGCTGCCCCTGCCGCTCCCCCTGCTGCTCCCCCTACCCCTCTTTCTGCTGCTGCTCTCTCTCCCTCCCCTAGCCCGCCCTCCCTCCCTGCCCCAACACTCAGGCCAAAACAACCACCCCCATCATCATCACTATCACCACCACCACCATCACCACCGCCATCATCATCAGAATCATTCGCTCCCAAGCCTCCTGCACCTTCCCCTTCCTCCCCTCTCTCCCCTCCCTCGCCCCGCTCCCTCTCCCCAACCAATCGAACCCCCTCACCTTCCCCTCCCCCTCCTCCTCCCCCTCCTCCTCCCTCTCCTCCTCCCTCTCCTCCTTCCTCACCTCCTGCTCCTGCCCTTTCCCCACCTCCTCCCACTCCTCCTCCCGCTCCTCCCGCTCTCTCCTGCATCTCCATCATCTTCTTCTTCCTCTTGTTAAACGCCCCAGCCAGCACCACCTCCCGAAAGCGCTGCTGCCGCTGCAGCTCCAACTCTTCTGCTACCTTCCCCAGCGCCTCGATCTCCCCTGGTATTAGGTTAAAGCCCTCGTCGAACAGGTCCCACGACAGCTCTGCTGGCACGAGTGCCTCCCCTGCTCCTGCTGCTGCTGCTGCTGCTGCGTCACCAGCTGCAGCAGCAGCAACGTCCCCAGTGGCAGCAGAAGCAGGAGCAGCACCAGCAGCAGCGCCAGCAGCACCAGCAGCAGCGCCAGCAGCAGCAGCAGCAGCGCCAGCAGCAGCAGCAGCAGCGCCAGCAGCAGTGGCAGCGCCAGCGCCAGCAGCAGTACCACCAGCAGCAGAAGCAGCCGCGCCTGCTCCTTCTCCTTCTCCTCCTCCTCCTCCTCCCGCTCCTGCCTCCCCCCTTGCTCCCTCCCCTTCGCCCCCTTCCCCCCCAGTCTGCCCCCCCTCTCCCCCACTCCTTCCCCCATCCCCACCCTCCTTATCCCCCTGACCCTCAAACAGAGGAGCCCATTTCTTCCACCTGGGAGACGCCTTTACAGCCCAGTGGTCCATGAAGCCCCACCGGTGCATGAGACCCGCCACCCAGGCAAAGGTGATACTCCTGTGGGGGTAGGGGAAGAGGAGTAGGGGAGAATGAGGGATCCCCTCAGTGCTTACTCCACCTGGGAGACGCCTTTACAGCCCAGTGGTCCATGAATCCCCACCGGTGCATGAGACCCGCCACCCACGCGAAGGTGATCGACCTGTGGGGGTAGGGGAAGAGGAGTAGGGGAGAATGAGGGAGCCTCTCAGTGCTTACTCCACCTGGGAGACGCCTTTACGGCCCAGTGGTCCATTCATGAAGCCCCAGCGATGCATGAGACCCGCCACCCACGCGAAGGTGATTGAACTGTGGGGGGTATAGAGGGGTTAGGAAAGGTTGAAGGGAGTGGATTCTGTCAGATTCTGGTATGGAAGTCTTGCAATGTTTCCTCCACCGGACAGACACACGCCCGCACGGCCGGTGGTTCATGAAGCCCCAGCGATGCATCAGGCCGGCCACCAAATGATAAAGAGATGTTTTGAGACGTCTCAAAACATCTCTTTTATCACACGGCCGGTGGTTCATGAAGCCCCAGCGATGCATCAGGCCGGCCACCCAAACGAAGGTGATGCTTCTGCGGGTTGGAAAAGGGGGAGTGTGAGGGATTGGATGCTGTCAGGTTAGCTCCCACCACCCCACCGCATGCTCACCTGGAGGGGACTTTTGATTCGACTCAAAAGGTGACTTTTGTGTCGTGTGCCATGGTAACGAGGTGTCTTTTGAGTCGACTCAAAAGGTGGGAAACGGGGAGTGTGAGGGATTGGATGCTGTCAGGTTAGCTCCCACCACCCCACCGCATACTCACCTGGAGGGAGGGAAGCCAATCAGCGGTGCCACCTTGTTGGCATAATGTTTGAGATTGATTTTGAGAATTCTCAAAATCAATCTCAAACACAGCGGTGCCACCATGTTGGCATACTGCACCACCGCCTCAAAATGCACCATGATCTGATCTAAGCTGCCACAGCAACCCTTTAAACGCCTCATAACAGCAAGCACACCCCCACTACTATCAACTCGCAATTAAGCAAATCACAACCCCCACTGCATGCTCACTTGGAAGGGGGGAAGCCAAAGAGCGGTGCCACCTTGTTGGCATAATCCACCACCGCCTCAGGATGCACCATTATCTGCCGCGGCAACCCTGCCTCCTCTTCTTCCTCCTCATCCCTTTCCTCCCCTGCGCCCTGAAAGCCCATCCTCACTCCTCCGCCCAGCACGCCCGGTTGAGCTGCTGCGCCTCTCCCGCTGCCCTGCGCCTCCCCTTTGTCCAGATCCGCCAGGGCCTTCTTCATTGCGTCTGAAACTGCCTTTTCCAGCCGCATGAACTTGGTGTACTGGGTAGGGCAGGGGGGTGACAGGCGGTAGGGGGGAACACAGAAGAGGGCAGAGGCAAGGCCCGAAAGGGAAAGAAAGGGGAAGTGTCGATAAATCCGCCAGGGCCTTCTTCATTGTGTCTGAAACTACCTTTTCCAGCCGCATGAACTTGGTGTACTGGGCAGGGTGAGGGGGGAGGGGCAGAGGAAATGGGTGTGTGAATACATGTATGGATGTATGCATGTATGCATGTATGCATGTATGGATGTATGCATGTATGGATGTACAGATGTATGCATGCACGCATGCATGTACGGATGTATGCATGTATGCATGCATGTATGCATGTATGCATGCATGTGCAAGAAGGGCGTTCACAGTCGCCAGGTTCCCTCACTGCGTTTGTCAGTGCCTTTCCCGAAACCTCATCGGTCCCTCGCACCTGCTCACTACTCCCTCTGACACACCACTGACCTGCTTCATCTTGGGTAGCACTTCGCGCCCCTCCCTGTACGCATCTCGCATCACCTGCGACTGGTGTAGTGCCCAGTGCCCAATGCGCAGTGCCTATGCTCCCTCCCAACCCAACCCACTCCTCCCATCTTCCCACACCCACCCACCACTCACCTGCTTCATCTTCGGCAGCACTTCACGCCCCTCCCTGTACGCGTCTCTCATTACTTTTGCCTGCCACCGCACCTTGTCCTCCCGCGCCATGTAGTCCGCGATGACTGTGCGACTTGTGTCCACGCCATACCTGCACAGGACAGAGAGCCATGACAGGCAGAACAGGAGACAACAGGAGGGCGGTGAGAGGGGGATGAGAGACGTGGGAGAGAGACGAGTGTCACCGCACCTTGTCCCCCCGTGACATTTAGTCCGCGATGACTGTGCGGCTTGTGTCCACGCCATACCTGGAAACGGAGGGGGAAGGTGGGGGGAAGAGTGGGGGAGGGACGAGTTTCACCTCTGCTCCGCCTCCTGCCACTGCACCTTGACCTCCCGCGCCATATAGTCCGCACCTTGACTGTGCGGCTTGTATCGACACCGTACCTGGGCAACAAAGGGGGAGAAGAGGAAGCAGGGTAGGGAGAGCATGAGGGGTGAAATTCGCATCACCTGCGCCTGCCACCGCACCTTGTTCTCCCGTGCGGCTTGTATCGACGCCGTACCTGCACCACACAAAAGGGGAGAGCAGAGGGGACATTAGTGGCAAAGGGAGAGGAGAGCATCACCTGCGCCTGACACCGCACCTTGTCCGCGCCATGTAATCTGCTATCACCATGCAGCTTGTATCAACGCCGGATCTGCACCACACAAAAGGGGAGGGCAGAGGGGACGGCAGTGGTAAAGGTGGGGTGGGGGGAAGAGTGGTGGTGCGGAGGAGGAGCATTAACACTGCCTGCCACCTGACCTTTACCTCTCCCCGCCCAACAGGTCTGCTATCACCGTTCATTCAAGATGTACCTGCCTTGAACGGCCCGTTTGACAGCAGAGTGTGGCAGGTGTATCAAGACGTACCGGACTCGAATGGCACGTTTGACAGCAACGCGTGGCAGGCGTTTCAAGGCATACCTGCGAACGGCCCGTTTGACGGCAGCGCCAGCAGGTGATTCAAGACGCACCTGGCTTGAACGGCCCATTTGACAGCAGCGTCTGGCAGTTGTTTCAAGAATCCACCTGGCTTGGACGGCCCGTTTGCCAGCAACGCGTGGCAGGCGGCGTCTCAAGGCATACCTGGCTTGAACGGCCCGTTTGACAGCAGAGTGCGGAAGGTCCTGCCTGGCGCGGGCGAGGGAGATGAGGGCAAGCTTCCACGTCACCAGCACCTCCTGGTACTGCTTGCGCTGCTGCTTCTTCTTCCCTCCCTCCCTCCCACTCTCCCTCCCACTCTCCCTCCCACTCTCCCTTCCACTCTCCAGTCCAGTTTCCCTGCCGCTTTCCCCACCACCCTCCCCACCACCCTCCCCGCCACCTCCCTCCCCTCCTCCTCCCGCGCCCCCATCCGCTTCCCCGCTCTGCTTCTTCTTCCTTCCTCTCTTCTTCCCAGTGCCCTGCGCCGCCGTCTTTGCTCCACCACTACCCGCCCCTACAACCCCTACCCTCCTCCTCGGCCGCCCGGTCTTCTTCCTCTTCCACCTCTTCTTTAACAACCCTTCAACTCCCATTTCCCCGTCCCACCGCTCGTCCCCCTCTCCCTCCTCCTCCTCCCCTCTCCGCACCCGTGCCTCCCTTTCCGCCACAAACTGAGCCACCACCTTCAGAAGCTTATCAGCTGCAGTGTTCCAAATCTTGTTCCGCCTCACCGTCTTCTCATCCCGTTGCTTTCGCACCAGCCCTGTCACTATATTCCCTAGATGCATATTCACATCCATGCCTAGAAACCCACCCCCTTCCCCTACCCCTTCCCCCTCCCCTTCCCCTTCCACGTCCGTCCCTTCTCCTCCCCCATCCGTGGTGTTCCCCTCTCCACCGTCCGTTGTGATCCCATCGCCACCGTCCGTTGTCCCGCCGCCCTCACCGTACCCCTCCCGCCCGCCATTGTCACTCTCTGTACCATCACTCTCTCCTACCCCAGACGTATTCCCTCCTCTCCCTCTCCCACTGCTCCTTCCAGCACCATCACCACCACCACCACCACCAGCACCACCATCCCCAGTCGCACCACCACCCTTGCGGTTCGCACGCAGGTCCTCTTTCGTTCGCCACTTCAACCCGTGCCTCCCCGCAAAGTTCAGAATCCACGACATGTGGAACTTGAACTTGGGATTCTTTTCCGCAATCCCGAAACTCGGAGCCAGCTTCTGCGCATATGCCAGAATATCCTCGTACAGCAAATTCTCCTTCCCATACTTCGCCCGCATCTCCCGTACCCACGCCGCGAGTGCCTCTTCGAATTCCGGGAACTCAACCCGCCTCGGGACAGGCTTTTTCGGCTTGTTCAGGTCGGCGTTCAAGTACTGGTAGCTCTTGCGGAGGGTATACCGGAGGGCTGCAGGGGAAATACTCGCTGCAATCACAGGACCGCAGGACTCCAGTATAATGTGGATGATCTCTTGGTTTGTGAGAGACGGACGAGCTTCCTTGAGTAGACAGATTGCCTTTCGCATCTTGATGGTTCGCACACACGTTGTGATTTTCTTGTTCTTTTCCTTAAACTCCTTCTGCTCTTCCAGAAGCCGGTAATATTCCGTATATACCGGGTTAGTCTGCAGCTCCTCTTTACTAATCACCCTGCCCGTGATCGGATTCCGGGGCAGAACCTCGATCTGCGCCGCATTTGCGAGGTCAGCCTCGGTGATCACCCTCCGAGCCTCCGCCGCAGCTCTGGCTTCAGCCATGGCGAGCTCTACTAGCTTCGGATCGGGCTGGTAACCCTCCGAGTCTTCACCGTCATCCCCATAGTCTAGCGAGTTGGCAGTGTTTGTAGTGTTTGCAGTGTTGGCGGTTCCTCCGATCATGCTGTTTGCAGCAGTGAATGGGGCTGATTCGTTCAAGGAGCTCGCTGCAAAAGCGGCCGAGTCGAGAGGCTGGTTGGAAGAAGGACCAGCACCCCCGGCACCCCCGGCACCACCACCACCATCACCACCACCACCACCATCTCCAGCAACACTGTCAGCTGTCCGAACCACCACCATCTCTCCTCCCTCCAGCTCCTCAAACAAGTCACCTGGGATAACATCATCTTGATCCCCCTCTCCCACTCTCGCCTGCCCCCCTTCCTGCCCATACCCCAAACCACTCTCCTGCCCATACCCCTGCCCTGTCCCCTGCCCGTACCCCTGGCCCTGCCCGTTCGCCTGCCCTGTCATCTGCCCGTGTCCCTGCCCTATCTCCTGCCCGTACCCCTGTCCAGTTCCCTGAGCATACCCCCCTTGCTGCGCATATCCCCCTCCTCCTAGCTCCTGCCCATGCATTCCTCCCCCAACCTGCCCATACACATCCCCCTGCTGCCGCTGCTGCTGCTCCCACTCCGCCCCTTCCCCCAAAACCCCCCCATCGCCCCTCCCCGCCCCTCTCCCCCTCCCCCTCCCTCTCCCTGTCCCAGTCCCCGACTTCCTCCCCAGCAGGTTCTCCGCCCACCAGTCTCTGGGCTTCCGTCCCTTCTGGTTCGCCCGGGACTTAAACAGCTCCTGCCCAAACATCTGATCCGCTAACTCAATCAAGGAAGGCCCAGCAGAGTCATCCTCGTTAGGGTAGTCCTCACACGCCGCATCTATAGCCTCCTGGGAAAATCCCAAGTGCGACAACACGCGGTACACCCACGCCCTTGTGTACTTGAAAGTTGGGGGAAACCCGAAAGAATACCCCAGCTCCTTGGCCTTCTCAATCACCTGCTCGCTCGGCACACCACCGACCCTCTGCTGCTCCTCCCCGAACCACCGCGCCAAGGCTCCCTCCATACCAGACTGGTCCGGCGGCTGGTTGGTTCGGTTGTGCCCTTTCCCGCCCAGCATCGCCGCCCACTTATGCGGCTTCTGAATAATATCCGCCACCCGAGTCGAGTAAATCCTGATCCCCGGATACTTCGTTTTAAGCACTTGAACAATCTTCACTAGTGTGATTCCCGGCCGGTCGCGCCGAAGCTCACAAATCTCGGCCTTTAGCGTCACTGGGATGAAATGGCGGCGTTTTCTCTCAGGGTCCCTCAGTCGCACCGGCCGGAACTCCCCATCCACGTCGGTATCCGACCCGTCTGTTGCTGCTGCCGCCGCCGCTGCTGCTTCTGCTGCTGCTATTGCTGCGGCTGCCGCTGCTGTGCCTGGCCCAGGGGCAGCCGCACCTGCTTCTCCTCCTCCTGCTCCTGCTGGCAACATTTCCTCTTCCCCTCCTCCAAATCCTCCTGTTTCCCCTCCTTCCTCTCCTTCCCCTCCTGCTGGCACCGCCTCAGCTCCATACTCTTCTCCCTCCATCCCACCACCCATCCCCATCTCGCCATCTGCAAAGCCTGTGGCATCAAGATCGAAACCCCCTACACCAAGCCCCCCCTCCATGCCCCCTGCTTCTCCCCCCACCGCCACTCCCCCCTCTGCTCCAACCCCATCCGCAACACCAGCAGCAGCACCAGCAGCGGCAGCGCCTGCTGCTCTGGCAGCAGCAGCCCGGGCGGCTGCCAGTCCTGCAGCATACCCAGCAGCGTAGATCGCAGACATATCACCATCCCCCCCAACTTCGCCCCCAACCGCCTCCTGTCCACCCACCTCTTGAAGAGGAATCTGAAGTGCAGAAACACCCCCCATTATCGCCTGCACAGGGTCTGGAACAGCAACTGCCTGCTCCTGCAGTCTCACTACCTGCAGCTCTTCTCCTCCTGCCCTCCCATCTGACGCTGCTGCTGCTTCTTGTCCCCTAGCTCCTACTGCTGCTGCCCCTACTGCTGCCCGTCGCCCTTGCCGGGACCCCTTCCCCCTTCCCTGCCCCCCTGCCCCACCCCCCGCGCGCCTCCCCCTCGCCACCCCTCTCCCCGCGCCCGTTCCCTGCCTTCCAGCCCCGGTCGCAACATCTGTAGCACCAGCAGCAGCTGTAGTAGCGACTGTAGCAGGAACAGTACTCGCAACAACTGTAGCAGCAGCTGTAGCCGTGGCTGCAGGAGCGCGAATACTCATACTCTGACGCTGCTGCTGCTGCTGCTGGCCATACTCCTGATCACCATACTCTGCAGTCTGGTGGTAACCCTGTGCTTGTCCGTAAACCTGCCCCTGCTGATTCGTCTGCTGATAACCCTGCCCAGCTCCATAACCCTGACCGTGACCCCCCCCTGCCACTACCCCCGAATCGTAACCTCCCCCTTGAGCATGCCCCTGGGCTTGCTGGTATGCGAGACTCGCAGGCGTTGTAACAGCTGCTGTGGTAACCACTGCCGGCGCAACAGCAGCAGCAGTCGCAGCAGTAGCAGCAGCCTCGTACCCATGGTAGCCCTGCAGCCCGGCTGTCGTTACAGTATCGCTGTTGTAACCAGCGTTACTACCACCACCCACCGGCAGCAAACTCCCCTGGTCGAAACTCTCCACGTGGGTGTGAGCGTTAACTACAGCAGCAATGGTGCGATTCCACTCTTGGGTATGAGATTGCTCCTGACTCGCAACATTCGCGCTCGCAAAATTCGCACTGGCAACATTCGCACTTGCAACTTGCCCCTCTAGCGCATCCAGCCACCACTCTCGCTGCGTCTGTCGCACAGGCTGCTCCTGCCGCTGCTCCTGCCGCTGCTCCTGTCGCTGACCCTGCCGCAGGGCCTGCCTCTGCGACTGTTCCTCCGCCTGTGTCGCATGTCGCGCCGCTTGCGTTTGTCGTTCAGGCTGCTGCACTTGTCGCACGGGCAGCACTCGTCCTTCCACCTGCAACTGCCGTTCCGCGTGCGCTCGCTGCTGCCGTTGCCCAGCCGTCGTTTGTCGCACGGTAGTCGCTTGCTGTCGCACGGCTTGCGACTGTCGCACAGGCTCCACCTGCCTGGACTGGTACTGAGCCGCGCGTGTGGATTCATTTCCACCAAACACCCCCTGGGCGTTGTAATCAGTAACAGCTGCTGCAGTCGAAGCAGTAGCACCACCGCTTAACCCTGCCGAATCGTACCACGTGGCGGCGGCTTGATTCAGGGTCTGATTCTGTGCCACGTGTCCGCCGCCGCCGCCGTCCGCAGCCTGAGAACTTGCGTAAAATTCGGCTGCTGGCTGTACCAATCCTGTGACAGGTAGGAGCGAGCCGACAGTTTGGGCTGCGGCGGCGGTTCCGGCGTGAGCAGCGGACCAGGCGTTTAGAATCGCTTGCTGCTGTACTTGATACGCGTTAAGAGACGGCGAGACCTGATAAGTGGTTTGGGCCGGCTGCTGCTGATAAGCGGTTTGAGCCGGCTGTTGCTGATAAGCGGTTTGCGCCGGTTGCTGCTGATAAGAGGTTTGAGTCTGCTGCTGCTGATAAGCGGTAAGAGCCGGCTGCTGAAACGCGCCGGTTTGGGTGGACGGAGCAGTGGGGACTGACGAACCAAAGAAATGAAAGGTGTTAGAGTTCTGCTGAGCCATAACTATTCCTTTTGCTGTATGAGTAGTTTCGACGACTGGAGAGTTAAACGCAACATGGACACCAGCAACTTTGGCAGAGCGACGTCAATACGGAACAGAAGCTGAACGGGGAGATGTGAAGGCTAACTACTGAAGGCAGGAACAACTTTCAAATATTTCATTTGTAGAACGTTAGGAGGAAAGCGAGGCCAATGTTGCAAGAGCACCGCGGGAAATGAGCAGGCTCTGACGAGCTCTCCTCCGACAGATGAACAATTGTGTTCTGACGAGCTACACTCCAGCAGGCGAAAATCAGAATACACTAGATTACTACATACTTCTATACATTTGTTTGGCGAGCTGCGTGTTGGGTCAATCTTGCGGTTCACCGCACTTCTTGGTCCGGCGTATCGGACGGTAGAGAGCATGTCTTTCTGTATTCAAAATGGTAACTCCTCGCTCAAACCCAGCTGGGGGATTGGCTCTCGCGAAGTCCAACTTCGATACTGACAGGAATTCGTTTGCGGTCGAAAGCCTTGGCCTCTCAACTCAAGTTTGTTGGGTGAAAAGATGTTGGGGTGCTTTTGGCTGGTGGGATGGGAGGGTTGCGGGCACCAAAAGATTCCATTTCCACAAGACGGATACAGCGAATCTCGCGGTTCTGCGCACCAAACGAACCGCTCTTTTCTTATCGGACGGTTATTAGACTCCTGTGTTTCCCACCAGTTGTCATTCTGCCCGACCTGTGTAACCCTCGTCGCTGACCATCAGGAAAAGTTTCGTCGCATCAGAAAAATTGGTTCTGGCGACGACAGGTCTTCGATATTGGTTGGGGACCCGTTTGAGGTAGAAACCCTAGCATCTGGAATCCTCCAACCAATCATGTTCCTCCGTTGCCCAACGAAACCCTCGTTCTGCTTCATCCTCGTTTTGCCAACTTCCATTTCCCACCTTCCGTTTTCCCATCACCTTTCCGTTCCGTTTCTTCCATCCACCTTATCCTCAACAGCTAGCGCAGAGAAGAGCGATACAGCACCATATCGGAGCAGCAGATTGAGCTCTTGACGCGGTAAGGGAAAGAACCATTTCACAGATCCTTCTCATCCCCTGCATCTTGAATCTCCTCTTGTGCAACACTAGTAGCGCGTCACTAGTGAGTCTGTTCTTAGAGGTGTGTATCCCCAAAATATTCACTTCCAATATCGAATCCTCCGATTCGCGGTTCGACCTCACAAATTATTTCCATCCTTAGCCTTCAGCTGTAGTACGTTCAACGAGTACGGAGCGCAAACTTTTCAGACCTCCTCGTTAGTTATCATTACCTTCTGTCTGAAATTACTAGTTTTTTCCTCCCTTTGTTTCTTCGGTCCGTATAGTAATCTAGACCATGGCGCAGCAGCAAGGCGTCGACGAGTTGACCTTGATGCAGCAAACACCAGGCGGAATGGTCATGGCTCCAGCATCTGCAATGGACCCGTACGGCGCGCATCATCAACATCATCACCATCATCTCCACCACCAGCAGCAGCAACAGCAGCACCATCACCACCTCGCGCATCCCGGATTGGTACAGCAATCTCTTGACGAATCAACGGTCATGATTCCAGCTGAAGCCGACGCCGTCGCCGCCATGCTCGGAAATGCCGGCGGCGAGGTGATGCTAACGAGCGGAGGATTAGCGGGCGCGGCCCACGGTCATCCTGGCGCGATTGTGACTACACAGGGGGTTATGGCTGCCGGGGGCATCCCGCATGGTCAAGTCGTGATGACAGCGGATGGGAGAATGGTGACCGTTGACGGAAGCGTTTTGACCAATCAGGGAGTGCTTGTCGCCGCTGCATCCGCGTTGGAGCACGCCTCGATACAAGAACACGCCGCCGCGATGCACCACGCCTCGATGCAAGAACACGCCGCGGCGATGCACCACGCGGCGTTACAAGAGCACGCCGCTGCTGCGGCGGCTATGCGACAGCACCATTCGCTACAAGAACGGCCTCCGATGCAGCACTACGCGGGAGAGGACCAGCACGCGTCGATGCAACACATGCACCAGCACCACCTACACCAGCACCACCACCATGCAGCCATGGCGGAACATGAGGCCGTGCAGCAGCAGCAGCAGCAACAGCATCAGCAGCAAATCCAACAGCACCACCAGCAGCAGCATCAACATCCAGTTCAGGAGTCTATTCAGCAGCAACAGCAGCAGCACCACGAAGGTCACGCGTCCATGCCAGAGCATCAAACCGCTTCAGCCCATCACGGGGGATACCACAGCGGGGATCACGCCGCACATCACGGTGGCCATAACGAAGATCTCGCCTTGGTTGCAACCCACGGAGACACCATGGCCGCCGGCGGCGGCGGTCAAGGGGACATATCCGGAGGCGAGTCGGAAGGCGAAGAGGAGACTATCATGCTCCGCGGCCGCAGCAAGAACCGGCAGGCTGTGGAGCTGATAATCAAGCAGGAGATCTGCGCGCTCAAGAACGCGCGGCCGAAGATCACGGCGGCGGGGATCTGCCAGGTGTTGCGCGCGAAATACGGTAACTCCACCGTGCGAGAGTCGCAGATCCCGCGCATCCTGCGCGACGAGCACAAGTGGGGCCGCGCGCCCGCGAACTTCAAGCGCGTGAGGCAGCCGCACAACGTGCGGCTGGAGGAGGCTCTGGCGGTGTGGGTGCGCGATATGAAGGCGCGAGGAGACTTCCGTGTGACGTGCGATCGAATCTTGGAGCATGCGAAGGACATTGGCCCATCGCTGGGCGTTCCCGCATCTTTTAGGTGAGTCCTGAGACGTTCAATAGACGTGCGATCGCATCTTTGAGCATGCGAAAGACATTGGACCGTCGCTAGGCGTTCCCGCATCCTTCAGGTTCGCCTGTTGGTGGTGCTTTTCGCGGCGGATAGGGGTTATGTACTTGAGATGGATCATCAGGTCAATCGTTTCTTTAGGATCTGTTTTCCTTCTTTCTGGTCGCCTTTCCTAATGGTATTTCGTATATTCTGTTGCGTTTCTTCCCCTTCTCGTTCCTTTGGCTGCAACCAACAGGTACAGCTGCGGGTGGATCTCTCGCTTCCTCAGGCGCTGGGGGCTCACACGCAAGGCGGTGGAAGCAGCAAGGGAGGCCAATTTCAACCCCCTAGACCCCTCCTCGGGCCCCTCGCACGGCGGTGGCGGGGGAGGGGAGGGGAGCTTGGAGACCACTGAAAGCGCCCCACACATCACATACAGCAGGAGCCTCCTGGAGCGATCATGTAGTTTAATCCGTTCCTTTCTGTTCCGTTTCTTCCCCTTCTCGTCCCTGTGCCTTCGTGCAACCAACAGGTACAGCCGCGGGTGGATCTCTCGCTTCCTCAGGCGCTGGGGTCTCACACGCAAGGCAGTGGAAGCAGCAAGGGAGGCCAACTTCAACCCCCTAGACCCCTCCTCGGGCCCCTCGCACGGCGGAGGGGGAGGCACCGACAGCGCCGCACACATCATCGACAGCAGGAGCCTGCTGGAGCTCGCAGACGAACAGCTAGATCTGGAGGAAGCCGCCCGCCGCGCATCTGAGCCGTCGGATCTGCTTGCTGAGCTGGCAGATGAGGATATCTTGGCCGCTGCAGCCAGCATTCCTGCAGTGGGGAGTAGCGTTGTGGCGGCTGTGGCAGGCTCTAGGGGCGCGCAGTATGCTCCCAGTGCTGGGGGGATTGGGGGGCCTGGTGGGCAGTATACTCCTGGGGTTGGGGGGGCTGGTGGGGGGGGAATGGGGGGTGGGGGAGAGTCCGTTGGGGAGGGGCAGCTGCAGGCTGTAGCGGAGGAAGTGCTTCTGGGGCTGGACGGATCTGTAGCCCGGGCGCCGGCTCCTGCTGGTGCTTCTGGCGCTGCTGCTGGTGCTGCTGCTGGTGCTGCTGCTGGTGCCTCTGGTGGTGGTGGTGGTGGTGGTGGTGGTGTGTACGCGCCTGGCTCACACATGCTTGTGCCTTCCGGAGCGACTTTCTCTGCCTCTCAAGGCCCATACACGTCCTCTGCCCTCGCCCAGCTCTCTTCCGCGCCTCCCCACGCGCCCCATCCCCCGCCGCCGCCCCCCCAGCGGCGGCGCAACATCACAGTGAAGCTCAAGCGCGCCATCTGCGTGCTGAAGCGCGCCAAGCCGCGCCTGCGCGCGTCCGCGATTATAGACGCCGTGCGCGCGAGCACGGGCATCTCCCTAGGCACGCACCAGGTCTCGCGGATCCTGCAAGATAGTGACCGTTGGATGCGCGCCCAGACCAACGCGAACGCCGTCAAGCGCGTGCGGGACCCTGAGAACGCGGCACTAGAGGAAACCCTAGCGGAGTGGGTGAAGGAGATGCGGGCGAAGCATGGCGAGGCGATGGTTACCAGGGACGACATGATTGACCATGCGAAGAGGATCGGTCCCGGGTTGGGGGTTCAGCCGGGGTTTAAGTATAGCCGGGGGTGGCTGTCGCGGTTTTTGTGGCGGTGGGGGCTGCAGACGAAGGAGGAGAGGGAGGCGGCGAGGAGGGAAGGAGGTGGTGACGGGGCGGCGGCTGCTGGGGATGCTGGGGGTGCTGGAGCTGGAGGTCCGCTGGCGTTAATGCCACCTGATGCTGATGCTGAAGGGGAGGCTGAAGCAGGTTCTGCTGGTGCTGATGCTGCTGCTGGGGCCGCTGCTGGGGCCACTGCTGGGGCTGGGACTGGGGCAGCAGGAGCTACAGCTGGTGCTGGTTCTGGGGCTGCTGGGGCAGGGAACGACACTGGCAGCGACCTTATCGTATCCTCTCACGATTTTGTCATTACCGGGACCGACAGCGACGAGGATAATTTCCTTCGTCTGGTGGAGGAGCAGCTTGCGGAGGTTGAAAAGGCAGGCGGCAAGGCAGCCAGGGCTGCGCTCATGTGGGGCGAAGGGGCTGAGGGGGGCGAGGGCGGAGCAGCAGGAGAGGGCGGAGGCGCAGGAGGAGAGGGCGGGTCTTCTGAAGGGGAGGATACCGGGGACGAGACAGACATTGGGGAAGGCGGGGGGGAGAGGAAGCGGCGGTACGGTGCGGGGGTGTTCGGAGGGATGGGGAGCGGTGAGGGGGCAGGAGATGCACTTGATGTGGATGCGGATGGGACCAGGAGGAGGCGGATGGTGCAAGTGAAGGTGAAGCGGGCGGTTTGTGCCTTAAAACGAGCGCGGCCTGAGCTCACAAGCCGGGAGATCATCGACGCAGTGAGAGTGAAATACGGAGTGGACCTCCCCCCGTCGGCTGTGCCGAGGATTCTGAAGTATGACGAGCGGTGGCAGCAGGCGGGGGCAGCGGCGTCGTGCCGGGTAAGGTCATGTATGAACTCCAAGTTAGAAGAGGTGCTGGCGGCGGCTGTTAGACGGGCGCTGGCCCGAGCTGCTGGTGAGGCGGGTGAGGGGGTGAAAGGGAGTGAGGGCGGCGAGGCCGGTGGTGAGGGAGGGGAGGGTGTGAAGGGGAGTGAGGGAGCGGAGGGGGCGGGGGGAGAAGGCGGGGAGGAGGGTGCTGCTGGTACTTCAGCAGCAGCAGGTGGTGAAGGGGGAGGAGGTGGAGAAGGAGGAGGAGCAGAAGGGGGGGCAGAAGGAGCAGGAGCAGCAGCAGTGGCAGCGGCAGCGGCAGCGCCAGCAGTGGCAAGGACGGTAACAGTGCAGTCGATTCTCGACCACGCCAAGCGCATAGGCCCTCTGCTAGGAGTGGCACCAGGCTTCCGCTACTCCAAGGGGTGGGTCTGCCGCTTCTTGCAGCGCTGGGGCTTCGGCAGCAAGCATCTGAAGAGCGGGGTTCTAGGGGTGGTGGCTTCTGGGGGGAGTGCTATGGGGGGTGATGGGGGCGGGGAGGAGGGGGAGGCGGGGGAGAATGGGGACGAGGAGGGGAGGGAGGAGCGAGAGGATCGGGAGTTACAGGAGTTGTTGAGTATCGTGGATGGGCAGGCAGCTGAGCAGGCGAGAATGGAGGCGATGTACGGGTGGGGGTATGGGGGAGGGGGATACGGGGGAGGTGGGTATGGGGGAGGTGGGTATGGGGGAGGTGGGTATGGAGGAGGGGAGACAGGCTCGGGAGGTACACCTGGGCAGGTGCCATTTGCGGTGGGTGTTCCTGCTGCTAGGCTTGGGATTATCCGCACGCCCGAAGCTGCAGCTGCGGCCGAAGCTGCAGCCGCGGCTTGGGAGTATGCTTCGGGCGGGGGTGCTGGGGGGATGAGGAAGAGGAAGAGGTTTGGGGTCGGGCCTGGTGACGTGGCATTGCATAATAGGTCGAGGTCGCACTTCTGGGATTTGATGGTAACAGAGATGGCAGGGAAGGGAGAAGGAGGAGGGGGGCAGGGGGGAGTGGAAGGGGGAGTGTGGAGTGGTGGAGAGGTGAAAGCAGAGGAGGGGATGGTTGGGATGGAAGTAGCAGAGGGTGATGTGAATCTCAGAGAGGGAGAGGCACTCACTGCTAGACAGGATGTCACAGCTGCTCCTGTGGCTGACCCAGCAGCTGCTGACACCACTACCGCTGCTGCGCCTCCTGCTCTTGGTGCTGCTGCCACTGTTGGTTCTGCTGCCGGTGCTGCTGCTGATGCAAACTTCGCTGCTAATGATAGTGTGAAGGGCCCGGAACAGGCAGGGGCAGAAGGAGGCGAGAAACAAGAGGGTGTTGCTGCTGCTGAGGAGACAGGTGCAGCGCCTACCGCTGCTGGCGAAACTGGTGCAGCTCCTGTGGTCGATGCTGACGCTGCTTCCTCTGCTGTTGCCCCTTCAGGGGAGGAGGGTGCAGTTGCTGCTGATGCTGCTGTTGTCCCTGCTGGCTCTGCTGCTGCTGCTGCTGCTGCTGCAAATGCTGCTGGTGGTAGCGGGGAAATGGAAGTTGGTGAGGGGGATGGGACGGTGGCAGGTGCGCGGGAGGAAGGCGAGAAGCAAGCAGAGAGCGGAGAGAAAGGTGTGGAGGGAGAGGTTCACCTGGTGAAGGCTGGGGACAAGGAAGCACCTGCCACTGCAGGGGACCCTGCTGCTGATAATGACGCGGCTCCTGCTGCTGGTAGTGGTGCTGCTGCTGCTGGTGCTGCTGCTGCTTCTGCAGCTGACACTCCAGTTGCTGGTGATGATGGTCAATCTCAGCCTGCCAAGGCTGCTGAAACAGCAGCAGCAGCAGCAGATGCGTCACAGAAATCGGCAGAGCAAACGCCCGTCCCAGGCAGTGCAACAGCAGCAGCACCAGCTGCAACCCACTCAGTTCCAGGAGAGACACCTGCTGCTCCTGATACTCAAGCAGAAGGCCATGCACCTTCTTCTCTTCCGCCACCCTCAGCAGGAACCACTGTAACGCCTGTAACACCTGCAACACCTGTAACACCTGTAACACCTGTAACACCAGTAAACCCAGCTTCGGCCGTACCACCAGCTTCGGCTCCTGCACGAGCCTCAGCAGCAATGTATGCAGCATCAGGAGCAACCCCAGGACTACACCATGTAACTCCAGGGGTGGGTGCAATTGCTGCAGGAGGTCCTGAAGGTCACAGATGGCAAGAGGGCTACAACCACAGCGGTTACCATCAGGGATACGGACCGTCACTGTACGGTCTCAACTCTGGCCCAGGGTATGGTCCAGGATATGGCACCCGGGGAAGGAGAGGAAGGGGAGGCGGTAGGGGGAGAGGGCGGGGAGGGAGGGGGGCAGGCAGGCGCGGGGGGAGCAGCAGCGCTGGTGTGGGGGGGATTGCGGGGAGCATTGGGGGGAGTAGAATGATGGGGTTGGCTGCGTCGGCTGGGTTGATTCCTAGCTGGGCTGCTGCAGCGGTGAAAGCTGTTGAGTCTCCCTTTGCTCCTCCCGCCCCTCCTCCCCCACCTGCGCCTCCTTCCCCTCCTGCCCCTGCCCCTGACGCTGCCCCTACCCCTGCTGCTGATGCTGCCCCTGCCCCTGAGGCTTCCTCTGCCCCTGCCCCTACCACTGCTGCTGACACTGCCTCTGCCCCTGCCCCTCCCCCTGCTGCTGACGCTGATGCTGCCTCTGCCCTTACCCCTGCCGCTGATGCTGGCCCCGAGGTAGTACCAGCACCAGCGCCTGAGTCTGCTCCGGCTGTTGGTACTGCCGGTGCGACTGAAGGTGCCGCTGCTGTTGGCACTGCTGATGGTGCCGACGCAGCAGCAGCAGCTGCTGTTGTTGACGGTGCTGCTGATGGTGCGATGGATACAGACACATCTGCTATGGCTGACAGCTTAGATGCTGCCTCTGCTCCTGATGCTGCCCCTGCTCCTGATGCTGCCCCTGCTCCTGATGCTGCCTCTGCTCCTGATGCTGCCTCTGCTCCTGATGCTGCCTCTGCTCCTGATGCTGCCTCTGCTCCTGATGCTGCCTCTGCTCCTGATGCTGCCTCTGCTCCTGATGCTTCTGCTGCTGATGCTTCTGCTGCTGGTGCCACTGCTGCTTCTGATGGTACTGCTGATGGTGCGGCTGCTGCTGCTACTGTCACTGAAGCCGCGGCGGCAGCTCCCATGGATGCTGCTGTTGCTGATGCTACTGCGGTTCCAACAGATGATGCTGCTGCTGCTCCTGATGCTTCTGCACATCCCGAAAGTATGACTGTTGCTGTTGCTGTTGCTGATGCTGCTGATGCATCTGCAGCACCTACTGACGTTGCTGTTGATGAATCTGCAGCAGCTCCTGCCAATGCTGCTACTGAAGCTGTCACTGCTCCTGCTGCTCCCGTTGATGCTCCTGCTGTTGCTGCCCCTGTTGATGCTATTGCTGCTCCTGCTGCTGAGGCTGACACTGCACATGCCACAGACACTCCAGTTGATATTCAGCATGTAGCTACAGATGTTACGCCTGTGGCGGATGCTTTGGTTTTAGATTCTAGAGATACAGACATGATGGACGTGGGCGGTGCAGCTGCAGATGCTGCTACAGCTAATGCTACAGGTGTGGCTACAGCTGATCCTGCTGGTGCTGTTACAGCTGAGCCCATGGAGGGTGTTGTGGTGAGTAGTGAAACTGCTCCGGATACTGGTGGCCCTTCACCTGATGCTGCTGTTGCTGCTCCACCTGATGCTGCCAGTGCTGCTTCTGCTGGTGCTGCTGCTGCCTCTTCACCTGATGCTTCTGGTGCTGCTTCTGCTGGTGCTACCGCTGCACATGAAGCTGCTGCTACTGCTGATGCTGCACCTGCTGCGACAGGTGACGTGTGTGTCATCGCCCCTGCTGCCACACACGCTCTCCCACAACCACACTCCCTGCCGGGCGCTGCTCCTCTCTTCTCTGCATCGCTTCCCCTGGGTGTGGGCCTCACTGCTGCTGCACCACTGCACTCGTCCTCGGAGGCCTCTGCCTTCCATCCTGCTTTGGGGCAAACCCGAGTGCTGCCTGCTGCTGCTGCTCCCGCTCCTGCTGATTCTGCCGCTGCTGCTCCTGCTCCTGCTCCTGCTCCTGCTCCTGCTCCTGCTCCTGCTCCTGCTCCTGCTCCTGCTGCTGATTATCTTCCTCCTGTTGCTGCTGGTGATTCTCCTGATGCTGCCCCCGATGTTGCCCCCGATGCTGCTCCCGATGCTGCTCCCGATGCTGCTCCCGAAGTTGCTCCCGATGCTGCTCCCGGTGCTTCTCCCGATGCTGCTTCCAATGGTGCTCCTGATGCTGCCCCCAACGCTGCTCCCGAGACTACCCCCGATGCTGCTCCCGATGCTGCCCCCGAAGCTGCTCCCGATGCTGCTCCCGATGCTACTCCTGATGCTGCAGCTGATCCCAAGGACGTTGCGGGTCAGCAAGAGCACGCAGTTTTTCCTGAAGCAGGTGCTGATACGGATGGTGTGGCTGCTGCTGATGATGCAACAGGTGCTGATACGGCTGCTGCTGTGTCTACTGCTGCTGATGTCGCTGGTGCTAATGGTGCTGCTCCGGATGCTGCAGCTGACCTCAAGGGGGGTGTGGATCAGCAAGAGCTCAAAGCTGGCTCTGTGGAGCCCTTTGCTACAGCAGATGCTGATACGGCTGCTGCTGTATCTGCTGATGATGCAGCAGAAGCAGCACCGCTGCCACCACCTGCTGTAGTTTCTCATGATCCGGCTGTTGCGGACGATCCCTACGCCTTGGATAACCCTCCAAGCAGGCCCCTAGATTCGTTTTGAGGTAGTCTGACGCCTCAGAGTACACCCCTCTTCCTAGTCTGGCTGTCAGAGTTACCTATTTTTTTTAGTCTGAAAATTCAGACCAGCATAATTTTTTTTGTCTGAACTATCAGAGTTACTTCAATTGTTTCATAACAGCATAGTTATAATAGCATTGAAGCTGATTACAGCCTGCCAACACATCAGGCAACGTGCTCGTGCATCGCCACTGCTCAGGTCAGCGGCGTTCTGGTGTTTTTGTCACGTGCAGCGCATGGTTGTTTCTGCTAATCTCATTTCGTTTTGTCGTGTGTGTGATTACCGTTCTGTACCCATTTTCTCGCCTGTGTGCCAATTTTGTCAATTTTGGATTTGCCTTTCTAGCGATGTCATCGTTCACCCGATCTGTATCAGGTGGGCCAAGTGCCACGCAGCTGAGCTGTCAGCAGGCAGAAACTGTTGCTTGGCGTGGCGTGTGAGCATCAAAGTCTCCTATTCTTTACAATACATTAGCAATAACTTACATGTGACGAGATTTGTCTTAAAAATCCTGTAATCACGCAACCATTTCCTCAGCGTAACTGGAAGATATTCTCGACGAACGAGTGTATTCGGATGTCCCAGCTGTTGAAGTGTGCGTTGCTCACGTCCTGGCACTCCATGAGCATATTGAAAGGAAACTTCCAAGAAACTTCTCTTCGATAAGCGCGCAGAGTGTACCCCCGATACAAGTCTGAGGCACAGCCTACGCTTAAAAAATTAGGCTGAAATTTCAGACAACTCAATAAAAAAACCTCTGAAAAATCAGACAAGGTACATAAAAAAAATCCTAGACTTCAGACTAGGTAAAAAAAAAAAGTCTGAACGGACTCTGAATCAGACTTTAAAGTCTGATATCTAGGGCCCTGCCTCCAAGGGCTGAGGAAGAGCCCATTGGTGCTGCTGCTCCGCCTGCCGCCGACCCTGAGGACGATCCATATGCGTTGGTGTTGTCGTGTTTCGAGACGCCTCACAGCTTGCATTGCGGGTTTTCAGGATCCGCCACCCACCTGGGATCCTGTTCCGAGTTGAGCCTCCACCCACCTGTGTGCCTTTTCCGAGTTGTGTCTGGAGATGCTTGGATTGGAAGGTCTGTCTGTTTGTGTGTCCTTGTGTGATAGGATGTGCTGTTAGGAGTGCTAACTCTTTATTGGTCTGTCGAAGTGCTAATACAGAACCCTCCATCCTACTCCCTTAACTCCCTCACACTTAGCTAACCCTTCTGCCCATCCCGCTGGCTATTGTTTCTCTGTTATGAAAAATAGTATTGAAAGGGTGCTAAAACTGTACCACCTCAGATCATTCACTCCCTCCTGCAGCAAGCTCAATTAACTTAGTGCTGAATAATGAACTTTGCGATTTTGCCGACGAGTTATGGCAATCTCACAGGCAAGAATCCCCATAGTACGGTAATCCATACAACACATCCTTGAACAAAGTGAATGCCACTCAACATCGAACCCACCACGACACATTAGAACAAACCTCAGACATCAAAGCTGGTTGATGATCCCATAGCCCCACTCCCCACCACCCCACTCGACCCCATAGCACCGCTCGACTCCGAAGCCCCTCCACCCCATGAAGCCACCTCCTCCGCCCTCCGAATCTCCCTTGAAAAGCTCGGCCCGCGGCGGTTCTCCAAATCGCTGTCAATCCGTACCACCAGGGGGTCGGGGTCCGGGCCTAGGAACTCCTCCTTCGTGGCGATGAGGTCGGAGAGAATGCGCGCCATGGAGGGGCGGGTGGCCACGGGCGTGGCGGTGCAGGAGAGGGCGAAGCGTGTGAGCTTGAGGATGAGGTCGTTTGGAGCGTCCAGACGCGGGTCCTTGATTGCCTGGGCGTTGTTCTCGGCAACCAGGGGTTGCACCTGGTGGGGGGGGAAGGGAAGGAGTGTACAGGTGGAGAGAAAATACAAGAACAATTGGCACGGCATGGGCATGAGAAAATGACATCGCTGGGGGCGTCTAGATGCGGGTCCTTGAAAGAAGGAGTGTTTTGAGACGTCTCAAAGCGTCCAGACGCGGGTCCTTGAAAGAAGGAGTGTTTTGAGACGTCTCAAAGCGTCCAGACGCGGGTCCTTGAAAGAAGGAGTGTTTTGAGACGTCTCAAAGCGTCCAGACGCGGGTCCTTGAAAGAAGGAGTGTTTTGAGACGTCTCAAAGCGTCCAGACGCGGGTCCTTGAAAGAAGGAGTGTTTTGAGACGTCTCAAAGCGTCCAGACGCGGGTCCTTGAAAGAAGGAGTGTTTTGAGACGTCTCAAAGAGTCCAGACGCGGGTCCTTGAAAGAAGGAGTGTTTTGAGACGTCTCAAAGCGTCCAGATGCGGGTCCTTGAAAGAAGGAGTGTTTTGAGACGTCTCAAAGCGTCCAGACGCGGGTCCTTGAAAGAAGGAGTGTTTTGAGACGTCTCAAAGCGTCCAGACGCGGGTCCTTGAAAGAAGGAGTGTTTTGAGACGTCTCAAAGCGTCCAGACGCGGGTCCTTGAAAGAAGGAGTGTTTTGAGACGTCTCAAAGCGTCCAGATGCGGGTCCTTGATGGCCTGGGCGTTGCTTTCAGCAACCAAGGGTGGGTTGCATCTGGTTGGGGTCAGAAGGGGGTGCACAGGTGGAGAGGTGCACCTTGGGCATAGCATGAGCTTAATTGTATGACCTGCGCGTTGTAAGCACGAAAATTAAGTCATTCTCATAGTTTTGACATCTGTCGAATCCCCCTCCCCCCAATCCACCAACGATCCATCCATTTATCCTCCCGGTCCACTCACCCACCTGTTCACACGTGCACTCACCCACCTGTTCACACGTGCACTTACCCATCTGTTCACACGTGCACTTACCCATCTGTTCACACGTGCACTCACCCACCTGTTCACACGTGCACTTACCCATTGCTTGAGATTGATTTGACCTTCGTCCAAGCACTCTAGAGCTTTCCGGGCCGTAATCATTGTCAGCATCACCACTCCAAAACTGCAAACAAATATGGCAATAAACAAACACATATATGTTCATGAATGACGAAAAAAGATAGCCTTTTATAGCTTGAGGGAACTTTAAAGCGGGTGCTTCATCTTAAATCAATACTGCTGCAGTGCTTACTTGCACGTTTGACATTCCTTACCTGTGCACATCTGCCACATAGCCTGGTGTTCCCATTCCTTACCTGTGCACATCTGCCACATAGCCTGGTGTTCCCATTCCTTACCTGTGCACATCTGCCACATAGCCTGGTGTTCCCATTCCTTACCTGTGCACATCTGCCACATAGCCTGGTGTTCCCATTCCTTACCTGTGCACATCTGCCACATCGCCTGGTGTTCCCATTCCTTACCTGTGCACATCTGCCACATAGCCTGGTGTTCCCATTCCTTACCTGTGCACATCTGCCACATAGCCTGGTATTCCCATCACTTGCATCCTCACTCACCTGTGCACATCAGCCATAGGGGTGGCCTTCTGTGACTTGAAGTAAGCCGGGTCCACATAGCCTGGTGTTCCCATCACTCTTGTCGCAATCACCGTGGTACCCTCTCCCAGCCTCACCAGACCAAAATCAGCCACCTTAGCCTGCATGACAAAGCGCATCAAGTACGGGAGGGCTTTTGAGACGTCTCAAAACTCTCCCAACCGCACCAGACCAAAATCAGCTACCTTAGCCTGCATGACAAAGGGCAATACGTATGGGAGGAAATGTGAAACGATAGACGAACGGAACAAGTAATCTAGGTTGCTAGTGATTTGTGAATCATGAATAACCTAGGCGGCCTTAAGAATAAATAGCCTTGGGATTCATTTCACGATTATACGTAAACACAACTTCAATGTTTGAGTTCCATCTACAATTCCCCCCTTCTGATCCTTCCATCACCCCTGATTTCTCCAAACTTTCAATCAATATGCTTATGTACTAGCGTTAGACCCATCTTCTACCCTCATTGTTAACCCCCAAGTTCCTACCTGCATCTTTTTGTCGAGCAAAATGTTGGCGGGTTTGATGTCGCGGTGAACAATGTGGAAGCTGTGGAGGTACTGCAGGCCCTGAGCCACCCCGATGAGCACGTCAAAACGCTGCCGCAGTGTCAGAGGAGTAGGCACACCTGGTGGTGGTGGTAGGAAAAGGATACCAATATTAAAGTGACTAGCCTATGTATGCATGTTAATGCCGGAAGCCTAACACAACAAGAAGCAGACAAAAAAAAAAAAAAAAAAAAAAAAACAGGCATGCACTTTCCTGATCGAGTGCGTTTCAGTTTTGCGATTATGCATTATCTCCCAGGTAAGAATATCCCAAAATTGCATCCAACCACCTCAATCGTTAAACCCGCAATATTCGTACCAACGCACCCACCTGGTCCAATCCATTGCTCAAGGTCCCCATTCTCCATAAACTCGTAGATGACAATCTGCTCCGTGCGTTCTGCTGCCACGTCCACGTCAATGCAGTATCCCAGCAGCCGCACGAGGTTGGGGTGGTGCTTCGTGGCCATCTCATTCACCTGGTGAAGGAGAAGGGAGTGGTAAAGAAGGGCGAGATTGTTACTTCATGGGCATGAAAGTGGACCAAGAAAGCAAGCATTTATAATGTACATTTTCTATACATGTACCAATAAACTTGCATATTTTTACACATCGTATACATGTACATTCACATCTACCCCCACATGAATGTATACGAAAACACAAAAACATATGTAGGCCACATGAAGCCACGAAGCACCACGACTAAGCACCTACGACTCTTTCACACCGCTGCATACCACACGCACTCCGCATGCACGCCACACACCACTTTTTGAGGCGCCTCGAAAGTCACACGCACTCCTCCTTTCCGCATGCACACCACACACCTCTTTCGAGGCGCCTAAAAAATCACATGCACTCCTCCTGCGCATGCACACCACACACTTCTCTCCGAAAGTCGTGACTTTTGAGTCGACTCAAAAGTCACCACACACTTCTGAGTCGACTCAAAAGTCACCACACACTTCTGAGTCGACTCAAAAATCACATGCACTCCTCCTCCGCATGCACACCGCACACTTCTCTCCGAAAGTCGTTCATGAGCACCTTTGCTCACGTCACAGCCCACAGCACAGAAGCGTCATGAGATGACACGCCCTTGAACACGTCCCCAAAGCTGCTGCCACCAATCCATTGATAACATGCACACTATCTGGTTGGTACACCACTTGCACTTCTCCGCACCACACCGCACCGCACCACGCCACGCACCTCTCTTCGGAAGTCGTTAGTGAGCACCCTCGCTCGCTTCACAGCCCACACCACCGATGGGTCGTAAGGCGACACTCCCTTAAACACATCCCCAAAGCTGCCGCTGCCAATCCTGTTCGCCTCCGCCCATTCACCAGTGGCCCGCGCCACGACAGCGAGTGAGTACTGCTGACACAGCAACGGCCCGTGCGTCATTCGACCGCTCATCCCGACCCTGCCTCCTGATGGCACGGCTGCCGCAGCTGCCGCTGCAGCGGCTGCTTCAGCTGCTGACACTGGGAGTGGTGGGAATGGGTCAAGAGTGGAAGTGAAGTGGGGAGAAATTGAAGAGATTAGCGGCCGGTTGGGTAAGGAACATGTTTTTGAGTCGACTCAGAAACAGACTCATCACACAGTGATTGAACCGATTGGCGGCTGGCTGGGTAAGGAATTGCAGCAGGCCCGTACGTGTGTCATCACACAACTCCCCGATCGACTTTTGAGGCCAAATAAAAGGAATTCTCCAAGTCCAACCACTTTGCTTCTCCCAGCCAGCCCCATTTCCGATTCACCAGCTCTTTGCAACTTTTTCCTTGAACTCAACTCACCAGCTACGTGATAAAAGTTGTATTTTGAGACTGTCTCAACACACCAGCTCTTTGCAACTCTTTCCTTGAACTCAACTCACCAGCTCCCTGTGTTGGCGCCTCCTGTGTCCCGCCTCCTGCTCCTCCTGCTCCATCCTTGCTCCTCTTCTGATACAAGCACACCACTAGAAGCACACCCGCCACTCCCAGAATCACAACCCCCGCCCCCACTGCTATCCCCACCACCACCCCCATCGACACCCCTCCCCCTTCCCCTGAAGCAGGGGGCGGGGGAGATTGGGGGGAAGGAGAGGGGGGAGCGTTCCCCCCTTGGGAGAAAGGGGGAGAAAATCCTCCACTTCCAGAGGGAGGGGAGGGGGTGGAAGGGGAAGGGGGGGCAGCGGAAGGGGGAAGGGAAGGGCTAAGAGAGGGGGGGGGAGGGGGGGGCTGCGTCATTGGTGGGGGAAGGGGCGGGACTGGGGGAAGGTGCAGTGCTAGGGGGAAGAGTGGGGCTAATAGCACGGGGAGGAGGTGGGGGGGGAAGAGAAGGGGGAGGAGAAGCGGGGGGAGGGGAGAGTTTGGGCTTAGGGGGGGGAGAGAGTTTAGGCTTTGGGGGAGGGGAGAGTTGGGGCTTAGGGGGAGGGGAGAGTTTAGGCTTGGGGGGAGGGGAAGGGGGAGGCGGAGGAGGAGAGGAGGGAGGAGGAGGGGGAGGATACATGGGAGGTTCGGCAGGGGGAGGGGCAGGAGGTGGGGCGGATGGAGGAGGAGGAGAGGGGAGTGGAGGAGGGGGGGAATCGACTACAGGCGGTGGGATAGGGGGTTCTACTGGAGGAGGTGCTGGTAGGGAGAGTAGGGGAAAAAGAAGATGTTTGCACATGCATATGCGCGCACACACGCACATGCACACACACACACACACACACACACACACACACACACACACACACACACACACACACAAACAAGCACATGCAAGTGCACACAAGCAGGTCAGAACCAACAAAACAGTTGCAAGCTTAATCTGGAAAGGAGCTACAACCAGTTGCTACAGCCACCAGCCAGCTGCTACAGCCACCAGCCAGCTGCTACAGCCACCAGCCAGCTGCTACCTGCTTACCTGCTGCAGCTGTCTGTTGGCACCTGCAGAGGAGCAGGAGAGGCAGAATCTAGAGCAGTCGGTGCAGAGGACGGTTGTGTTGATGGGCGGGACGGTGCATGAGCCACGTGGCGGGCACGACCAAAGGTTCCGGTCGTAGTCACTGTTTCAGCACGAAGATGGGAGGAAGGAAGGGGAGTATTGGAGGCGAGTGGCGGGCATGACCACAGGTTCAGGTCGTGGTCACTGTTTCGATTGGAGGGCAATGGCGGGTTGCAGGGCATGGAGCGCAGAGATGGATTGCACGGGCTGATGGGTGTGTGGTTGCATGGATGGATGGGTGCATGGGTGCACGGGTTGCATGGGTGCAGGGGCGCTCACAATGTTGCAAGGCTTTCCATGGTGACTGGGGGAGGTATCCCTGTATGTCTGAGCTGACTAAAAAGTGGGTGCATGGTTGCATCGGTGCACGTATGCATCGATGCATGAATGAAGGGACGCTCACAATGTTGCGAGGCTTTCCATGGTGACTGGGGGAGGTATCCCTGCATTTCTGAGTCGACTCAACTTTGGGTGCACGGGTGCATGGGCGCATGGCAGCATGGGTACATGGAAGCATGGGTACATGGCAGCATGGGTTCATGGCAGCATGGGCGCATGGCAGCATGGGTACATGGCAGCATGGGCGCATGGCAGCATAGGTACATGGCAGCATGGGTACATGGCAGCATGGGCGCATGGCAGCATGGGTACATGGCAGCATGGGTACATGGCAGCATGGGTACATGGCAGCATGGGTACATGGCAGCATGTGTTGCTCACAATGTGGCAAGGATTTCCATGGTGGCCATGGACTGGGGGAGGTATCCCTGCATTTCGTTTTGCGAGATGTTGCTGCTCGTACAATGAGAACGGGGGAGGAGAGGGGAGTGTAGGGGTGGGGAGGGGAGGGGAGTGGAGGGGAGGGGAGGGGAGGGGAGGGGAGTTGAGGAAAGGGGAGTGGAGGGGTGGGAGAGAGGAGAGTGAGGGATGCATGGGCGGCACATGACACAGTATCACTGCATATCGCTGTGCGAGATGTACCCAGGCGCGCAGGCGCTTGATTGAAAAACCCACATGTGGATGAGCTTTCTGCAGATATCACTGTAGGGTGAAAAGCCTCTGAAAATATTATTACTAGGACTACTAGTTTCATTCATATTATTGATGTTATCAATAGAATTGATATTATTAATATTAACAATTATTGCTATTATTAAGAGCAAACCACTGACAGGTAAGTGAGCTGTTGTAAGTTCCCAATGTCGGCCGGCAACTCCCCTGTGATCCGGTTGTTGCCGAAATCTCTGGACGGGCATGAGACAAACAGAGCGGAATGATTTCCGGGAAGAGTGCCCAACGAAGAAGAGAGGAGGGAAACGAGCCGGGTGAGAAATGAGACAATGGGATCGTTCAGGGGGGTTGGGCGTTTAGGGAGGATAGCAGCTTCGCTATGAGGAGAGGAGGGGCGAGAGGAGTGGAAAGGAGAGGAGTGGAGAGGAGAGGAGTGGAGAGGAGAGGAGTGGAGAGGAGAGGAGTGGAGAGGAGAGGAGTGGAGAGGAGAGGAGTGGAGAGGAGAGGAGAGGAGTGGAGAGGAGAGTAGACTTGAAAAGAGTTCACTGTAGGTATTTCACTAGCTTTAGATCTTGCATGCTATTTGTTTGATAAGTCGCACGAGCATAACGGCATGGAGCTGCAGCAATGCTTTTGAGCTGCAACGAGTCTCCCAAGACTGACACAAGCAAAGCATTGCTGCAGCTCTCCCACTCCCAATGCTTCACCTCAGTAACGCACACACGTTTACCGCCCCACAAGCCCAGCAAGACTGAGGCACACTCGCACGAGCGTGAGCCATGCTTGCTGGCCTTTCACGGTTAAGAGGGTGATTGTTGAGTTGCTTTTGAGGCGCCCATTTTTTGAGTCGACTCAAAAATAGGCTTGCTGGCTTTTCGCGGTTAAGAGGGTGATTGTTGAGTTGCTTTTGAGGCGCCCATTTTTTGAGTCGACTCAAAAATAGGCTTGCTGGCTTTTCGCGGTTAAGAGGGTGATTGTTGAGTTGCTTTTTTGAGGCGCCCATTTTTTGAGTCGACTCAAAAATAGGCTTGCTGGCTTTTTGCGGTTAAGAGGGTGATTGTTGAGTTGCTTTTGAGGCGCCCCAAAAGCCAGCAAGCCTGATTGCATTCGGGATGTCAAACTCCAGAATGTGTGATCATTCGGGCCACTCACACATGTGTGAGCTCGGTCAAGAGGGTGATTGCATTCGGGATGTCGAATTCCAGAATGTTGTTCTGTAAGTAGCTGGTGGGGGAAGGGAAGGGAAGGAAAGGGGGGAAGGAGAAAAAGAGGGTGTTTTGCATCGACTCAGAAAGCGATTGAATCCAGGATGTGGAATTTCACGATGTTGATCTGCAGGCAGCTGGTGTGGGAGGGAGAGGGGGAGGAGAAGGGCGGGGGTAGTTTGAGTTGAGTAGACTTCAAAGGCGTATTGGAGTCGATGTAGGAAAAGTAGGGGAATGAAGGGGAAGGTGATTAATTATAGATAAAGTATAGACAGAGCTCGCTATGGTGGGTCAAACTGTCAGCGATCTACTCTATCATGTGGTAATTGTAGCACCAACCTAACTCATAATGCGTTCGACGCCTTAAGCTTATACTACTAACTAAATGGGTATCCATAATAAGAAGAAAATAAAGCGGGACCACGCTATGCTGTGCTCACATTGCTTTCATGGCTGTCGAGGCGATCCCGGTGGTTTGCTGTACAGGTGACGCTGTGGAGGAGAACGGCAGCGGCCCCGATAGCTTGTTGTCGGATGATCCCCTGTTGTTGGAAGGTTGATTCAATGGATGGATGAATGCAATGCAATGCAAGCACCGCTCATCCCTGTTATAAGCAGATTCGATACACAGGTATCTGTTCTGCTATAAAGAAGTGCCATTCGTTGTAGAATGGCAGCGGCCCTGATAGCTTGTTGTCGGATGATCCCCTGAGGTTGAAAGGTTCATTGGATGGATGCGATGCAATGCAATGCAAGACAGCAACCCTTTATCCCCGTTATCAGGAGACTCTACTGGTGCTGCTGGTTCGACCCAGCACACCACCACGTGACAGTTTTTATCTGCAGTGCTCACTACTCAGCAGCCGCGACAGGTTCGGAGAAGTGGTAACAAGCGGTGAGAAGTGGTACAAAGTGGTTGGAAGTGGTGACAGTGGGCGTAGAAGCGCTGCAAAGTGTCTGAAACTTTTTGAGCTAATGTGCCAGAAATCACTCAGAAATAAATTTGTAAGCAGCGAGATCAATGCTCCTTGAAGGATTGAAAATACCATATTTCTAGGTTTGGAAGGACGCTGATCATAGGGAGCTCCCCTGTGAGCTGGTTGGCAAAGAGAGAACTGTGAGAGTGGCACAAGAGGCACAGCACCAAAGACACACGCGGGATGAAAATTCCCTTGTTGAGAAATATGAAAATTCCGGCTCCAACAAGTTTAACTGGTTTGACTTTGTTTGACCAATTTGACTGGTTTGACTCACACGTCTCTCAGGGCAGCCATACCGCTCATGGTCGCAGGTAAGCTGCCCGTGGGGTGAGGCTGTCGCACTCGTTTGACTGGTTTGACTTTGTTTGACCAATTTGACTGGTTTGACTCACACGTCTCTCAGGGCAGCCATACCGCTCATGGTCGCAGGTAAGCTGCCCGTGGGGTGAGGCTGTCGCACTCGTTTGACTGGTTTGACTTTGTTTGACCAATTTGACTGGTTTGACTCACACGTCTCTCAGGGCAGCCATACCGCTCATGGTCGCAGGTAAGCTGCCCGTGGGGTGAGGCTGTCGCACTCGTTTGACTGGTTTGACTTTGTTTGACCAATTTGACTGGTTTGACTCACACGTCTCTCAGGGCAGCCATACCGCTCATGGTCGCAGGTAAGCTGCCCGTGGGGTGAGGCTGTCGCACTCGTTTGACTGGTTTGACTTTGTTTGACCAATTTGACTGGTTTGACTCACACGTCTCTCAGGGCAGCCATACCGCCCATGGTCGCAGGTAAGCTGCCCGTGGGGTGAGGCTGTCGCACTCGTTTGACTGGTTTGACTTTGTTTAACCAATTTGACTGGTTTGACTCACACGTCTCTCAGGGCAGCCATACCGCTCATGGTCGCAGGTAAGCTGCCTGTGGGGTGAGGCTGTCGCACTCGTTTGACTGGTTTGACTTTGTTTGACCAATTTGACTGGTTTGACTCACACGTCTCTCAGGGCAGCCATACCGCTCATGGTCGCAGGTAAGCTGCCCGTGGGGTGAGGCTGTCGCACTCGTTTGACTGGTTTGACTTTGTTTGACCAATTTGACTGGTTTGACTCACACGTCTCTCAGGGCAGCCATACCGCTCATGGTCGCAGGTAAGCTGCCCGTGGGGTGAGGCTGTCGCACTCGTTTGACTGGTTTGACTTTGTTTAACCAATTTGACTGGTTTGACTCACACGTCTCTCAGGGCAGCCATACCGCTCATGGTCGCAGGTAAGCTGCCTGTGGGGTGAGGCTGTCGCACTCGTTTGACTGGTTTGACTTTGTTTGACCAATTTGACTGGTTTGACTCACACGTCTCTCAGGGCAGCCATACCGCTCATGGTCGCAGGTAAGCTGCCCGTGGGGTGAGGCTGTCGCACTCGTTTGACTGGTTTGACTTTGTTTGACCAATTTGACTGGTTTGACTCACACGTCTCTCAGGGCAGCCATACCGCTCATGGTCGCAGGTAAGCTGCCCGTGGGGTGAGGCTGTCGCACTCATTTGACTGGTTTGACTTTGTTTGACCAATTTGATTGATTCGACTCACACGTCTCTCAGGGCAACCATATCGCTCATTGTCGCTGGTAGGCTACCCGTGAGGCTGTTGCAGCACATGGAACTGATGGGCGGCGAGGGGATTGGGGGGGGGGCATAGACAGACAGACAGTGAAAGGGAGCTGCACATGAGACAGCAGGGGAATTGAAAGGTAAAGGAGAGGACTGAGGATGTTGCAGCACATGGAGCTGGTGCGCGGCGAGGGGATTGGGGGTGTGGGGATTGGGGGCGCGGGGAGCAGAAAGATGGGGGAAGAGGGATGGGGGAAGAGGGATGGGGGAAGAGGGATAGGGGAAGAGGAGAGATGTTTTTTCATGCTGCTGCGACAACACATGGGGTTAATAGACAGTGAGGGGGCGAGGGGGCATGTGGAGCAGGGCATGCAACCCTTTTCTAGCAAGTGCAAACCGCACAAAGCACTCACAACCAGGTGAGGGCAGTGAGCTGGCCTTGGAGTCGATTCAAAAGGTGAATTTGAGTCCACTCAAAAGCCGCTAGGTATCAGCACTCACAACCAGGTGAGGGCAGTGAGCTGGCCTTGGAGTCGATTCAAAAGGTGACTTTGAGTCCACTCAAAAGCCGCTAGGTATCAGCACTCACAACCAGGTGAGTGCAGTGAGCTGGCCGATGGTGGATGGGATGGAGCCTGTGATGTTGTTTGAATCCAAGTCACTGGGTAGGGGAAGGGGAGAAATTTGGGAGAAAAGGAATACAAGTTGGGGGGAATAAAAGTATAGACCACGATGGAGACAGGGGGGATGGTGATGGGGGGGGAACGGGTACGGTACGGAGGGATGGGGGAAAGAAGATGGGAGAGAAGGAGAATGGTTTCCCATAAACACATTCTGTCGCCAGTGGCATGTCACCAGCATTCCCATACAACAGTTATCAGCAGCAGCAGCAGCAGCAGCAGCAAGCAAAAAGTGTCAACTGACTCACAGGTAAGAGAGATCCACTAGGTCACTGAGGTGCAGTATGCAGCCAGCAGCAGTGACTCACAGGTAAGAGAGATCCACTAGGTCACCGATAGTAGGGGGAAGAGGCCCTCCCAGATTCTGTCCTGTCACCTCTCTGACGCGATGGCCGTATGGGGGGTGGGAGTGGGGTGGTGAGGATGGAAGTAAGTATGGGTCCGCGTATTGGCAGCAGGAGCATATGGGCGGCAGGAGGTGCGGTGCGGTGTGGTGAGGTGAGGTGAGGTAAGGTGTGGTGAGATGCGGTGAGGTGAGGTTGTTGGTGGGTGATGGGCATTGATTGGCGCTGACAGTCAACACGACGGGGGCTGTGTAGTCACTTGGGTGGGGTCGTGGGGATGGGGCGGACGGGGGGGATGAGGCAAGTGGGGCAAGGGGCAGTGCCTGCACACTCACTGACACACACACTGACACACTCACTGACACACACACTGACACACTCACTGACACACTCACTGACACACTCACTGACACACTCACTGACACACTCACTGACACACACACTGACACACAAAGGCAACTTTTGAGTCGACTTACAAGTCACCAAGTGGGGCAAGGGGCAGTGCCTGCACACTCATGGACACACACAGGCAATGGCTCTGGGATCCTGAATATGTGTGTGTGTGTGTGCGTGTGTGCATGTGTGTGCGTGCGTGCGTGCGTGCGTGCGTGTGTGTGTGTGTGTGTGTATGTGTGTGTGTGTGTGTGTGTGTGTGTGTGTGTGTGTGCGTACATGTGTGTGCGTGTGAGAGTGGGTGGGCGGGTGTGCCTGCGTGTGTGTATGTGCACACAACCATATGCACATGCGCATGTGGGCGACGTGTGCGCATGTGTGTTGTGCTTGATGCATGTGTATGTATCCACGTCATCATCACGTACATCCATGTCACCAACACGTACATCCACGTCACCATGCCCTTAGCATTGCATGATATGTTTGAGGCAATGCTACAGTCCCCGTTGGTGTCCCATTGGTCGAAAGTCACCCCCCATGACGTCTGCATGTCCCATAATGCTTGCACTGACGTCAGCATGACGTGGACGTGCCAAGTTCATGACGTGGCATGTGGAGAGGGGGCGGTGGGAGGGAAGGGAGGGAGAAAGATATGCCATGTGAAAGGGAGAAGAGTTGTGGGGGTGGGGATGGGGGATGGGAAAAGTATGGGGAAAGATGGGAGGAGGTGGAGGATTGGGGGGAGCGGAAGGGAAGGGGGATGAGGGGAAGAGGGGGAGGGGGGGGAGACGGACGGGGAAAGAGAGGAGAGGAGGGATGGGGTTTTCCAGTATCGGAATGGAGGCGAAAGCGCGTGCATGCCATCATATTCCGCCACGTGTCCACGCCATGCCACGTGTGCACGTCGTGCCACGTCTCCACGCCATGCCACGTGGCGTCCACTTAGCACTCACATTGGCTGCTGTCAATCGTTTGTCCCAGCACGTGCGTCATCAACGGAGCGGAAAATACGCTCCATGACGTCAGCACGGTAAGAAGCAATGTCGCGGACATGCCGCGACTCGGCCTCATGATCTCAGAGCGGCTGGTTGTAGCGCGAATGCCGCGTGACGGAGCTGTTGCGCGAGTGGAGCGGCGCGTGGGGGTTGTAGCGAGCGGCGATTTGTAGCGTGGTGTGTTTGTAGCGCGAATGGCGAATGGCTGGTTGTGGCGCGAGTCGCACCGCGGCGCGGGGGGGTTGTAGCGCGAGTTGCGGGCTCTAGCGCGACCCTCTTGGCCGGCAGCGTGGAATATGGTGGATGCAGCGACGTGTTACGCGGCGGGGTGTTTTGCATGGGCTGCGGCGGATGTAGCGTGAAATGCGGCGAGATGCACGGCCCGTGTGGAATGCGGTGCGGCGGATTGTCGTACGGAATGCGACGAAATGCCGCGGCTGCGGCGATTTCTCGAAAGGGCTGCGGCTAAACGTAGCACCTTGCGAAGGACAGCGAAACCTTCGTCACGGGAAATGCTGGAGTGGAACAAGCGCCGCCGACTCGCCGACAACCAAGAAAGAATCCAACCCGCCGGTTGCTTGTGTATGATCCACCTGTGGTGGGTAGATTTACGGCGAGGGGAAAGGGTAAGCGGGAAGGAAGAAGGCGGAAAGGGAATAGTGGGGTGACGGGAAACGGGGAACGGGCAAAGGGAATTGGGAGCGGGAAAGGGGGAAAGAAAATGAACGCGGGGAGATTGCGGGGGAACCAAGCTGGGGCTCGGCGAAACACTGCGTGCCAGCTTTCCACCCAAGCGTGGAAAACTCCGAGCTCTCTGGGGAGGAATCTCTCGGTGGCCAAACCGAATTATCAGCCACGGTGACGACACGTGTTACCGCCAGCAAGGCTTGTCGTCATGACTTCGTTGACTAGCCAGGATCCGAGCTGTGTGGAAGGCTGTAACATATTTAATTATTATATATACTTAGCATTGAAAGTATCCATAAATCGATAATATGTATTAAAGAGAAGCCCATGGCCAGGTCACATAAGGAGCTCCCTCAGACTCCTCGTCTCAGTGTCAATTATTGGTTCCGTTTGGATTTCAATGAGGCCCAACAACTTCGCAACTATATTCCATAAACACATATGGACCGTACATATAAATTGAAGCTGCCATTTGATGCGACTCTACTCCAATCGAATCCATGCACCTTCATGCTATATAGAGTCAACCCGCCCACCCGTACCAGGAGATGCTCACGCCTCCTCAGTGCTAACACCCCCTCTTAAAGTAACACCGTACACCATACACCGGCACTCATACACCGTTATCAGAGGAATCCATCTCCCCAATTGACACCATCCCAATGCTCAAACCCGACACCCCTTCACGCTCCGACGCCACCTCATGCGCCCGACGAATCTCCTGCGAGAAGTTTGACGCCTTGCGATCCGCCAAGTCACTATCAATATTCACCAGCACAGGATCCACGTCAGCACCGAGGAACTCCTCTTTCATGGCGATGAGGTCGGAGAGAATGCGAGCCATGGAGGGGCGGGTGGCCACGGGCGTGGCGGTGCAGGAGAGGGCGAAGCGGGCGAGCTTGAGGATCACGTCGTTGGGAGCGTCCAGACGCGGGTCCTTGATGGTATCTGCATCCCCGGCCTCCAACAATGGCTCCACCTGGAGGAGGGAAAGGGCGTTAATGGAATGATGCAAGTGAAAATAGTCATAGTAGCAATTGTGGTGATAATATTGCTATCATGATAAGTATGATCGTGATTGTAGTAAATAAACATGTAAGACGACGACGACAACGACAACAACAACATCGCCTTCTCTCCATCAACTATCAACTCACCCATTTCTTGAGGTTGACTTGGTTGTCGTCCAGAGAGTCCAGAGCCTTGCGGGCAGTAATGACTGTCAGCATCACCACTCCGAAGCTGGAGGGGGCGGTGGGGGAGGGGGCACGGACACAACAACATGGGATTGCCTATCACATGTGACTGCCTTACACGCAGCCCAGTGCCTTGCAGGCAGTGTAGTGATCCGATCACCGTCCCCAAAACCACTCCACTGGCTAGTACCACTCCAAACCCTCGTGCACCCGCGTTCTCACCTGTGCACGTCTGCTGCTGGAGTGGCCTTCTGCGACTTGAAGTAAGTGGGATCCACATAGCCTGGTGTTCCCATCACCCGCGTATGACCCACTGCAGTGCCCTCGCCCATCCTCACCAGCCCAAAGTCAGCTATCTTGGCCTGAGGAAAGGGGAGATGGGAGACAAGGGAAGGGAGAGGGAGACAGACACGTAACGTGAAACCAGAAGGAACTGCAAATCATATATATATGTATATTTGTATATATATATGTGTATAAATATATATTCTAAGGTTCTACTGATTCATTTAACAACTCACCTGCATCTTCTTGTCGAGAAGGATGTTTGCGGGTTTGATGTCTCGGTGAATGATGTTGAACCTGTGGAGGTACTGCAGGCCTTGAGCCACCCACCCCAATATTCCACTCTCATCGTTCACCCCCAAGTTCCTACCTGCATCTTCTTGTCGAGCAGGATGTTAGCGGGTTTAATATCGCGGTGAACAATATTGAAGCTGTGGAGGTACTGCAGGCCCTGAGCCACCCCGATGAGCACGTGAAAACGTTGCCGCAAGGTCAGCGGCATCTCAACACCTGGTCCAATCCACCGCTCGAGGTCTCCGTTATCCATAAACTCGTACATGAGTATTTGCTCCGTGCTCTCAGCTGCCTTGTCCACGTCGATGCAGTAACCCAGCAGACGGACGAGGTTGGGGTGGTGCTTTGAAGCCATCTCGTTGATCTGTGGTGGGGAAAAGAAGGAAGTAGGGCGAGAGGGGGAAAGGTGGGTGGGAGAGAGAGGAGAGGACAGTGCTTACCAGAGCACACCACTGAACACCACACACCACACCACACCACACTGCGCACCTCACGGCAGAAGTCACTAGTGATCACGGTGACTTGCTTAACAGCCCAGCCCACACCACTAATAAGTCATAAGGCGACATTCCCTTGAACACATCCCCGAACCCGCCACTGCCTATCCATTGAGACCATGCACACTAGCTCGGTGGTACACTGCACCACACCGCACCACACCACACCACACCACACCGTATTGCTCCCCACCACATCACGCACCTCCCGACGGAAGTCACTAGTGATCACAGTAGCTCGCTTCACAGCCCACACCACCGATGGGTCGTGCGGCGACACGCCCTTGTAGACGTCTCCGAAACCGCCGCTGCCAATCCGGTTGGCCTCGGCCCAGTTGTTGGTCGCCCGCTGCACGTCCGCCAAGGAATAGCGCTGGCACTGCTGGTTGCCTTGTATGCCCGCCGCTGCTGCTGTTGGGGAAAGGGCAGGGGAAGTGGGAGAGAAGGCGAGGGGGAGGGGAGGGGAGGGGGGAAGGCGTAATAGCAATCGTTGATAGCAGCTGCTCCAAGGGGTGAGGTGACACTCCCCTGAACACGTCCCCAAACCCGCTGCTGCCAACGCGGTTGGCCTTGGCCCAGTTGTTGGTCGCCCGCTGCACGTCCGCCAAGGAATAACGCTGGCACTGCCCGCCCCCTGATATCCCCGCCGCTGCTGCTGCTTGGAGGAGGGGAGGTGGGTTGCCGGGTGGGGAAGGGAATCATTAAACGCCGCAGGATTGATCACACGCCAGCCATGATATGCACGCTGCTGCTGCCGCTGAATAGGGGGTGAGAAGGGGGATGGGGACAAGCGTAGCAGTAATCATTGAGAGCGGCCACTCTGATCTTATGTGTTTCAAAATATCCCCTCACCTTCCTCTCTGCCCCACCTTGCCTCACCTTCCTCTCTGCCCCACCTTGCCTCACCTTCCTCTCTGCTCCACCTTGTCCCACCTTCCTCTCTGCCTCACCTTGATTAGCTGCTTCTCTTGCTTTGCTTCGCCTCCGATACAAGTACACCGCTACAAGCACCACTCCCAGCAACAGCACCACTGCTCCCACTACCACCCCCACCACCACCCCTGTCGACACCCCCCCTCCCCCCTCCGCGGACGGGGGGGAAGGGGAAGGGGCAGGAGGCGAGGGGGAGGAAGGAGGGGCGGGGGGGGGGCTAACTGGGGCTGGACTGGAGGGTGGCGCTGGTGGAGGGAAGCAAAGGTGGCGGGCAGGGGTGGAGGGAGAGGTGGGGGAAGAGGTGAGGGGATGATGTACTTAAAAACCTTGAGCTAATAGATCACTTCAAGCTCAAGTTCTTACAGTTACCTGCTACAGTGCTGCTACCACTTATGGTGCTGCCATTACCAGGCGTGGTGCTGCCATTACCAGGCGTGGTGCTGCTATTACCAATGGTGGCGCTGCAGGAGGAGCAGAAGGCGGAGCAGTCAGTGCAGAAGAGCGTGGTGTTGACAGCGACCACGGTGCAGGGCCCTGTGGGGCACGACATGAGCTGCCCGTCATACCGCCTGTGGAAGGGGAGGTGGGGTGATGGTGATAGCATGAGGTGATGTGCTAGCACGAACTGCTGCATGGGGTGACAGCATCATCAGCAGTACACGGCCCTGTGGGGCACGACATGAGCAGCCCATCATACCGCCTGCAATGTGGAAGTAGGCGTAGGGTGAAGAGTAGTAGGGGAGCTGCATGAGAAATCTTGGAAAACACACATGATCACTGCGTTCTATGAGTTGCTGCAGTGAGGGTGGAGTGTATAGCTAATGGAGCTCTCAAACATCAGCTAAGAAGTTCAGAACACAGCACACATGACATGACATGACAACACATGACATGACATGACCACACATGACATGACATGACAACACATGACATGACATGACAACAGATGACATGACATGACAACACATGACATGACATGACAACACATGACATGACATGACAACACATGACATGACATGACAACACATGACATGACATGACAACACATGACATGACATGACAACACATGACATGACATGACAACACATGACATGACATGACAACTCTTGACATGACATGACAATACATGACATGACATGACAACACATGACATGACATGACAACACATGACATGACATGACAACACATGACATGACATGACAACTCATGACATGACACGACAACACATGACATGAGCAGTGCGGAATATGAGTTGCAATGGGGGGTAGGGGCATCAGAGACGTGGGCTGCTGCAAGGGGCGCTTAGGAGCGGAGGATAACAGGTTGACAGGGTAGCGAGAGAGGGCGAAAGGCAGAGGCGTGTAGTGGAATACAGGACCTCGAGGGTAGCCATTGTTGGGTGTTTTGAAGGATTAGCCATTGCAGGAAAAAACACTTTGCAACTCAGAGGGCGAAAGGCAGAGGCGTGGCGTGGTGGATTACAGGACTTCGATCGTGGTCATTGTTGCAAGGGTCTCTGGCAAGCTCCCTTGCATGTCCGTGTAGTCAACATAGCTGCGAAGGGGGGAGGGGAGAGAGAAGGGGGAGGAGGGGGAAGAGATACATGATACAGCACACATGGATCATGCAAGCATGAAGAGATACATGATACAGGAACACATGAACACAGCTTCTGTGGGTTCATAAGGTGCCTCAAAAGGAACACAAAGAGGGAGAGTCGACTTAAAAAAAGGAACACACGTACATGTAGTCGAGCTTCTGCAGGTTACTGATTTTGTACGGCAGGGTCCCAGACAGCAGGACAGTTGTATGGCAATTAGCTCCTGAAGAGTTGGTTGTGACTTTTGAGGTGCCTCAGAGGGAACACACGTACATGTAGTCGAGCTTGTGCAGGTTACTGATGTTGTACGGCAGGGTACTGGAGAGCTGGTTGTGAGAAAGGTCCCTGATCGTGCAAGATGGATTTTGGAGGGAGACTGAGATGGTGTGTGTGTTGTGGTGTGGTGCGTGCAATATGCAGTGGTTTGTTGCTTACACTTGCAAGTGCGTGCATTGCATCTACACCAGAAAGTGCGGTACATCTACAAGCAAGTGCGTTGCATCTTCAACTGCGTTACATCTTCAACTGCGTTACATCTTCAACTGCATTACGTCTTCAACTGCGTTACGCCTTTAACTGCGGTACACGCACAGGTACATGAGCTCTACGATGTTGGTGATGGAGTCTGGAATGGTGGGATCTGTCCAGTCCCAGACATGTTAGTCTGGGACATGACATGTTTGGCCAGATCTGTCCCAGTCGTTCAAGTTGTCCAAAAATACTGCTCTCCCAGTCTTCATGACTCACAGGTACATCAGCTCTACGATGTTGGTGATGGAGTCTGGAATGGTGCCGCCAATGCGATTGTTCTGCAGCAAGCTACATGGCGGAGAGAGAGAGAGGGAGGGAGAGAGAAAGGGAGAAAGAAGATTGTTGAATAGACTTTGAGTCGACTAAGAAGTCAACTCGATGTTGGTGATGGAATTCGGAATGGTGCCGCCAATGTGATTGTTCTGCAACAAGCCCGAGGGCGGAGAGATCTTGAACGTGCGCAGCCTTTAGTCTAGACTATGAAGACTATTTAGAGTCTTAGTAGTATGCATAGTAACCTCTGGCTTCAAGTGTGTGAAGGAATTTGATGGAAAATGCCAAGGCAGAAAGTTGAAGTAATTTCATTGAAGAAGGCATACAAAACACAAAGCAAGTTATAAGCAAAAGGATTTCTGATTTCGCCCTCGCGCCGCGCCTAATTTCGATGTGAGTTGTACTCGGCTCAATTTCCAAATCCAACCATGCACCGAACGTGCCTCGAGTTCGAAATTCAGACTTTCTTGGACGCGCCTTTGACCCGGCGTGACTTCTCTTCACGTCACTTGAAAGCACGACATTTCAGCCATGTTCTTCTCCATTTCAGCACGCTTCCTCTCCTTCTCTTCCTTTCCCACTGCAGGTCGCGCTGCTACCGTGTTTCTCCTTCCACCGTCCCAACATAGGTAGTCTCTCTTCTTCTTAGGTCCTCGCTTCCCCATGATCTCAGCTCGTCAAAGTAGTTTTTTCTTAGGTCGATGTAGGTCACTCCAGGTTGTGCTAGGTCGTGGTTAGCTAACCACCGTCAACAATCTCCCCCGTGGTTTGCTAACCAGCTTACGCACGTTTCACCTTGAACCAGCTCTATGCCAATTGTCGTTGTGAGCCAAGTCAATGGCAGATTTGCTATCCGTGCGTATCACCGTCGGCCCTTCCACCTTGATTTCCATCTCCTTGAGTAGCCTTCTCAGCCAAACCCCCTCTTGGCACGCGAAAAACAGAGCCATGTACTCCGCTTCTACACTAGAGAGCGCTATGTCAGCCAACCTTTTCGCTTGCCACATGATTGCTGTCCTGCCGAGAAAAAATACGTAACCATATGCTCCTTTCCTTGTTTTCTTATCGGATGCATGTGAAGCATCCGCATACCCCACTAACTCCAGGGTTTCCTCACTTCTTTCAAATAACAGCCCCTCATCTTCATGTTGCAGTAGGTAGTCGATAGTCCTCCTCATCTCTCTCCATTTTCTCTCCCCTTGCTGCTGCACTTGTTGCCCAAGATAGCTAGCTGCGTATGCCATGTCGACGCGCGTGCAAGAGACCGGATACATGATAGACCCCACCATGGACTGAGATACTTGCAGAGCTCTCTCTTTGCAGCCCCATTGGTTGACATCCTCCTCCCTTTCACTGTCGCTTTCAGCTATCCCACTCAATGGTGTCGAAATTGCCTTCGTGTAGCCATTCCCAAACCTCTGCTGCACCCTGCTGCAATATTTCTGCTGGTATAGGAACATCTTCCTCTCCTCCTTACGTCGCTCCAGGTTTATGCCGAGAAAGAGTTTGGTCCTCGGAATCTGCTTCACTTGAAAAACTTCCGCAAGATGAGCACACACCTTCTTTACCTCCTCCTCTAACGCCTCTGCCACCAAGATGTCGTCCACGTATAGCACCAAGAACACCTTCTCTTTCCCTTCTCCCTTCCAGTAGAATGCCCTATCACACTCGTTTTTCTGAAATCCCCCTTGCAGTAGCTGCTCATGTATCGCCATATACCACTCCCTAGGACTCTGTTTCAGCCCATATAATGCCTTGTTGAGCTTGCATTTTCTGCTCGAGCCGTCGTCATGCCCTGATGGTTGCTCGAGGTAGATGTCCTCCTTCAACACCCCATACAAAAACGCGTTTTTAATATCCAGCTGCACCATGAAGTATTTTCTTGCTGCTACCACCTTGAGAAAAACCCGCACCGTTGCCAACTTGCTCACTGGAGCGTAGATCTCATTTTTTTGGTAGTCTTTCCCCTCCACTTGAGTGTAGCCCTTGGCTAGAAGCCTTGCTTTGAACCTTTCCAGCTGCCCCATATCACCGGTCTTGATTTTAAAAATCCACTTCACTCCCACGGCTTTCCTCCCTTCCGGCATAGGTACTAGCTCCCATGTGCCCCTTTCAGCCGATGTGTTCAACTCCTCCTCAATTGCCACTTTCCACTGCTCCCTTTCTGGACCCTCTAGCGCCTCCTCGATGCTCACTGGTTCTTTGGGCAGGTTGTGTGTCACTTTTCCTTCATTGGAGACTAGGTCAGTAGCTGTGGCAGAGAGTAGGAGGTGGGTGTGGATGTCCTTCCAACACGTCATCAGCAGTTGCGCATACCGAGGGTTTGGTTTCTTCACCCTCTTTCCTTTCCCCAACTCCTCTGCAGGTGATTCAGCCTCATCCTCATTGGAATCCGCCAGTGCTTTCCCTTCTCCATTCTTCACTTCCCTTCTAATCACGATGGCGCCCTCCTCAAGTAATTCCTCTATCTCCCTCATCTTGACATTGCTGTCATCACTGTTTAAAAGCTTCCATGGATCACTATCTCCTTCAGCTGCTGATTCTTCATCTCCTTCTTCTCCAATCACCTCTTCATTGCCACCCTCGGCTACTTCATTGCTTGGATGCTCCCCTGCTATCTCTACTCCATTGGTTTCATCCGCTTCACTGGTTGGTGCCTTCTCCCACACCCAATCAACTGAATCTGCCCGTTCCACATCTTCGAGTTCCTCATCTCCTTCATACCCAACTCCCTCACTCTCTTTTTCCTCCAAAAGATCCTCCACCTTGTCCGGTGCAGTTGCTGTCCCTGCTGCTGCAATCTCTTTCTCTAATCCCTTCCACTACAGGTAGTTCACCTCCTCGTAGAAGACAACATCCCGGGTGATCGTGACTTTTCCTGAAATTACATCCTTGATCACCCACCCCTTGCTCACTGGGCAGGTACCGAGGTTAATCCCCCAATGAGCCTTGGGCAGCAACTTATGATCCGGACCGGCTGGCTCTCTGTATTGCACCATACTCCACCATACGCCGTTTTTTCACCAAAAAGTACCGTAAAAAATCATCGGAAAAAACAATCGTATTTTTCGATCATCGTTTTTTTCTACCTTGCTCTTACCCCATCCCCATGCACCGCTTTGCTCTTACCCCATCCCCATGTACCGCTTTGCTCTTACCCCATCCCCATGCACCGCTTTGCTCTTCTTGAACGTGCGCAGCCTTTAGTCTAGACTATGAAGACTATTTAGAGTCTTAGTAGTATGCATAGTAACCTCTGGCTTCAACTGTGTGAAGGAATTTGATGGAAAACGCCAAGGCAGAAAGTTGAAGTAATTTCATTGAAGAAGGCATACAAAACACAAAGCAAGTTATAAGCAAAAGGATTTCTGATTTCGCCCTCGCGCCGCGCCTAATTTCGAGTTGAGTTGTACTCAGCTCAATTTCCAAATCCAACCATGCACCGAACGCGCCTCGAGTTCGAAATTCAGACTTCCTTGGACGCGCCTTTGACCCGGCGTGACTTCTCTTCACGTCACTTGAAAGCACGACATTTCAGCCATGTTCTTCTCCATTTCAGCACGCTTCCTCTCCTTCTCTTCCTTTCCCACTGCAGGTCGCGCTGCTACCGTGTTTCTCCTTCCATCGTCCCAACATAGGTAGTCTCTCTTCTTCTTAGGTCCTCGCTTCCCCATGATCTCAGCTCGTCAAAGTAGGTTTTTTTTAGGTCGATGTAGGTCACTCCAGGTTGTGCTAGGTCGTGGTTAGCTAACCACCGTCAACAAGAGAGAGGGAGAGAGAAACAATCCAGGTCTGCAGTACTGTCTCTATTAGAGCATTATTGCACTGCACTGCACTTCAGCATTACTGCTAATGCTATGAGGTGGTTTTTGAGGCGCCTCAAAAACCACCTGACTTCTAATGCTACTTGATTCACTGACAGTGTAGTAATCCAGTGCAAGTTGCCAATGTTGGAGGGTATGCTGCTAGAGAGTCTGTTGTATGAGAGGTCCCTGGTGAGGGGTGGAGTGAGGTGGGGAGGGATGGAGTGGGGGAGCAGGTGGGGTGGAGTGGGGACCAGGAGGACATTTCGGCTTTTGATAAGGAACGGGAGGAGTGGGAGCAAGAGAGGAGGATGACTGGATTTTGGAGGGCGCGGTTGTTATGTGGGATTGGGGTCGACTCAAAAGTCGTAAAAGGCAGCCACGCACGTTGCAGCTGGGCATGCTATGGCACCTCTTATGGAAGCAGAGCACATCTGATTGGAAGCAGAGCACATCTGATTGGAAGCAGAGCACATCTGATTGGAAGCAGAGAACATCTGATTGGAAGCAGAGCACATCTGATTGGAAGCAGAGCACATCTGATTGGAAGCAGAGCACATCTGATTGGAAGCAGAGCACATCTGATTGGAAGCAGAGCACATCTGATTGGAAGCAGAGCACATCTGATTGGAAGTAGAGCACATCTGATTGGAAGCAGAGCACATCTGATTGGAAGCAGAGCACATCTGATTGGAAGCAGAGCACATCTGATTGGAAGCAGAGCACATCTGATTGAAAGCAGAGCACATCTGATTGGAAGCAGAGCACATCTGATTGGAAGCAGAGAACATCTGATTGGAAGCAGAGCACATCTGATTGGAAGCAGAGCACATTTGATTGGAAGCAGAGCACATCTGATTGGAAGCAGAGCACATCTGATTGGAAGCAGAGCACATCTGATTGGAAGCAGAGCACATCTGATTGGAAGCAAAGCACATCTGATTGGAAACAGAGCACATCTGATTGGAAGCAGAGCACATCTGATTGGAAGCAGAGCACATCTGATTGGAAGCAGAGCACATCTGATTGGAAGCAGAGCACATCTGATTGAAGACCTGTTTGGTGCCGATGTGTCAATACGTGGCAGCAACAACACCTTTTGTGGAAGAAGAGTACTTTTGAAGAGGAAATGCTGAAGGGGCGGAACGGAAGTGCTGTGGCCTAGGTGGTGTGACTCACTGGAAAGGAGAATGTTGGGATGCGAAGAAGGACAGAGGGGTGTGAAGGAGGATAGAGGGGTGTGAAGGAGGACAGAGGGTTGTAAAGGAGGATAGAAGGGTGCTTACAGGTGTGTGAGCCCCGTTAGAGCCGTGATGGAGTCGGGAATGCTGCCTGCGAAACTGTTGTTTTGCAGGTACCTGAGAAAAAAAGAATATGGGGTGTGATTTCTTAGTCGACTCAAGAGTCGAAGATGCTGCCTGCAAAACTGTTGTTTTTGCAGGTAAGGAGGACATGGGGGTGTAGGCGTGCGGGGCGTAAGCCACCTCACAATACCACAGGCTATCTCACATCACCATAGACTGCCTCAAGGTACCATACACTACCGCACAAGACCGCACTTTCAACCTCAAAACTTCAAATCAAGTCCAGGTGCCTGTTTCTGATATACATGCATACGCCGCAATTGGGGACGATGGCTTTCATTCAGAGCAGAGCACAGCTTGACACCCACAGGGCTTTCATTTCTTTGCAGGTTACAGCACATCACCATAGGCTATTGCACATTACCGTAGCCTACCGCATGGCACTCACAGGATTTTCATTCAGAGCAGAGCACAGCTCGTCACTCACAGGGCTTTCAATTCTTTGCAGTTGCCAATGCGCGATGGAAGTGACCCTGTTAAATTGTTTTCTGACGACCCCCTGCCATAGGCACACCCGTTACAAGCACATGTGCACAGAAATGCTTGTGCATGTGAGTATAGGTTATTCCTGTAGATGCATTGCTGTGCAGACTCTCCATTCTATGAACGGAGGCCGTGCCGTTGCGTGACGACTTTGAGTCGGCACTCCGCAGGTGTTTACGCAACCATTGATTCAACCTAGTCTGGATTTAAGAATGGATTCGCACCATTGGAGCAGCTTGTAGAAGAGACTGAAGTCCGGAAGAGGGCCGCTGAGGTGGCTTTTGAGTAGGCTCAACAAAATAATGTTTGGATATAGTTGGGTTGGATTGAAGGAAGGATTCGCACCATTGTAGCAGCTTGGAGAAGAGACTGAAGTCCGGAAGGGGGCCGCTGAGGTGATTGCCGTAGATGGAGCTGCAATTGGGGATCAGGGCGAGGGGAGGAGAGGACCAGGAGAGGGGAAGAGACTGAGGTCGGGAAGAGGGCCACTGAGCTGGTCGGCATAGATGCAGCTGCAATTGGGGATCAGGGCGAGGGGAGGAGAGGACCAGTAAAGGGGAGGGGAGGGTCAGCTGAGGGGATGAGAGGTGGGAAGGGGGCCATTGAGCTGGCTGGCTGGAATAGATGCAGCTGCAATGGGGGATCAGGGCGAAGGGAAGGGAGAGGTGGGGAGAGGGGAAGGGGGGATCGGGGAAGGATAGAGGTGAGATGACTTGTGTGACTTGGCTCACACGTCCCTCGTGCTGAAAATACAAGAGAACGCTTGACTTGACTTGAGTTGACTTGACTTGACTCACACGTCTCTCAGGTTGACCAGGTTGGTGAAGGTCTTTGGAAAGCTGCCTGTGAGGCTGTTGCGAGCCATGGAGCTGATTAGTGGAAGAGCGGGGGATGGGGAATAGAACATCAAGCAGGCGTGGGGAAGGAGTTGTGGAATCAGGCTGGATACTAAAGGACGTGTAGTAATTGCCTGTTGCGAACTTGGAGATGGGAAACGGGAATAGAGCCACTCGTCATCACACAGAGCCACCATTGGGAACCTTTCAGCACTCACAACCAGGTGAGGGCAGTGAGCTGGCCTTGGAGTCGATTCAAAAGGTGACTTTGAGTCCACTCAAAAGCCGCTAGGTATCAGCACTCACAACCAGGTGAGGGCAGTGAGCTGGCCGATGGTGGATGGGATGGAGCCTGTGATGTTGTTTGAATCCAAGTCACTGGGTAGGGGAAGGGGAGAAATTTGGGAGAAAAGGAATACAAGTTGGGGGGAATAAAAGTATAGACCACGATGGAGACAGGGGGGATGGTGATGGGGGGGGAACGGGTACGGTACGGAGGGATGGGGGAAAGAAGATGGGAGAGAAGGAGAATGGTTTCCCATAAACACATTCTGTCGCCAGTGGCATGTCACCAGCATTCCCATACAACAGTTATCAGCAGCAGCAGCAGCAGCAGCAGCAAGCAAAAAGTGTCAACTGACTCACAGGTAAGAGAGATCCACTAGGTCACTGAGGTGCAGTATGCAGCCAGCAGCAGTGACTCACAGGTAAGAGAGATCCACTAGGTCACCGATAGTAGGGGGAAGAGGCCCTCCCAGATTCTGTCCTGTCACCTCTCTGACGCGATGGCCGTATGGGGGGTGGGAGTGGGGTGGTGAGGATGGAAGTAAGTATGGGTCCGCGTATTGGCAGCAGGAGCATATGGGCGGCAGGAGGTGCGGTGTGGTGAGGTGAGGTGAGGTAAGGTGTGGTGAGATGCGGTGAGGTGAGGTTGTTGGTGGGTGATGGGCATTGATTGGTGCTGACTGTCAACACAACGGGGGCTGTGTAATCACTTGGGTGGGGTCGTGGGGATGGGGCGGACGGGGGGGATGAGGCAAGTGGGGCAAGGGGCAGTGCCTGCACACTCACTGACACACACACTGACACACTCACTGACACACACACTGACACACTCACTGACACACTCACTGACACACTCACTGACACACTCACTGACACACTCACTGACACACAAAGGCAACTTTTGAGTCGACTTACAAGTCACCAAGTGGGGCAAGGGGCAGTGCCTGCACACTCACTGACACACACAGGCAATGGCTTTGTCCTCTGGGATCCTGAATGTGTGGGTGTGTGTGTGTGCGTGTGTGCATGTGTGTGCGTGCGTGCGTGCGTGCGTGCGTGCGTGCGTGCGTGTGTGTGTGTGTGTGTGTGTGTATGTGTGTGTGTGTGTGTGTGTGCGTACATGTGTGTGCGTGTGAGAGTGGGTGGGCGGGTGTGCCTGTGTGTGTGTATGTGCACACAACCATATGCACATGCGCATGTGGGCGACGTGTGCGCATGTGTGTTGTGCTTGATGCATGTGTATGTATCCACGTCATCATCACGTACATCCATGTCACCAACACGTACATCCACGTCACCATGCCCTTAGCATTGCATGATATGTTTGAGGCAATGCTACAGTCCCCGTTGATGTCCCATTGGTCGAAAGTCACCCCCCATGACGTCTGCATGTCCCATAATGCTTGCACTGACGTCAGCATGACGTGGACGTGCCAAGTTCATGACGTGGCATGTGGAGAGGGGGCGGTGGGAGGGAAGGGAGGGAGAAAGATATGCCATGTGAAAGGGAGAAGAGTTGTGGGGGTGGGGATGGGGGATGGGAAAAGTATGGGGAAAGATGGGAGGAGGTGGAGGATTGGGGGGAGCGGAAGGGAAGGGGGATGAGGGGAAGAGGGGGAGGGGGAGGAGACGGACGGGGAAAGAGAGGAGAGGAGGGATGGGGTTTTCCAGTATTGGAATGGGGCGAAAGCGCGTGCATGCCATCATATTCCGCCACGTGTCCACGCCATGCCACGTGTGCACGTCGTGCCACGTGTCCACGCCATGCCACGTGGCGTTCACTTTACACTCACATTGGCTGCTGTCAATCGTTTGTCCCAGCACGTGCGTCACCAACGGAGCGGAAAATACGCTCCACGACGTCAGCACGGTAACAAGCAGTGTCGCGGACATGCCGCGACTCGGCCTCATGATCTCAGAGCAGCTGGTTGTAGCGCGAATGTCGCGTGACGGAGCTGTTGCGCGAGTGGAGCGGCGCGTGGGGGTTGTAGCAAGCGGCGAGTTGTAGCGTGGTGGGTTTGTAGCGCGAATGGCGAATGGCTGGTTGTGGCGCGAGTCGCACCGCGGCGCGGGGGGGTTGTAGCGCGAGTTGCGGGCTCTAGCGCGACCCTCTTGGCCGGCAGCGTGGAATATGGTGGATGCAGCGACGTGTTAAGCGGCGGGGTGTTTTGCATGGGCTGCGGCGGATGTAGCGTGAAATGCGGCGGGATGCACGGCCCGTGTGGAATGCGGTGCGGCGGATTGTCGTACGGAATGCGACGAAATGCCGCGGCTGCGGCGATTTCTCGAAAGGGCTGCGGCTAAACGTAGCACCTTGCGAAGGACAGCGAAACCTTCGTCACGGGAAATGCTGGAGTGGAACAAGCGCCGCCGACTCGCCGACAACCAAGAAAGAATCCGACCCGCCGGTTGCTTGTGTATGATCCACCTGTGGTGGGTAGATTTACGGCGAGGGGAAAGGGTAAGCGGGAAGGAAGAAGGCGGAAAGGGGATGGTGGGGTGACGGGAAACGGGGAACGGGCAAAGGGAATTGGGAGCGGGAAAGGGGGAAAGAAAATGAACGCGGGGAGATTGCGGGGGAACCAAGCTGGGGCTCAGCGAAACACTGCGTGCCAGCTTTCCACCCAAGCGTGGAAAACTCCGAGCTCTCTGGGGGGGAATCTCTCGGTGGCCAATCCGAATTTTCAGCCACGGTGACGACACGTGTTACCGCCAGCAAGGCTTGTCGTCATGACTTCGTTGACTAGCCAGGATCCGAGCCTTGTGGAAGACTGTAACATATTTCACTGAAATATATACTTAGCATTGAAGTATCCATAAATCGATAATCTGTATTAAAAAGAAGCCGATGGCCAGGTCACATAAGGAGCTCCCTCAGACTCCTCGTCTCAGTGTCAATCATTCCGTTCCGTTTGGATTTCATTGAGGCCAAACAACTTCGGAACTATATTCCATAAACACATACGGACCGTACATATCAATTGAAGCTGCCATTTGATGCGATTCTACTCCAATCGAATCAATGCACCTTCATGTTATAGAGTCACCCCGCCCACCTGTACCAGGAGATGCTCACGCCTCCTCAGTGCTAACACCCCCTCTTAAAGTAACACCGTACGCACCATACACCACCGGCCCTCATACACCGCTATCAGAGGAATCCATCTCCCCAATTGACACCATCCCAATGCTCAAACCCGACACCCCTTCACGCTCCGAGGCCACCTCTTGTGCCCGCCGAATCTCCTGCGAGAAGTTCGAGCCTTTGCGATCTGCCAGGTCACTGTCAATATTTACCAGCACTGGATCCACATCAGCTCCGAGGAACTCCCCTTTCATGGCGATGAGGTCGGAGAGAATGCGCGCCATGGACGGGCGGGTGGCAACGGGCGTGGCGGTGCAGGAGAGGGCGAAGCGGGCGAGCTTGAGCACCACATCGCTGGGGGCGTCCAGCCGCGGGTCTTTGATAGCATCTGCATTTCCGGCCTCCAAGAACGGTTCCACCTGGAGGAGGGGAAGGGCATGAGTGGAATGTTACAAGTGATTACATTAATCATAGCAATCGTGGTGATTGTATTTGTAATAGCATTAATACCGATAATAACTACGATGATAGTAATCATACCGACGACGACGACGACGACAACAACAATGCCCTCTCTCAAATCCGTACCAAACTCACCCATTTCTTGAGGTTTACTTGGTTTTCGTCCAAAGAGTCTAGAGCCTTGCGGGCAGTAATGACTGTCAGCATCACCACTCCGAAGCTGGGAGGGAGGGGTGAAGAGGGGACCAGCACAGTGATAACGGTGCTTGGATGGGTGCATGTAGCAGAGGTGGTTGTTTGTGGCCTGGCCCCTGCACCTTGTGTTCAGACCCCACTTTTGCTCTCCACTCACATGTGCACCTCTGCTGCTGTGGTGACTTTTGAGGCGCCTCACAATCGCGGGTGATGAGACGAAAGGCGCCTTGAAAGTTTACACCGGTGGTGGTGCTCAGACCCCATTTTTGCTCTCCATTCGCATGTGCACCTCTGCTGCTGTAGTGGCCTTATTGATGTCATTCCTTCCACCAGCTTGTTACCAGTCTGAACCCACGCACACCCGCGTCCTCACCTATGCACGTCTGCGGCTGGCGTGGCCTTCTGCGACTTGAAATAAGCGGGATCTACATAGCCTGGCGTTCCCATCACCCGCGTGTGACCCACTGCAGTGCCCTCGCCCATCCTCACCAGCCCAAAGTCAGCTATCTTGGTCTGAGGAAGGGGGAGAGGGGAGACGAGGGGAGAGGAGAGAAGGGGGAGAGGGGAGACGAGGGGAGAGGAGAGAAGGGGGAGAGGGGAGACGAGGGGAGAGGAGAGAAGGGGGAGAGGGGAGACGAGGGGAGAGGAGAGAAGGGGGTGGAGAGGGGAGACGAGGGGAGAGGAGAGAAGGGGGAGAGGGGAGACGAGGGGAGAGGAGAGAAGGGGGAGAGGGGAGACGAGGGGAGAGGAGAGAAGGGGGAGAGGGGAGACGAGGGGAGAGGAGAGAAGGGGGAGAGGGGAGACGAGGGAGATGATGGTTCAGGAGACAGATTCGCACCATGAGACCAGAAGAATTGCAAAAAAGGATAAATCAGTGATGGCAGAGAGAGTAGCGTCGTTGTGTGCTTGTGTTATAACTTATTAAGTGTTTCACCTGCATTTTCTTGTCAAGAAGGATGTTGGCGGGTTTGATGTCGCGATGAACAATGTTGAAGCTGTGGAGGTACTGCAAGCCCTGAGCCACCCCGATGAGCACGTCAAAGCGCTGCCGCAGGGTCAGCGGCTTCTCAACACCTGGTGGTTGGTAGTGGTGGGGGGAGGAGGCCGAATGGTGAGTCCAGTAGGACAAGGCAAATACTGAATTCACAAGCGTGTGAATGTGTGTGGGAGCTGATGCAAGCAGTGGAGGTGCTGAGCCTCCACTGCTTGCTTGCACCCCTGAGCCACCCCTATGAGCTGAGTCAAAGTGCTGCCGCAGGCTCAGTGGCTTCTCAACAGGAAGCCAGACTTTGAGTGCAGTAGGACAACGCGAACCCTCAAGTCAGGAGTGACTTCTGAGTCGACTCAAAAGTAACCTTGTAGGACAATGCAAACACTCAAGTCAGGAGTGACTTCTGAGTCGACTCAAAAGTAACCTTGTAGGACAATGCAAACACTCAAGTCAGGAGTGACTTCTGAGTCGACTCAAAAGTAACCTTGTAGGACAATGCAAACACTCAAGTCAGGAGTGACTTCTGAGTCGACTCAAAAGTAACCTTGTAGGACAATGCAAACACTCAAGTCAGGAGTGACTTCTGAGTCGACTCAAAAGTAACCTTGTAGGACAATGCAAACACTCAAGTCAGGAGTGACTTCTGAGTCGACTCAAAAGTAACCTTGTAGGACAATGCAAACACTCAAGTCAGGAGTGACTTCTGAGTCGACTCAAAAGTAACCTTGTAGGACAATGCAAACACTCAAGTCAGGAGTGACTTCTGAGTCGACTCAAAAGTAACCTTGTAGGACAATGCAAACACTCAAGTCAGGAGTGACTTCTGAGTCGACTCAAAAGTAACCTTGTAGGACAATGCAAACACTCAAGTCAGGAGTGACTTCTGAGTCGACTCAAAAGTAACCTTGTAGGACAATGCAAACACTCAAGTCAGGAGTGACTTCTGAGTCGACTCAAAAGTAACCTTGTAGGACAATGCAAACACTCAAGTCAGGAGTGACTTCTGAGTCGACTCAAAAGTAACCTTGTAGGACAATGCAAACACTCAAGTCAGGAGTGACTTCTGAGTCGACTCAAAAGTAACCTTGTAGGACAATGCAAACACTCAAGTCAGGAGTGACTTCTGAGTCGACTCAAAAGTAACCTTGTAGGACAATGCAAACACTCAAGTCAGGAGTGACTTCTGAGTCGACTCAAAAGTAACCTTGTAGGACAATGCAAACACTCAAGTCAGGAGTGACTTCTGAGTCGACTCAAAAGTAACCTTGTAGGACAATGCAAACACTCAAGTCAGGAGTGACTTCTGAGTCGACTCAAAAGTAACCTTGTAGGACAATGCAAACACTCAAGTCAGGAGTGACTTCTGAGTCGACTCAAAAGTAACCTTGTAGGACAATGCAAACACTCAAGTCAGGAGTGACTTCTGAGTCGACTCAAAAGTAACCTTGTAGGACAATGCAAACACTCAAGTCAGGAGTGACTTCTGAGTCGACTCAAAAGTAACCTTGTAGGACAATGCAAACACTCAAGTCAGGAGTGACTTCTGAGTCGACTCAAAAGTAACCTTGTAGGACAATGCAAACACTCAAGTCAGGAGTGACTTCTGAGTCGACTCAAAAGTAACCTTGTAGGACAATGCAAACACTCAAGTCAGGAGTGACTTCTGAGTCGACTCAAAAGTAACCTTGTAGGACAATGCAAACACTCAAGTCAGGAGTGACTTCTGAGTCGACTCAAAAGTAACCTTGTAGGACAATGCAAACACTCAAGTCAGGAGTGACTTCTGAGTCGACTCAAAAGTAACCTTGTAGGACAATGCAAACACTCAAGTCAGGAGTGACTTCTGAGTCGACTCAAAAGTAACCTTGTAGGACAATGCAAACACTCAAGTCAGGAGTGACTTCTGAGTCGACTCAAAAGTAACCTTGTAGGACAATGCAAACACTCAAGTCAGAATGGATGGGTTGCAGAACGAGAATGTGCTAGGCACGACAGGTGAAAATGCCGTGGTGGCATCACTTCCACACTGCAGGCGATGCGAGGAAGCATATCAAATGGTGAGAAGCAGGCATTCACAGCTTAGCCCACAGGAAGGAAAGGCAAGGCGCAGCACCCACTCACCTTGTCTACTCCACCTCCCGAGGGCTCCATTGTCCATAAACTCAACTCATTGACGAGTACTGAGGTGCTTCGAGGCACGAGATGCCTTCTCGGGCCCCTGAAAAACCCATACGGTCACGCACCTCGCCTCGTCCGATCCACCTCTCGAGGCCTCCGTTATCCATGTACCCATAGATGAGAATCTGCTCCGTGCTCTCAGCTGCCTTGTCCACCTCGATGCAGTAGCCCAGCCCAACAGCCATACCACCCACCATAGGGTAGGGCAACACCCACCCACCTGGTCTGGTCTAATCCAGCTGAACTCATAGCTGAGAATCCGCTCCGTGCTTCAGAGGCAGCACCTTCGATACAACAGGCAACGCAAGCAGGCATTGTACCAACCTGGTCCAATCCACCTCTCCAGATCCCCATTATCCATGAACTCATAGATGAGAATCTGCTCCGTGCTCTCAGCTGCCTTATCCACCTCGATGCAGTAGCCCAGTAGCCGCACGAGGTTGGGGTGGTGCTTCGATGCCATCTCGTTGATCTGTGGTGAGGGGAAAGGGGGGGAAGGGGAGGGAACGGGAAGGAGAGGAGGTGGGGGGGGGAAGGGCATGAGGTTGGGGTGGTGCTTTGACGCCATCTCGTTGATCTGTGGTGGGAGGGGGGAGGGAGGGAGTAGGTAGAGAGGGGTTGGGGGAGGGCGAGGTGTGGGGGGTGGGGGGGAGAAGGAGAGTGCATGAGACACCATACCACACACAACTGCGTCAGACCCACGCACCACACCACAGCGCACCTCCTGTCGGAAGTCACCTGTGATCGCGGTGACTTGCTTCACAGCCCACACCACCTACGTGTTTGAAGAAGTGTTTTGAGACGTCTCAAAACACTTCTTCAAACATGTGATCGCGGTGACTTGCTTCACAGCCCACACCACCTACGGGTCGTGGGGAAAACACTTCCCTGAACACATCCCCGAACCCGCCGCACAGTAGCTAGGAGGTACCCCCATTGCCCTGCACCATACCACACCACACCACACCACACCACACCACACCACACCGCACTGCACCGCACCATACAGCAACACACCACACCGTACCGCGCACCTCCCAGCGGAAGTCACTTGTGATGACGGTGGCTCGCTTCACAGCCCCAACCACTGATGGGTCATCTTGCAACACTACCCTGAACACATCCCCAGACCCACTGCACACTAGCTGGGTGGTACACCGCATTGCACTGCACCATACCACACCACACCGCACCACACCACACTGCACCGCACTGCACCATACCACACCCCACCACACCCGCACCTCACCACTCCACGTACCTCTCGGCGGAAGTCACTGGTGATGACGGTGGCTCGCTTCACGGCCCACAGCACCGAGGGGTCGTGAGGCGACACTCCCCTGAACACGTCCCCGAACCCGCCGCTGCCAATCCGGTTGGCCTCTGCCCAGTTGTTGGTCGCCCGCTGCACGTCCGCCAAGGGGTAGCGCTGGCACTGCCCGCCCCCAGATATCCCCGCCGCTGCTGCTGCTTAGGGGGGAAGGGGGGATGAAGGGTGGGGAGGAGAGGCAAAAAGGTGTAAGATAATCGTTGATAGCAGCTTGTTCAAATCTCAGGTGCCCCAAGGTCTGTAACGCATGAGCACTGCCACTGCAGGTTCCCAGGGGGAGCAGCACTGCCACTGTAGGTTCTCAGATGTCCCCTCCTCTCTGCCTCAATTTATGAATCGGCAAACACCTTAGTAATCCCTAGGCTCCTTAATCATCTTCTACCATCCCCTCCCCCCCCCCCCCCCCCCCCCCTTTTCACACCGCTTCTCACCCCTTCTGTTTCTTTCCTCTCTGCCTCACCTTGATCTGCTGCTGCTCTAGCCCTGTGATAGCATTCACGTGATTGAAGAAGGGTTTTGCTGATCTAGCCCTGTGATAGCATTCAAAACCCTTATTCAATCAGATCTGCTGCTGATCTAGCCCTGTGATAGCATTCAAAACCCTTCTTCAATCAGATCTGCTGCTGATCTAGCCCTGTGATAGCATTCAAAACCCTTCTTCAATCAGATCTGCTGCTGATCTAGCCCTGTGATAGCATTCAAAACCCTTCTTCAATCAGATCTGCTGCTGATCTAGCCCTGTGATAGCATTCAAAACCCTTCTTCAATCAGATCTGCTGCTGCTCTAGCCCTGTGATAGCATTCAAAACCCTTCTTCAATCAGATCTGCTGCTGCTCTAGCCCTGTGATAGCATTCAAAACCCTTCTTCAATCAGATCTGCTGCTGATCTAGCCCTGTGATAGCATTCAAAACCCTTCTTCAATCAGATCTGCTGCTGCTCTAGCCCTGTGATAGCATTCAAAACCCTTATTCAATCAGATCTGCTGCTGATCTAGCCCTGTGATAGCATTCAAAACCCTTCTTCAATCAGATCTGCTGCTGATCTAGCCCTGTGATAGCATTCAAAACCCTTCTTCAATCAGATCTGCTGCTGCTCTAGCCCTGTGATAGCATTCAAAACCCTTCTTCAATCAGATCTGCTGCTGATCTAGCCCTGTGATAGCATTCAAAACCCTTCTTCAATCAGATCTGCTGCTGCTCTAGCCCTGTGATAGCATTCAAAACCCTTCTTCAATCAGATCTGCTGCTGCTCTAGCCCTGTGATAGCATTCAAAACCCTTCTTCAATCAGATCTGCTGCTGCTCTAGCCCTGTGATAGCATTCAAAACCCTTCTTCAATCAGATCTGCTGCTGCTCTAGCCCTGTGATAGCATTCAAAACCCTTCTTCAATCAGATCTGCTGCTGCTCTAGCCCTGTGATAGCATTCACCCTCCTCTCTGCCTCACCTCATGAATCGGCAAGCGCCTAACAGTCTCCTACCCCTTCACACCCCTTCACACCCCTTCACACGGGTTCTGTTTCTTTTCTCTCTGACTCACCTTGATCTGCTGCTGCTCTTGCCTTGCGCTTCCTCTGATACAAGCACACCGCTACAAGCACCACTCCCAGCAACAGCACCACTGCTCCCACTACCACCCCCACAACCACCCCTGTCGACACCCCCCCCTCCCCCCTCCGCGGACGGGGGGGAAGGGGAAGGGGCAGGTGGCGAGGGGGAGGAAGGAGGGGCGGGCGGAGGGCTGGCTGGGACTGGAGAGGAGGGTTGCGCTGGTTGGCGGGAAAGAGGTGGGGGGGAGCAGAAAGAGGAGGACGTCAAGTGGGGGGAAGCGGATGTGGGGGGAAGAGGAGCAGGGAAGAGTGAAACAAGAGACTTAGTTGCCAGGTTTTGAATAAATTTCTAGAATTCTCAAAAACCACCTGCAACAACAAGTGGTATTTGAGAAATATTTAAAAAAAAAAAAAAAAAAAAAATGTGTCAGAGGGAAGCAAGAAAGTTTGTGGCCTGCCAGGTTCTGCCAGGTTGGTGGCAGGTTGCTTGCTTGGCAGGTAGACAGAGGTTGGTGTTCCCAGGTAGTTCCCCGGTAGCTGGCAGGTAGTTGGCTGGTTGCTTGCTTGCTATTACCAGGTGTGGCACCGCAAGAGGAGCAGAAGACAGAGCAGTCGGAGCAGAAGAGGGTGGTGTTGACAGCATCAACGGTGCATGCCCCTGTGGGGCACGACATGAGCAGGCCGTCATACGATCTGCCGTGGGGGGGTATAACATCAAAGGGTGTAGGGTAACATGTTTGACGCATTCCAAAACAGTCGGAGCAGAAGAGGGTGCTGTTGACAACATCAACGGTGCACGCCCCCTGTGGGGCACGACATGAGCAGGCTGTCGTATGACCTGCGGTGAGGTGTGGGGTGCTGATGATGGAAAGAGGGGTGGGAGCATAAGGTGAGATAGCGCATGTTGACAGCATCAACGGTACAAGGCTTTGTGGGGCACGACATGAGCAGCGCGTCGTACGACCTGCGGTAATGGGTGGGGTGATGGTGATGGAAAGGGGGGTGAAAGCTGGTGTTGACAGCATCAAAAGTGCAGAGCCCTGTGGGGCACGACATGAGCAGCCCGTCGTACGACCTGCAGTGGTGGATGCGATGATAGGAGGTGATAGAAGGAGTGATGGCATTGGGTGATGGCATGGGGTGATGGCATGGGAAAGCTATAAAGAGGAAGGCGCGTTCAATAAGGATACCAACAGAGCGACAACGGTTACAGGGTTGCGAGAGAGGGAGAAATGCAAAGTGGTGCATTTCTTACAAGGTTTTGAGGTTGGTCATTGTTGCAAGGGTCTCGGGTAAGCTCCCTTGCATGTCCGTGTTGCCGACGTAGCTGGGGAGGGATAGGGGTGGGTCAAGTGACGCAGCAAGCAACTACAACTAAGTCGACTAAAAAATTTATCCCAAACAGGGTCATTGTTGCAAGGGTCTCGGGCAAGCTCCCTTGCATGTCCGTATTGCCAACATAGCTGGGGAGGGGGGATGGATGGCGGTTGGAGGGGGAAAGGGGGAGAGAAAACACAATACCACGTGTAGAAAGAAGATTTTAGAGACGTAGATACGATGGACGTAGGACGTCTCAAAAATCTTCTTTCTACAAGGGGGAGAGAACACACGATACAGCACACATGGATGAGATGGCAAGAATTCACATACAGGTGGACGGGTGTCTGTGGTCAGGTACACATGATATACCAATATTGCAGGGCAGGCAGGGTCCCAGAGAGCTGAACATAGGAGATGTGAGGCCAATAGGGGCTTTCGTGAAAGATGGCTTGGCTTGGGAGGGATTCGCTTTTGAGTTGGAATCAACGTACAGGTGAATGGGCTTCTGGGGGTCACTGATGTTGTATGGCAGGGTCCCAGAAAACTGAGCAATAGGAGAGGTGGTGGGCACTCGTGCAAGATGGCTTGGGAGGGTGCTATTGAGTTTTGTTTGTTTTTTTTGTTTGTTTTTTTTGTTTGTTTTTGTTTTACCTTTTTGCGTATGAGGAGGAACCCTTCCCCTGTTTGTATGAGCATGAGGCTTCCCCTGTTTGTATGAGCATGAGGCTTCCCCTGTTTGTATGAGCATGAGGCTTCCCCTGTTTGTATGAGCATGAGGCTTCCCCTGTTTGTATGAGCACCTTAGGAAGAGGGAGAGGGGATACACGTACAGGTCGACGAGCTTCTGAAGGTTACCGATGTTGGCCGGCAGGGTGCCAGAGAGCTGGTTGTAGGATAGGTCGCTGTGTTTGATAGAGGGGCGCAGAATACGGCCACAGATGGACAGCAGAGGGGGGTTCTTGAGTCGACTGAGAAACCGATATTGCGAATGGGTTGTCTCTGGGTCCCAGAGCGCTGGGTGATGCGAGGGAGTTTTTCAGACGTCTCAAAAACTCCCATTTATCAGAGTGTTTGAGTTGACTGAGAAATTGATACCACAGAGGGCGTTCTCTCTGGGTCCCAGAGCGCTGGCTGCACGATCGGTCGCTGTGTGGGAAAGATGGATGCAGGGCAGAGGCAGAGAGGGTTTTGTGAGAGGTCAGTGCATTTGGAGAGAGAATTTGCAGGAGAGATGGCAAGGGCAGGTGACTGCATTACCTTTTCATGTGCGAACGCGTTACATCTTCATGTGAGTGCGTTACGTCTTCAAATAAGCATGTTACAACATTGTATTTTCGATTACAAATGTTAGATATTCATATGAGCATGTTACTTCTTTGAGTTAGTGCGTTACAACTAACATCTTTAATTAACCGTGGTGTGGTATACGCACAGGTGCGACAAGGCGAGCATAAAGGTAATGGAATCAAGAATGGTGCCGCCGATGCGATTCTTCAGCTGAATCTACTATCATCTCCAATAAAGAGTGGTGTGGTATACGCAAAGACGCAACAAGGCGATGAGTTTTGAGTGTGTGGCTGGTATACGCACAGGTGTGACAAGGCGAGCATCGTGGTAATGGAATCGGGAACAATGCCACCAATGCGATTCTTGTGCAACGAGCTGGTAGAGGTGGGGGGAATGTAGGGGAAGTGGGGATGAAGAAAGGGAACAAGCAAGAGTTGGGCGGTGATAGAATCCCGGAACCGCCCACGAATGGGATTCTTGTTCAATAAGCTGGTAGGGGTGGGGGGGATGTGGGGGAGAGGAGGGCGGTGCGAGGGAGGAGAAAGGGAACAAGCAAGGGTGGTGGTGGAATTCGGAATGATGCCACTGTTGCGATTCTTGCGCAAGGCACTGAAGAATGGGAGGGAGGAGAGGCGGGTTGAGGGAGTGAGAAGAGAAAACACACAAGCAGGTAGAGGGGGAGATGGTTTAAGAGATTGTTGAGAAATTTCAGAATTCAATCCAGTAGAACGAACTTGTCTCAGAGATGGTTTTACAAGATGTGTCTTGGACTTGGGAGCAAGGCTGCCTTCAGCGTGACGAACGATGCTCTTTGTGATTCTTGTGTGGTGTGGCAGACGAACGTGTCTCAGAGATAGGTAAGCCTACGCAGGTTGCCTCTTGAATGCAACTCAAAATAACTTATGAAATGGCCTTTAGCACGACTCGAAGGTCGACTCATCTGACAAACGTGACTGACAGGGAGGTGAGCCAGCTGAGGGTGCCAATATTGGAAGGGATGCTGCCAGACAGACTGTTGTACGAAAGGTCACTGGAGCGGGGTGGAGTTGGGTGGAGTGGGGTGGACATGGGTGGAGTGGGGTGGAGATGGGTGGAGTGGGGTGGAGATGCGTGGAGTGGGGTGGAGATGGGGGGAGTGGGGTCCAGTGGGGTGCAGTGGGGTGGGGTGGAGGGGCGGGAGGGGCGCACGGGGGGAGATTGTGGACGTTTGAGCTTTCTAAAGACAGAGTGAGGAGCTGGTTAGAGAGATGTGGGGAGAGGCGTGGGACGGTGTGACTCACTGCGGAGGAGGATAGAGGGGTGTGCAGGGGGATAGAGGGGTATGAAGGGTTATAGAGGGGTTTGAAGGAGCACAGAGGGGTGTGATTCGTGAAGGAGGATAGAGGGGCGTGAAGGAGGATAGAAGTGTTTACTAGATTTTGGGGCACATAGAGTGCGGCCCTGCTCGCTTACACGTGTGTGAGGCCCCTTGGGTTTGTGATGGGCTCTGGACTAGAATACTGCCTGGCAGATGGTTCTCCTGCAGATAGCTTAGAGACGACTCGAAAATCACCCACGGCTATAGCTGTGCGAGCCCCACAGGGTGCGAGCCCCACAGGGTGCGAGCCCCACAGGGTGCGAGCCCCACAGGGTGCAGCCCTGCTCGCTTACACGTGTGTGAGGCCCCTTAGGTTTGTGATGGACTCTGGAATGCTGCCTGACAGATGGTTGTCCTGGAGGTACCTGGGAAGGATACGGGGTGTTGGGGAGGGTGGGGTGTGAAAGAGAGTGGGGGGTTGTGCTTGAGTCCGGCTTTGAGACGACCCCAAACCAAGACAGACTCTGGAATAATGTCTGACATGACAGAAGGGGGAAAGGAGTCTCCTGCAGGTATCTGGGAAGGGTATGGGGTGTTGGGGGGGGTACTTTTGAGTCAACTCATAAGTCAGGAAGGGTATGGGGTGTTGGGGAGGGTGGGGTGCGGGAGGGAGTGAGGGGTTGTGTGGGAATCTGATTTTTAGGCGACTCTGAACCGAGCAGAGTCTGGAATACTGCCTGGCGGATGGGGAAAGGGAGTCTCTTGCAGGTACCTGTGGGTATATTGGGATGTTTGGGGAGACAGGGGGGGAGGGGGAGGGGGAGCGGGGAAAGGGGGGGGATGGCAGGAGAGTCTTAGTTTAGACGCCTCTAAACAGAGCGTAGTGAGGTGCATTTTGAGGCGCCTCAAAATGGCAGGAGAGTCTTAGTTTAGGCGCCTCTAAACAGAGCGTGCGATGCTGCTGCCAATTTTTTTTTTATTGCAAGTAGCTGGGAGGCTCTGGGGCCGTGGCAAGATGTCCATGGGACGATTTATTGGTCAATCGGCTACCGCACATGACCGTGAACTACCGCACATAACCAGCGAGTACCGCACACTACCATAGGCTGCCGCACATAACCATCGGGTACCGCACTCTGCTATAGGCAAGCTCAAATGGCCGTGGGCTACCTCACGTCACTCACAGAGCTATCAATCCTGAGCAGTCGCCAATATGTGATGAAATCGACCCTGTTAGGTTGTTGCTCGATGAACCCCTGCCCATAAGCACACCCATTACAAGCACACGTACAAGCACACGTGCACACAAGTATGTGATCAGTAAGTCAATGCTTGTGCATGTGTGAGTATAGCAGCATGACTGTAGAGTAGCAGCAACGAGTCGGGAAGGAAGAGACAAAGAATGAAACCATGTAAGGGAAGAGATGAAAGGGAAGAGGCAAAAGGGAAGAGATGAAAGGGAAGAGACGAAAGGGAAGAGACGAAAGGGAAGAGACGAAAGGGAAGAGACGAAAGGGAAGAGGCAAAAGGGAAGAGGCGAAAGGGAAGAGGCGAAAGGGAAGAGACGAAAGGGAAGAGGCGAAAGGGAAGAGGCGAAAGGGAAGAGGCGCGTAGAGTAGAGTACAGTGTTGCGACTGTTGAGTAGCAGCAACGCGTTGGAAGAGAAGGTTGCGGAAGGGAAGGTTTTGCACCATTGGAGCAGGTTGCGAAAGAGACTGAAGTCGGGAAGAGGGCCGCTGAGTTGGTTGGCATAGAGGGAGCTGCGTTGGGGGATCGAGCGAGGGGGGGGGGAGGGGATTGGAAGAGGGGATGAGAGGATGAGAGGAGGGAAGGGGGCCGCTGAGTTGGTTGGTATAGAGGGAGCTGCGATGGAGGATCGAGCGAGGGAGGAGGGGAGGAGAAAGGAAAGGAGAGGAGGGGGGAGTAGAGGGGCAAGGAGAGAAAGGTGGGGAGAGAGGCAAGGAGAGAGGGAAAGAAAGAGGGGAGGATAGAGGTGAGTTGACTTGGCCTTACTCATGCTGAATCTTTTTTAAGCCTAGCTTCACTACTGCTGCTCCCTAAGAATTATGTCTGAAGATCACTTTCCTCATGCTGAAATTTTTTTCTTCAGAAGACTCAGAAAACAATGTTAGTGTGCTCTTGTCACGAAGTGACTGCTGCTGAGCCGACTGGAAAGACAAGTGAACGCATGAATTGAGTCGACTCGCACTGAAATCACTTGAATTGACTTGCGTTGACTTGACTGTAGTTGACCTTCGTTGACTTGACTTGACTCACACGTCTCTCAGATTGACCAGGTTGGTGAAGGTTTTGGGGAAGCTGCCAGTGAGGCTGTTGCGAGCCATAGAGCTGATGGGTGGGGAGCGGGAAGGGACCTAAAGCTGAGAAGGGTAGGAACTAAAGAAACAAGCTTGCGAACAGAAACTGCACTGCGTCTTCCAAGCACTCACACAGGTTCACTTCATTTACTCACGATTGGGAAGCATCGCGCACTGCCACAACCGTTTGACTTGCGACTAACTTGTAAGCATCACACCCGCGATCACCCCACCCGCGACTCATCAGCAACACTCGCAACTTGCTAGCTATCAGCACTTACAACCAGGTGAGGGCAGTGAGCTGGCCAATAGTGGATGGGATGGAGCCCGTGATGCCATCCCTATCCAATGTCCTGCCACCCACCACCATCGCCCCACAAAGCAAACAAGCAAGAAAGCAAGCAAGGGAGCAAAGCAGCAAGCAATGGTCAATGGTGGATGAGCAACAGTCAACGGATGGGCAGTGGGCAGTGAGAGTGGGCAGTGAGAGTGGGCAGTGAGTGTGGGCAGTGAGAGTGGGCAGTGAGTGTGGGCAGTGAGAGTGGGCAGTGAGTGTGGGCAGTGAGAGTGGGCAGTGAGAGTGGGCAGTGAGAGTGGGCAGTGAGAGTGGGCAGTGAGTGTGGGCAGTGAGAGTGGGCAGTGAGAGTGGGCAGTGAGAGTGGGCAGTGAGAGTGGGCAGTGAGAGTGGGCAGTGAGAGTGGGCAGTGAGAGTGGGCAGTGAGAGTGGGCAGTGAGAGTGGGCAATGAGAGTGGGCAGTGAGAGTGGGCAGTGAGAGTGGGCAGTGAGAGTGGGCAGTGAGAGTGGGTCATTGGCCACTGGCAGAGGGGAGGGGTAGCCATTGCTCAATGCAATGCATGCAGCCTGTGATGCCGTTTGGTCAGTTCATTGTCCTGCCACCGTCGCCATGAAGCAACCAAGCAGCAGTGGCGTCGGGGAAGCTGTTAAGTGGCGGACACACTTGGTTAGGGGCACGATTGCAGCAACGGGTGGAAGGAAAAAAGGGTTGCTTCAGCACCAGCATGTGGCAGCCACTCACAGGTGCGAAAGAGCCACCAGATCACCGATGGTGGCGGTGTCTTGAGAGGGGCTTTAAGAGCATCAGGCAGCAAGCAGAATGAATCAGTCACTCACAGGTGTGAGAGAGCCGCTAGGTCACCGATGGTGGCGGGGAGAGGCCCTCCCAGATCCAGCCCCGAGATGTCTCTGCAGTGCAAGCCGTGCGGGGGAGTATCAATGGGTAGGGAAAGGGAGGATTTTGAGAATTCTGGAAATGAAGGCTTAGTATCAATGAGTATCAATGGGAGGAACGGGAGGATTTTGAGAATTCTGGAAAGGCAAGGGAAGTTGGCTTCCTGGTTGGGACGGGCAAGGGAAGTTGGCTTCCTGGTTGGGACGCTGCGTGCATGGCAGTCGGGACGGCAGTCGGGACGGCAGTCGGGACGGCAGTTAGGATGGCAGTCGGGACGGCAGTCAGGACGGCAGTCAGGATGGCAGTCAGGATGGCAGTCAGGACGGCAGTCGGGACGGCAGTCAGGATAGCAGTGAGGATGGCAGTCGGGACGGCAGTCAGGACGGCAGTCAGGACTCAGGATAGCAGTTAGGATGGCAGTCGGGACGGCAGTCAGGACGGCAGTCAGGATGGCAGTCAGGATGGCAGTCGGGACGGCAGTCGGGACGGCAGTCGGGACGGCAGTCGGGACGGCAGTCGGGACGGCAGTCGGGACTGCAGTCGGGACGGCAGTCGGGACGGCAGTCAGAATGGTAAGTAAGTGTGTATGTTTGTGTGCCTACGTGCATGCATACGTGTGTGCGTGTTGTGCTTGTGCATGCATGCACGCACCCATGCAACCAGCAAATGGCCCAGGAAAAAAATCCTGATTCTTGGAGCAACACACGATCCGACCAATACGTGCTTAGTCACAGCAGCATGCCATGTCACAACATGCCACGTCACCCACTGCAAGATGCCACAGACCAGCCACAGCCATACAGTAGCCAGATTGTCTCATCTCATGCCACGTAATTCTGAACACGCCACATCAGCACCACGTACATCCACGTCACCATGCCGTCAGCGTTGCATGATATGTTGTACGCGATGCTGCAGTCTCCGTTGGTGTCCCATTGGTCGAAAGTCACCCCCCATGACGTCTGCATGTCCCATAATGCTTGCACTGACGTCAGCATGTGATGTGGGGCAGGCGGGGATGGGGGAGGTTGGGGGAAGGCGGAAGAAAAGGGGAGGGGTGGGGGGGGGGGGGGGGGGGGAGGGGGGTTGGTATTTTGAGAGATTTTGGGGGGACGAAAGGGGGAAAGACGTTGCGGGGAATGGTGGGAGAGGAGGGGAGGGTGCGCGGTGTAGGAGCCTGGAAAGGGAACATACTGGGGCGGGTCATGCTGTGCCAGCGGCACATGGTGACTCTCGTGGTGAGTCAAGATGACTCATGATGACTCATGGTGACTCGTGATGACTCATGGTGACTCGCGATGACTCATGGTGACTCGCGATGACTCATGGTGACTCGTGATGACTCATGGTGACTCTTGATGACTCATGTGACTCGTGATGACTCATGGTGGCTCGTGATGACTCATGGTGACTCGCGATGACTCATGGTGACTCGCGATGACTCATGGTGACTCATGATGACTCATGGTGACTCGTGATGGCACATGGTGACTCGTGATGACTCATGGTGGCTCGTGATGACTCATGGTGACTCGCGATGACTCATGGTGACTCATGATGACTCATGGTGACTCGTGATGACTCATGGTGACTCGTGATGACCCATGGTGACTCGCGATGGCACATAGTGATTCGTGGTGACTCATGTGACTCGTGACGACTTATGTTGACTCGTGATGACTCATAGTGACTCACGATGAGTCATGGTGAGTCATGATAAGTCAGGATGAATCAAAATGACTCGTAACAATTTTTAGGATTGGCTCAAGATGACTCAAAATGACTTTGGCTTGAGAAGCATAGACCCTCGCGTTTGCCGCGTTGGCTGCATGACTTGAGGTCTCCCGTTACACTCACACTGGCTACTGTCAATCGTCTGTCCCTGCACCGGAGCTGTCAGCGCTCCCCATGACGTCAGCATACTGGACAGCAGAAGCACCGCCACCGTCGGCCATTCGCGATTCGTCGACATCGCGGAAGCGGCGACAGGGATTATAGGCCGCGGCGGAGCCGCGAGCCCCGAGGCGTTCGAAACGGTTTGAGTTTATTAGCGGACACAACGGCTCCGAGGTGACTTTCGACTCAGAAGTCACCTCGGAACCGCGAGCTGAGGCGTTCGAAACGGTTTGAGTTTATTTCAAACAAGCGACACGACGACTCCAAAGAGGAGATTCACTTTAGGTCTACGATAGGAAAACTTGAACACAGGGATTCTTAAAAACTCAGGCTTGTTGCACTAATGCTAAAATCATCGAGGTTAGAACTAATATTCATTAGTCGTAATACCTAGAAGGTTCGAATTTAGCATCGAGGGGGTGAGGGAAATTACTAACGGCTAGAAAGGTAAAGAGAATTTTGATTTCAACCAACACAGTTAAAGCTGTCGCCTACATACCTCCTGCGGGAGGACCTGGTTTATCACTTGAAAACCAGGTAACACAGGGCTTCGCTCCATCCTTGGGTGGCGAGGTGCAGTTACTGCTTTCTGACAACCCAACTCCCCCTCTGAAAGTTGGCCTGCTCAGGATTGGCTTACAAATTTCGTGCCAATCTACCCCCCAACCTCGATTGTTTGCAGGTTGTGGCGAAATCGCCACCGTTGCGTTCTGGTTTGGTTTCCGTTCCGTTCCGACGTGCTGAGATTTCTGGGGGGCTGGACCACGACGACACGAGGAGATTTCTAGGTTTCAGGGATGATGAAGTGCGCTTCTGTGGACTGACGACCTTTCGTAAACCAATAGCCTTCGTCGCCAATCCGCTTCCTCTATCATGCTGGCATGTGAGATTTGCCAGCGGGGCTTGTGTCGCGGACTTCGTTGACTGCGGCAAGCGCGGAGCCTCGTATAAACTTACTCTTGCAAATTCACTGATTCTGCTGCTGTACAAATACATTCTCTACAAGTTTAGAAAAGTATTACTCTACTACTAGACTGTATTGTGCAGCCTATTGCGTGCATGCTAGTCCTCATTTCAGGTGGGTAAAGTCTTATTCCTTCCCACCTAAAACTGCATATCTGTGTACCTATTGATCACCGAATTGGTATGACATTTGCAAACCACCCCTTTATAAAACATAATTGGCAGCACACCACCTCATACATAGGAAATAAAACACCAAGACGCACAGCACCATACAGAAACATACATCGTGAGATAACTCTAGCCATATCACACACCATTAACCGCAACACCCCAATCCGGCCGAGCATCACCATCGCCATCACCGCCACCGAACCCACTCTCCATACCGCCACTCCCCTCGCCCCCATAAACATCATCCGGGTCCGTGAGCCCGAAGAAGTCGGTCCGAATGGCCTTGAGCGTCGCCAACACCTCTCCCATGGGCGGGCGGTCGGTGAAGGGCATGGCGGTGCAGCGAATGGCGAGCTCGGCGAGAGAGAGGAAGGACGACTCGGGCACGTCCAGATGCGGGTCCTTGAGCTCCTCTGTCTTGCCCTCATCGATTAAAGGTGCCGCCTGGTTGGTGGGGAGAGAAGGATGGACAAGGGAGAGGGAAGGCAATGAGGGGTTAGGTGAGTGCTTGGAGCAAGGAGAGGAAGGAGGACTCGGGCACGTCCAGGTGGGGGTCCTTTAGCTCCTCCGTCTTGCCCTCATCTATGAGTGGTGCAGCCTGGTTTGCGAGGGAGGGGAGAAAACGGCACGGGAGAGAATGAGCAGGTGAGGGAGAGGAAGGAGGAACCCGACACGTCCAGGTGGGGGTCCTTGAGCTCCTCCGTCTTGCCCTCGTCGATAAGAGGCGCCGCCTGGTTTGTGGGGAAAGAAACAGCGGAGAAAGGGTAGGGGAGCAGCAGGTGAGTGCAGGGAGGGAAGGAGGCAGCTCTAGCCGTTTTCACCCAGTCTGTGACGTGCACAGCACATGGTCCTCCCCCCAAGTGAAACACCTGGCCAGCAACAGCATCAGCACTCACCCAGTCTGCGATGTGCTCGTGGTCCTCCCCGTGCTCCGCCTGCACCTGGATGAACGGCGGCCGCCCCTTGTCCCAATGTCCCCCACCCAATGCTCACAATGTTCAGCCCAGTGCACAGCCCGCTCAGCAAGCATCACTCACCCAGTCTGCAATGTGCTCGTGGTCCTCCCCGTGCTCCGCCTGCACCTGGATGAACGGCGGCCGCCCTGTCAGCAGCTCCAGAAAGATTACTCCAAAGCTGCATGGCGCGAAAAAGGGGAGGGAAGGAGGGAGGGAGTTAGGGAAGGAGTGAGGGAGGTAGGGAAGAAGTTAAGGATGCATCCAGTAGAACCATACAGCATCCAAACTGCGCGAGTAGGCCAAGGCCAACTAACATATGACCCTTACAGAGATATTCCTCCCTCTGCCTCTGCCTCACCTGAACACGTCTGAAGCCTTGGTGGCAATATGAGAGGTCAGGTAAACCAGGTCGACGTATCCCGGGATGCCGAACAGCCTTCCCGCGCTCACGGCGCTCTGCTCGTTGAGCTGCAGCAGCCCATAATTGGCCACCTTGGCCTGCCAGCCAGCTCGCTGCTAGAACAGGCTCACCCCACCCACCCACCCACCCACCCACCCACCCACCCACCCACCCACCCACCCACCCACCCACCCACCCACCCACCCACCCACCCACCCACCCACCCACCCACCCACCCACCCACCCACCCACCCACCCACCCACCCACCCACCCACCCACCCACCCACCCACCCACCCACCCACCCACCCACCCAACCCCACATGTGACCCTCACACAGGCAGACAGCCCGCCTTCTAGCCCCGCCTCACCTGAACACGTCTGAGGCCTTGGTGGCAATGTGCGAGGTCAGGTAGACAGGATCCACGTATCCCGGAGTGCCGAACAGCTTTCCCGCGCTCACGGCGCTCTGCTCGTTGCGCTGCAGCAGCCCGTAGTTGGCGACCTTGGCCTGCCAGCTCTTGTCGATGAGGATGTTGGCGGGCTTGAGGTCCCCATGCACCATGCCCACCGAGTGCAGATACTGCACCCCGTGCGCCATGCCTATCAGGATGTCCACGCGCTCCCACAGGGCAAAGGACGCCCGGAAGGTCTCTGTTAAGGGGTAGCGGCAGGGGCAGGGGAGGGGCAGGGTAAGAGGTCATGTTGGCGGGCTTGAGGTCCCCATGCACCATGCCCACCGAGTGCAGGTACTGCACCCCGTGCGCCATGCCTATCAGGATGTCCACGCGCTCCCACAGGGCAAAGGACGCCCGGAAGGATTCTGCTGGGAGAGCCGCAATCAGACAGGGAAGAAGAGGGCGCATAGAAGGGCTTGACGTCCCCACGCGTGCACCATGCGGTCGTTTTTGAGGCGCCTCAAAAACGACCTCAATGCACAATCAGACAGGGAAGTAGAGGGCACATAGAAGGGCTTGACGTCCCCACGCGTGCACCATGCGGTCGTTTTTGAGGCGCCTCAAAAACGACCTCAATGCACAATCAGACAGGGAAGTAGAGGGCGCATAGAAGGGCTTGACGTCCCCACGCGTGCACCATGCGGTCGTTTTTGAGGCGCCTCAAAAACGACCTCAATGCACAATCAGACAGGGAAGTAGAGGGCGCATAGAAGGGCTTGACGTCCCCATGCGTGCACCATGCCCACCAAGTGCAGATACTGCATGCAGTGCGTCATGCCCATGAGGATACTGCATGCAGTGCGTCATGCCCATGAGGATACTGCATGCAGTGCGTCATGCCCATGAGGATACTGCAGGAATGGATAGCATGCGGTGATGGCTCACCTTGATAGAGGTAGCGGCTGAGGTCCCCGTGGTGCACGTATTCATACACTGCAATCTGCTCCTCCACCGGCACCATCCCTTCCCTTGCACCTGCTGCTGCACTAGAGAAATATCACTTCTGGCAGTCACACAGGCCACTAACCTTGATAGAGGTAGCGGCTGAGGTCCCCGTGGTGCACGTATTCATACACTGCGGTCTGCTCCTCCACCTGCACCATCCTGCCGCCCTCCACCCGCGTGTCCGAGTCCACACAGTAGCCCAGCAGGTGCGCGAGATTCGGGTGCCACTTGCTTGCGATTTGCTCCACCTGGTTGGGAGGCAAGCAGGGTACAGGCAGAGCGAACACAGGAGTAGGGGGTGAGCCGATCTGCTCCTCCACCTGCACCATCCTGCCGCCCTCCACGCGCGTGTTTGAGTCCGCACAGTAGCCCAACAGGTGGGCGAGATTCGGGTGCCACTTGCTTGCGATTTGCTCCACCTGGTGATTCGGGAGGGTGATTGGATGGGCAACCAGCGTACATGGAAGGGGGCGAACACAGGGGTGGGTGAGCTGATCTGCTCTGCTCCTCCACCTGCACCATCCCGCCCTCCACTTGCTTGCTATCTGCTCCACCTGGTGTGGTTTGAGAGGGGGTAGTGGACAGGGCACGAGGGGGCAAACACAGGGGTGAGTGAGCTGGTCTGCTCTGCTCTCCCCCTGCACCATCCTGCCGCCCTCCACTCGCGCGTCCGAGTCCACGCAGTAGCCCAACAGACGACTTTTGAGACGACTTTTGAGACGTCTCAAAACTCGCGTGTCTGAGTCCACGCAGTAGCCCAGCAGGTGGGCCAAGGTGGGATGCCACTTGCTTGCTATCTGCTCCACCTGGTGGGGTGGGTGATTGGAAGAGAATGGGCAACAGATCCCGGAACAGGTTCGGCAACAGGTTCGGAAACAGGTTCAGAAGCAGGTTCGGAAGCAGGTTCGGCAACATGCACTCAGCTCTCCCAACGCTCACCTCCTTCTCGAAGTGCGTGGACCGCTCCTTGTATCGCTTGACAGCCCACGTGCTGGTGGGGTTGTACGGGCACGTCGCTGTGCTGCCCACTACCTATCCAGCTAATAACCCTGCTGTACCTCCCCTGGTAACCAGGTTACGCCCTTCAACACGTTTCTGTCCTCCCCTCTGTCTATCCAGCTAGATCCATTCTCTATCTCCCCTGGTAACCAGGTTATGCCCTTCCCAACGCACCTCCTTCTCGAAGTGCGTGGAGCGCTCCTTGTAGCGCTTGACAGCCCACGTGCTGGCGGGGTTGTACGGGCACGTGCCCTTGTACACGTCGCTGTGCTGCCCACTGCCTATGCGGTTCTCCTCGCTCCAGTTGCCCGTGGCTCGGCGGATCTCCACCAGAGAGTAGCGGCAGCACAGCGACGGGATCAGACCCGCATCATCGAATTCCTCCTGGTCTGCAGTGGTGGTGGGGTGGATGGAAGATGGGCGAATGAAACGGAGTGAGAGGAAGAGAGTGAGTGCTTCTCTGTGAGCAAGAGCAGAAGCAGGAGCAGAAGCAGGAGCAGGAGCAGGAGCAGGAGCAGGAGCAGGAGCAGGAGCAGGAGCAGGAGCAGCAGCAAGACCGGAGCAGGGAAGGAAGGGAACACTCAAAGGGAAGACTCACCAACAACTTTAACGTGCTTGAAAGGGTTGGAGCCTGGGCGACAGCAGCACCACACGAGGAACGCCACAAGCACAGCCGTGAGCAGGAGCAGAGAACCGCACACCACCGCAATGATTGCAGCCATGCTCAGCCCACCACCGCTACCACCGTTGCCATCGCTCCCACTCTCCCCCTCATTCTCTACTGCCATCTCCTCAAGGGGCTCGCAGGAGGAGCAGAACTCGGGGCAGAGGTGGCAGAAGGAGGACGAGGCGGACTGGGAGACTAGGCAGAGGGACGAGGAGGCGGGGCAGGGCTGGGCTGTGGCGTTGATGGTTCTGTGGGATGGGGCGAGAGGAGGGCAAGTGGGGGAGGAGGGCGAGAGAACACGGGTGGAGAGAAGCTGTGCGCTGTAAGGAGCAACAAAAGACGAGCCGCACGGGACAAGCGATCCGATTCACAAGCGATCCGATTCACGAGCGATCTGATTCCAGAGACAATTTTTTAGGCGCCAAAAAAACGATTTTTGAGGCGCCTCAAGAAGCTGCGCGCTGTAAGGAGCAACAAAAGAAGAGCCGCACGGGACAATCGATCCGATTCCAGAGAGTCGAGTTTTGAGTCTTGTCCTTTTGAGTCGACTCAAAACTCGACTCACTACAAGCCGCAAGGGAGAAGCGATCCGATTCCAGAGACCACTAAAGAAAAGGCAGTAAAACAGGTGCGCCATACTGGTTTTTTGAGACGTCTTTAAAATTAGTGGGGCCGTGCCTTGCTGCTGTACCTCCAGTCAAGTCAACTTACAGTGCTTTCAGCAGGGAGAGCTTTCCGAGCGTGGCTGGCAGAGCTCCTGAGAGCTGGTTGGAGTGCAGTTCTCTGGGAGAGAGGGGCGGGGTGGAGGGGAAACAGAGGTGGGAGAGGGCCACAGGAAGATATGAGTAAGCAGGGAGAAACGGGTGAGAGACAGCAGGGAGAGGCTTTCCGAGCGTGGCTGGCAGAGCTCCTGAGAGCTGATTGGAGTGCAGTTCTCTGGGAGAGAGGGGCGGGGTGGAGGGGAAAACAGGGGTTGAGAGTGGTGGGAGAGGGTGGGCAGGGAGAGGGCAGGGCGAGGGCAGGAAGAGCGGGTGTGTAAGTCAAACCAGCATGGCGGGTGAAGGCTTTTGAGGCGCCTCATAAGTGAAACCAGCATGGCGGGTGAAGGCTTTTGAGGCGCCTCATAAGTGAAACCAGCATGGCGGTGAAGGACCTGAGAGCTGGTTGGAGTGCAGTGCTCCGGGAGAGAGGGGAGGTAGGTTGGTTGCAGTAGGTAGGTTGCTGAGTGCGCGGTAACGGTAGGCACTAGGTTACAAAAGACTCACAGAACGCTTTTGAGTCGACTCAAAAGAAGACTCACAGAACGGTGAGGTTGGAGAGAAGGCCCATGGTTGGTGGGAGGGCGCCTGCCAGCATGTTGTTGTCCAGCCGCCTGGAAGAGAGGTAGTTGCCAAGGGGTGAAAGAAGAGGGATGAAAGGGAGAGGGATGAAAGGGAGAGGGATGAAAGGGAGAGAAGGCAAGAACGGTGAGGTTGGAGAGAGTGCAAATGGTTGGAGGGAGGGCGCCTGAGAGCACGTTGTTGTCCAGCCGCCTGGGATGTGCGAGACAAGGGGGGCGCAGCGCAGGGAGGACGCAAAGGGACGAAACAGAAGACAGGTCAGCAAAAGGAGCTGGCAAGAAGGGTGAGGATGGATAGGGCGCCGGTGGATGGTGGGTGGGAGGGACAAAAGAGAAAAGGCAGAGAGAGAGAGAGAGAGAGAGAGAGAGAGAGAGAGAGAGAGAGAGAGAGAGAGAGAGAGAGAGAGAGAGAAGAGAGAGAGAGAGAGAGAGAGAGAGAGAGAGAGAGAGTTTGAAGATGGCAAGGTGATGGCTTTTCAAAGAAAGAGAACATTCTTACCCTCCCCACCCCACCCAAGACTCACATGTCCCGCATTGCCCACAGCTGGCCTATGCTGTCTGGTAGACTGCCGCTGATGCTGTTGTTGGATAGGTAACTGCGAAGAGGGGGAGGGAGGGGCGGGGAGAGAGGGGGAGAGATATGATTAGTGGGAGGATGGAAGGGATGGGAATGGGTGGGAATGGGTGGGAATGGGTGGGAACAGGAAAATCAACAGAAGTCCAGTCCACGTTTTAGACAAGAATTCAAGTCGGAATATATTTGATTCGTTTTGATTCGATTGGATTGGATTGGATGCTTACAGAATCTGCAGGCTCGTGCAGTTACCGATCTCGGTAGGGAGTGGACCAGTGAGTTTGTTGTCCTCTATCCACCTGCACATGAAGAACACGTGGCATGCAGAGAATGTGACACGTGGCAAGAAGGAATATCATGAGAAGAGGACACGTGGCAAAGAAAAGAAAAAAACAAAGAAACAAATGAAATGCTGTGACATCAGGGTGGGTGGCTTACAGGTGCTCCAAGTCCTGCAGGTTGCCAATTGCGGGCGGCAGACTGCCGCTGATTTGATTCCCCGACAGGTACCTGCAGGAAGCAAACAGTGGTGATGGTGGGTGGAGCGGATGATTAGTCAAGAGGATGCTTAGCTAAGAGGATGTTTAGTCCATACCTTATCATCAACCCTCCCGACACCCATCGTCAACCCGTTACCACCCACCATCACCCAGCATTAGCCCCCCTCTTTACTCACACCCATTTGAGCTTCTTGAGGGCACCGATGGCAGGTGGGATGGGGCCTGAGAGCTGGTTGGGACTCAAATCACTGCTTGCACAACGGAAAGGGCAGGGCGGAGGGAAGGAAAACAGGCGCGGGTGGAGAAGGAAAGGCAGGGGATGGGGAGGGAGCGGTGGGATGGGATGGTGGAGGTGCTGAGGATGAAAGCAGTATGGAAGAGCAGAATGGAAGAGCAAAACGGAAGAGCGCAGAAGGAGAGATGATGGAGACTGACGCGCACACAGGCATGAATGCAGTGCTGGTGCGATGCAGTGCGGTTCGGAGCAGTGCGATGGAGTGCAGTGCTCTGCTCTTCTTACAGTGTGAACAGGTTCGTAAGCGCCGCAAATGCATCCGGGATCGGTCCTGTGAGCGCATTGCCTCCCAACTCTCTGCGGAGACGAACAGGAAGAGCAGGGGTAGATGGAGAGGGGTGAAGATGGGTGTGGAGGTACAGCCAAACACCAGTTGGCATGAGCAGTTCTGAACGAGACGAGTGGGAGAGAGGAAGAAAGGAAGCAAGGAAGAGAGGAAGTGAGGGGTGAAGTTGTGGGGGTGGGATATAGGAGGGTGGGATAAAGAGGGGTGCGGCGGGTGGGTGGGTTGAGTGCAGAAACTCACAGGTGCTGCAGCTTGGAAAGCTTTCCGAGAGTTTCAGGGATGCTCCCAACCAGGCGGTTGCTGTTGAGGTTGCTGCAGTCATGGACAGATGGAGAGGGACGGACGTAGAGGAACAGAAGGAGTAGGTTGGAATTGGAAGGAGAGGGTCGGTGGGAGAGGGTCGGGAGGAGAGGGTTGGAAGGAGGAGAGGAACAGAAATAAAGAAGGATGCTATGAGCCACAGGAGAGGAACGGTCGACAGTCATGTATTGGGACAACAAAGGTACCGTTGCGTGCGCTGCATGCCTACAGCAGAATGAGCGCCTTGAGATTCGCTAGCAGGGCAGGGCAGGGCAGGGCAGGGCAGGGCAGGGCCTGAGAGGCTTACAGGAGGATGAGCGCCTTAAGATTGCCGAGCTCCACGGGGATGCCGCCTGACAGGGCGTTCTCGCCGAGGTTCCTGCGTGGCAAGGCATTCAAGAAGGCATATGGTGGTGAGGGAGGGGGGGGGGGGGGGGGAGGGGGGAGAAGGGGGGGTTTGAGTGAGTCAACTAGAAAATACTGACAGGGCGTTGGGTTTGCGGCATGACAGGGCGTGGTCACGAGGGTACGTGGTGGTGGGGGGGAATGGAGAGGGATGGAGTGGTGCGCGGTACAAGGGAGTAGAAAGGGAGTAGCGGGGATGTGGGGAAAGGTCAAGCATGACTCACAGAGCTTCGAGGTTTGAGAGGAGGCTGAGGGAAGCAGGGACGGCGCCTTTGAGATTGTTGCCGTGTAGGTATCTGCACTCATGGGTGCATGCATGCATGGATGCATGGATGATGGATGATGGATGATGGATGATGGATGATGGATGATGGATGCATGGATGATGGATGCATGGATGATGGATGCATGGATGATGGATGCATGGATGATGGATGCATGGATGATGGATGCATGGATGATGGATGCATGGATGATGGATGCATGGATGATGGATGCATGGATGATGGATGCATGGATGATGGATGATGGATGATGGATGCATGCATTAGTGGGCGGATTGATACACGGGTGGGGGAAAGCATACGTACAGCTCATGCTACCCCATGCCAAACCATGCCACCCCATGCCGACCCATGCCACACCATGCCACCTCACTCTACCCCATGCCAACGCATGCCAACCAACCCATGCCAATCCATGCCGCCCCATGCCAATCCATGCCGCCCCATGCCACTCACAGTTCTCTCAGCAGCTTCAGCCTCCCCATATCAGGCAGGTGCCCGTACAGGTGGTTGTCGTGTAGCGAGCTGGACGCACACACGCACAGGGAGAGGGGAAGAGGAGGGGAAGAAGGGGAGGAGGAGGAGGAGAAGGGATGAGGGGGGGTGGTTTCGGGGATGGAAGGGGATACTGATTATGTAACAATTGATCCACGATTACTGTGTAACCGTGATCTCAACGAAAGACAGTTGTGGAGAAAGGGGGTAACGGGGAAGCTGGTTGCTTGCTGCGGCTTTTGAGGCGCCTCAAAAGTCGGGGAAGCTGGTTGCTTGCTGCGGCCTTACAGGTTAGTGAGGCTGGCAAAAGCGGAGATCGCTTTGGGGATGACTCCAGTGAGGTTGCGATTGGCTAGGTTGCTGCGGAGGGGACATGGAAGGGATTGGGAAAGGGGTGGAGACGGGGATAAGAGAGCGTGAGGGAAGGAGGCTGGCAAAAGCGGAGATCGCTTTGGGGATGATTCTAGTGAGGTTGCGACTGGCTAGGTTGCTGCAGAGGGGACACGGGAAGGATTGGGGTGGTGATAGAACGAGAGAGAGAGGATGCGAGAGAGCGTGAGGGACAAATATAAAAATGTAACAGTGTTTACTTGACGAGGAATGGCGTAGGCCATCACTCACATGCGCGTCACCATGCCCTGCGCGTCACACGTGAGGCCAATACTACTCACATGCTCCTCACGTCCTCCTTAAATGCCCCTCCCATGCTTGTATGACTCGGTATTCATAGGCCATCACTCACATGCGCGTCACCATGCCCTGCGCGTCGCACGTGAGGCCAATACTACTCACATGCGCGTCACCATGCCCTGCGCGTCGCACGTGAGGCCAATACTACTCACATGCGCGTCACCATGCCCTGCGCGTCGCACGTGAGACCAGCCCGCAAGTCGCACTGCTCAAACGGAGGTAGCCGCCACGCCTTGCTCAGCGCCTGTAGCGGCCGCACTGGGGGCCGGGGAGGAAGAGGGGAGGGGAAACCGGGGAGGGAGATGGGTAGATGAGGGAGTGAAGAGGGAGAAATGAGTTTTGTGAAAGGCGGAGCGAACGGAGGTAGCCGCCACGCTTTGCTCAGCGCCTGGAGCGGCCGAGCTGGGGGGGGAGAGAGGGGGTGTGGGGGGGGGGGGGGGGGGGAGGAGCTCGGGTAAATTAAGGAAAGGCCTTAAAGGACAGGTTCAGTGGTTGCTCTGCCCCTGGTGTCACTACATAATCGCCTGGTAGAATTTCTGAACCAGGTGCTGCTTGGCTATCATTGAGGCGCCTCAAAAATTGCTCGGTATGGTGTCGTTACTTCGCCTGGTATGGTGCTGCTTGACTCGATTTTTGACTTGGCTAGATAATCGCCTCAACACACGGGGATTATTAGTAGACAAAAAAAGCTGCCACTGGTGCCCACTAAGGTACAATCGCCCGTCAGGATTCTAAAACCAGATACTTCTAAAACCGTGCCTAGGACGCGAAAGTGATAACTCAAATCCCGCGCATGGCGGTGGTTGAAATTTCATGCGCGTACGTTGAGATTCGTGAAGTTTTGTCGAAGCTGGATTTGCTGAAGTCGCGGAGTTGACGAAGAGGGAGGAGCAGAGGAGGAGAATCGCGAGGTGGAAAGCTCGCGCGGGACTTGACAGTATTCGCGCCGACCGCACCATCTTTCGATCAATCATGGTGGTGTCTATTACGTAAGTGCCAGCTACTATGTACTTTAGATGCACTACTACTAGTACTTTGAATGCAAGTTGCCCTTTCGGCGAAAAAAAACGGGCCGAACTTGGAAACTGCTTCTGTATAAGACTGTACGCAATTGCCCGATTTGCTATCGTATCTTATTGACGCTGTGATTGAATAAATCGGTTCTGAAGAGAAAGAGAGGCCCTGGCTGGAAACGGAAACCCTAGAATATTGTGACGCACTACAAACTAATCGCGCAGAGATAGAAAGAAAGAACCCGAAATATTTCAGACGATATTTGACGCTGAAAAACGCTACGGAGTGCTGCGTACAGCTATTCTTGAGAAGGTGGGTAAACTACAACGACCAAGTATCAAATTCTGCCTCCTAGTTTGAACTTGCTCAAATAATACATGCGCCTGCAGTAACAGAAAAACAGCAGGATGTGCGGGTGAGGTGATGGAAATTTTGAGGGGAGGGGAAAAGGAAGAAAACGAAGGATGCGAGGGAAGGGACGGGAGTTAGGGGGTGGGGTGGGGAGGACGGACACTGGGCGTGCGCAAGAAGGTGGAGGAATGTTGCGGGTGATGCGCACAGGAGGAAGAATTGACGGACTTCCCCCTTGCTAACTGTTTACGGGGACGAGCCCTGCGCTGGAAAAACAGAGTCACAAGCGGGGTTCTGGGGGGTGTGGGATGAAAAAGACGGTGTTGAGTGAAACCACCAACGGTTGAGATGATTTCAGAATGGTGAGATGGGGTAGGGCTACTTTCGGACCTGCACATGAGCTGGCATAAGCGAGCGCGGAATTGGTCAGCATGACTGCCTGCCTGGTTGCTTTGTCCGCGCGAGCTGACAATTTCTTGAAAGTCTGCGCGGAAGCGGGGGATTGGGGTGCCGAGGAAGCTGCGGAGAGTCCGCCACGGCTCGTTCATTCAACTTAGTCGTCCGGGTCTGGTCTGAGATTGGCCAGCGTGGCGTGGTCGGGACGCGTGGTCTGAAAACCAGGCTGACGCGGCACTGTATTCCCGTTTCGTTTGCACAGCATAGCTTGTAGAACCCTACTAAGTGACTGCAATAGCAGGTGGTACATAAACAAGTATAACAAGCAGATGCAGAATTCGGTCAGAAAAAAACAAAACCTTCAATATTGCGATTTATTAATGAGATGCAAAATCCAGATTAATTATTATTTCATTATCAGGGAATAATGTTTTAGAGACCATTACCTTTCTTTTCAGCCGCATTCAAACGATTACTTAAAGACAGAAGCTTGTAAAGCTCACCCACTTATACATGGCAATAATGCTCGAATCCTCATGGATTCATACTCCGTTTGCAGCGAAGAACTCAGTAGACAGGGCTCGGCTTTCCCAAGGTGATGCCTTCTCGAATTTTAGTTCCTGGATAAGAGCCATGACGAACTGAGCATCTGCAGACGTGAAATGGTTTCTTTTGCTGGGATCGGCGGATTGAAGGGAGAAAGTGAGGATGGCGAGGCCGATGCGCTCTTGTAAGGTACAGGTGAAAAGGCCGAGTTCTTCGACCCTCCTTCTTCAATTATCAGCATTTGAACCGTCAACCAAGTAAGCCACATTCGATTTCCCGAGAGTGGAAGCTTTGTCGGGTGAGGGAACGGCTAGCCGGCAGGAGTGCCGGTCGCCAGAATGCCTGCGTGCAGCGAACAAACGCGACGAATCGCCTCTCGACCATGGGCGAGAGCTTGTTTCGCTACAATAGTTCTCGTTTTAGCCTCTTTGGGAGTCACTGCCTCTGGAGAACATTCGCGGTCCACGTCAGACCTTCATTTCGGCTACCCTGAAGCGCTTTGCGGGTCATGGCATAGCGAGTACATCGCCTTGCACGAGCAAATCCGAGCAGCAAACAGACGAAGCAGCCGCGAAACAGCAGGAAGGGCAGGGATCAGAGGGAGCAACAGCCAGGAAGCTTCATCCTCTCATCCATCATCAAACCCCCTTCTCTCATCCCCTTCCCCAGCTCCATCCCCGGGCTCCCTTTCTTCCCCCTCCCCATCGTCCTCCGCTCCCCCTGCTTCCTCCCCCTCCCCTTCCGCCTCCTTCTCCGCCTCCCCCTCCTCGCCCCCCTCCGCCTTCCCCCGCTTCCTCACCTACGAGTGGTACCATGGCTGCGGCGGCCTGGGCGACACGCTCCTAGGGCTGGCCTCGACATTTGTCGTCGCGCTATTGGACGGCCGCGCGCTGGTGATTCGCCACCGCTGCCTGCCATTCGCCTTCGAGCCGAAACTTATCGACTGGAGATTCCCGTCCACGTCAGCATCTGGTTCGGCCGATCGTGGATCCGACGACCCTGGCTTGACCATCCCTGGTTCTGGCAATGACACAGCGGCAGATGAGGCTATTGATGAGATTCCGCTCGTACCTGCCCGGAAAATCTTGACGGAGTCGGTAATTGCGGGCAGCCCGGAAACAAAGGAGATGGGCATGGATGACGTGCCGATGCTGGACATCCGAGACACGCAGTTCGGGAGCGTGCAGGTGGGTGGTGCTTGTGACTGTGCCTGCCTGGTTGTAGTGGCAACCGGATGGGCATGGATGACTCGGTGAGTCGGTGCACAGAAGCAGATGGGTGTGGACGACGTGCCGATGCTGGACATGTTTTGAGACGTCTCAAAACAAATCTTCATACACGCGGATGGGCGTGGATGACTCGGTGATTCGGGGCACAGAAGCAGATGGGCGTGGATGACGTGCTGATGCTGGACATCCGAGGTACGCAGTTTTGGAGCGTGCAGGTGGGTGGGGTGTTTGGTTGGCATGATGGTTGAATGCGGTTGGAGGGGATGGGCATAGGTGAGGATGACGTGCCGATGCTTGACATTTGAGACACACAGTTCGGGAGCGTGCAGGTGGGTGCGTGATTGTGCTTGGGTGTGATGGCGATAGGAGCAGAGAGAAGCAGCAGAGAGAAAAATAGATTCGACTCAGATCCAACAGACCGAGCGTACGCGCGTTTCGGCACGGTGGCAGGAGCAGAGCAGAGAGAAGCAGCAGAGATGGGCGTGGGTCGGATGATGTGCCGATGCTGGATGACTTTGAGTCGGCTCAAAAGGCAGAGATGGGCGTGGGTCGGATGATGTGCCGATGCTGGATGACTTTGAGTCGGCTCAAAAGGCAGAGATGGGCGTGGGTCGGATGATGTGCCGATGCTGGATGACTTTGAGTCGGCTCAAAAGGCAGAGATGGGCGTGGGTCGGATGATGTGCCGATGCTGGATGACTTTGAGTCGGCTCAAAAGGCAGAGATGGGCGTGGGTCGGATGATGTGCCGATGCTGGATGACTTTGAGTCGGCTCAAAAGGCAGAGATGGGCGTGGGTCGGATGATGTGCCGATGCTGGACACACGCAATGCTGGATGACACACACTTAGTCAGTTTCTGAGGCTAGTTTTGAGTCGACTCAGAACTAGGCAATGGTGGGTGGATGACGTTCAATTTGTCAGTTTCTTAGGCGCCTCAAAAGGAGATGGGCCGGTTCCGCAGCGTCAGGTTGTCATTTGCAGCGTCAGGTTGTCATGTGCAGCGTCAGGTTGTCATGTGCAGCGTCAGGTTGTCATGTGCAGCGTCAGGTTGTCATGTGCAGCGTCAGGTTGTCATGTGCCAACTTTTCGAATTCTAAAAGACGACTGCACACCCCCTCAACCCCGCACAGGAGACTTTCACACCCTACAGCAAATTCCGCAACGTCAGGCTGTCGTGGAATCGCGGCGTGCTGACTCAGATGCTGACGGAGGAGCAGAGCGAGTGGGCGGCACGGCTCCGCACCACCGGGTTGCGTCCACCGTACGCTCTCGGCTGTATCCTGCGCTTCCTACTCAAGTGAGGCTGTACGAGGCAGATAGCTACCTAGGCAAACAATGCTTGGATTAGTGCGACAAGGGCTGGGTCTTTGAGCCGCTGCGTTGCATTGCACCCACCGTACGCTCTTGGCTGTATCCTGCGCTTCCTACTCAAGTGAGGCTGTAAGAGGAAGATAGCATCATGGGAAGAGTCAATTACATGAGTAGACTCCTCATGAGTCAATTACATGAGTAGACTCCTCATGAGTCAATTACATGAGTAGACTCCTCATGAGTCAATTACATGAGTAGACTCCTCATGAGTCAATTACATGAGTAGACTCCTCATGAGTCAATTACATGAGTAGACTCCTCATGAGTCAATTACATGAGTAGACTCCTCATGAGTCAATTACATGAGTAGACTCCTCATGAGTCAATTACATGAGTAGACTCCTCATGAGTCAATTACATGAGTAGACTCCTCATGAGTCAATTACATGAGTAGACTCCTCATGAGTCAATTACATGAGTAGACTCCTCATGAGTCAATTACATGAGTAGACTCCTCATGAGTCAATTACATGAGTAGACTCCTCATGAGTCAATTACAGTCAGGTTCGCGCTTCTCTGCATGCACCTGACACCCCTGTTCCAAGGTTCCTGCCATTTCCACTTTGCTTCTCTGTGAGAAGAGTCGATCCCATGAGAAGGCGACTGTACAGTCATGTTCACTTCCTGCCCTGACAGGATTCTAAGGCACCTTCCCGCCCTCTTCCCCTCTCCCCCCCCTTCGTATGTTTCTTCCCAGACCTAATGCAGAGGTTCGGCAGCTTCTGAGTGGCCTGGAGAGGGAGGTGCATGCACCTGGTGTGGTGACAATTGGCGTTCACATCAGATTCACTGATGGGACAGTGTGGGAAGGTGAAATTTCCGTGCCTTGAGAGCATAGTGTAGGAAAAGGAGGTGAGGGACCAGGAGAGGGAGGTGCATGCACCAGGCTTGGTAACTACTGGCGTTCACATCAGATTCACTGATGGGGCGGTGTGGGAAGGTGAGAACGTGTAGTGCCTGTGAGAACGTGTAGTGCCTGTGAGAACGTGTCGTGCCTGTGAGAACGTGTCGTGCCTATGAGAACGTGTCGTGCCTGTGAGAACGTGTCGTGCTCACGATTTGGCTGGGTGGGTGACCATCTGTGTTCACATCAGATTCACTGATGGGGCGGCGTGGAAAGGTGAGAACGTAGTGACTGTTAGGAAGGAGCAAGCTGAGAGGTAAGTACTTCTTGTGGTTTATAACCGGTGTGATAGTGCTCATGAGTCCTAAATTTTAGCGAGGTTATTGCAGGGTTTCTTTCTACATCATACAGCATGAACTATTTCGCTTTGACGCCCATGTCATGTGAGGATTCTTTCCTTCTTGGCAATGCAATGCCTTTTCTGTACTATGCCGTTTCTGTACTATGCCTTTTCTGTAGCTCTTCCACATGAGTGAGTGAGTGAGTGAACCTTGAGTAAGTGGGTGCTTGAGTAAGTGCCTCCTAAGAGTCGCACTCACTGAGGGAGGATGGCTTAGGCCTTGTTGTACGTCGCTTATGATAATTCTTTGCCTCAATCTCATCTCATCCCATTCCGTCCCATCTCATCTCATGCCATCCCATCCCATCCCATCCCATCTCATCCCATTCCTTCACATCCCATTGCACCGCATTGCACCACGTCAGGGGAGGGCGAAGATGCTCCCAAGCAGCTGGGCGAGGCTGAGGTCGAGAGGCTCATGCAGGTGGCCCGCCCGCTGCTGAGCTGCACTCAGGTGCGCTGCTGAGCTGCACTCAGGTGCGCTGCTGAGCTGCACTCAGGTGCGCTGCTCATCCCAACCGCTGTAGGTTCATACTGTGCGTGCAACAGCACATTGCTGCATTGACTGCTAGAGTGGCTGCTGTAGCAGTCGCTTCACTAATTGCTACAGCTGCTGCTGCTCCTCCCCTCACGCTCTTGTCTCCTCCCCACCCACTCCGTACTGGTGCTTCCTTACAAGCAGTGGAGCACTGGCGGTTCCCCCCTCAACTGCAAGTGCGGTAACTTCCAATAGTGGCCCTCTTCCTCCCACACTCGTCTCCTACCCGCCCGCTCCGTACTCGACTCGTGCTTCTTTCCTTCCAGGCAGTGGAGCACTGGTGGTTCCCCCCTCCCCTGGAAGTGCGCTGGCTGATTATCACAAACTTAGATTAACCGCCCCTCCTTCCATCATCTTGTCTCCTACCCACCCACTCTGTGCCCATGCTCCCCCCCCCCCCAAGGCAGTGGAGGACTGGTGGTTCCCCCCTCCCCTGGAAGTGCGCTGGCTGATTATCACAAACTCGATGGATTTTAAGATTGCCATGCATCAACAGTATCAAAATAAGGTGATTCTGATAAAGCATCTCCCCTGGTTTTAAATTAGACATTGATCAACAGTATCAACATAAGGTGGGTACTTGGCAACACCGATGTGTAAAGGATATTCTTACCAGTTTCATTTCTATCTTCGCATTGTATCAGTTTTTGTTATTTACCACCCCCTCCCCCTCCCCTTCCCTTCCCCCTCCCCCTTCCCCCCCCCCCCCCCCCCCCCCACCTTCCTCCTCTCCCTCTTTCTACCATGTCTCTTTCCCCAAAACCTTGTTGCTCTCTGTCCTCAAATTTCCTATCCGTTCGCTCCTTGATTGTTTTTTTTTTTTTTGCTTCGCCAGCACAATTTATGAAGCTATTGAGGCTTTTTTGGTCGGGCTTATGTCTGATTGGTATGGCTAGAGTGATGATGGTTTTCGCTGTTCTCTTACCACACCCCTCCAAACTCCTTTTACTCCTGGTTATGTCACATGCAGGTTGTTACAACCCCATTCACTCCCCGCCATTCTAACAAGCTGAGTGACAATGCCATTAGCACAAATGCCACCTCAGAGGTCTTAGGCAGTGACATAAAGGCGTATCAGGAACTCGTTGCTGATTGGCTGCTGCTGTCGACGTGTCACTCGTTTGTTATTCCTACATCAGGATATTCTCGAACTGCAGCATACTTCTCACTAAGACCTAGCAGTGTATTTAGTGGTGACACTAGGACTTGCAACCCTGAAGCCCCTGTCAATATGTTCTATTTAGCGCACTCCTGGAGTGGCTTGTAATCATGTACTGTGTACACTATTATCACTCGTTGGAATCTTGCATTCCGTCAGATGCTTTTGTCGAATCTGTCGCGTCACTGGTTGAATATCTCTCATCGCCCTGCCCTCCGATTGGCGCATCCCTCCTCAAGTCTGCTCCGCTGTCCCCCGTCCATTCTAGTGACACGGAGCAGATATTATTGTTCCATGACGCAATGCGCCCTATTGACCAGGGAGGGGCTCGATGGGACAGTGTAGTGCAACGAATAGAAAGCCATAGCTGAAGCGCACAATACCGCTCTGCCTTGCTTTCAACCACCTGAAACCATTTCAGATTTTGAACCTCACGCCCGAAAGTGCCCGTTGATCCCAAAAGTGAGGAGGAAAAGGCACCGCCAGCCAACGACGTCTCCACGAAGTTGTGAACTTCTAGGATGGTCTGAGCTGTTTGGAATGGGTCAAGCTGGGTTCTGTGAAGTTGGTTCGGTTTGGATACCTACGGTGTCAAGCTGAAGACTTGGAGACAAGCACAAGACTTTTCTTTGCAGTGTTCAAGAGACAAGTAGGCTTTGTAGGCAGCAAGATAGGTACTAGTTGCGGATCCCTAGGCGTGGACTAGTTAGTAGAAGCGAGTGATTGAATCTCCAACTGCCGCATTGTGAGCACGTTTGTCCATGGTCGACACATTGTCGAGTAGTAACGGCCTTCGATTTCAATATTGGTGCACAATTTTGGCCGTTTATTAATAGTCTCCAGCAAACCGCCGCATATAATGGAGCGAGACGACCCGGTATTAGTCGTCCTTATAGCGAGCTGCATGACCTTTTCTCAATTCGCATTCCACTTACAAGACGACGCACATCCGAGCGGCGCTTACGTAAGCAATTTCAACATTCTCATCCGATCCGCGGCGCTCATCCACGCGTTTCTAGAGAGCTGCAAGAGCCACCGCGGATGGGGAGAGTGCACGGATGCGGCAAAGACGGCGTTTCAGGCGCTAGAGGGCGTGCTTCGGCGATGCACGGGGGTCATGCAGCGATGCATCAGCGCACGCAGCAGGCTGCTTCAGGTGAAACTTCAGAGTCGTTTGGGTAATATTTCGGATGTAGATGTCTGCTTTGGGAGCAAACTCGAGGGTATGACTAGTAATCTCTTACGTTTCTCTCCTCCTTTCCCCTCCTCACCTCTCGTTTCCTCGTCCCCCATTTCTCATCCCACCCAACTATCAGCTGGTGGCAGACTCACCAATGAGCGCGAGCCACTTCAGCAGCATCCATTCCGACCTGGCAGCGTGCCTCTCGTCCCTGCCGACCGACAACCTACCTGCTGATGCAAGAGAGCAGGTAAGTTGTGTCCTTGATCAATTTGATCTGAACCACCATTTTGTATCGTCTCTTTCCTCGTTCGCGTCTGACTCAACAGCTGTCCGTGCCGACCTGCCTGCTCACGCAAACTAACAGGTAGACTCGTCTCTAGGCAATTCTAGCTGTCGTTCCACCCCCCTCTCTCCCCGTTCATCTCTCTCTCCCTTCCCTCCCGCCACGCTCCTGCCCTCCCTCCATCCTGCGATTTCCCCCTCCCTCCCTGCACCGGTTCTATACACCCTTTCACCTATCCATCATCCCCTGTTATCCCGTGCCTCTTCTTCTCGCCTCGTCCCTCTACGCTTTCAGCTGGCAGCCATTCAGCAGCACATGCAAACGGCCACCTTCACCGAGTTGCTATCGTTTTTTGAGTCGACTCAAAAGTCCGCTTTCAGCTGGCAGCCATTCAGCAGCACATGCAAACGGCCACCTTCACCGAGTTGCTATCGCCGCAGGTTGACTGGCAGTGGCTCAACTCCATCATATTTTGTTCTTCCGTGTCCCTTCCCTTCCCTCCATCCTCAAACACCCCAGCTGGCGTCGATTCAGCAGCACATACAAGCGGCCAGCTTCACAGAGCTGCTATCGCCACAGGTCAACCGGGAATTCCAGATCCTTGTGCAAAGTGACGCCTCTGCCCCTGGTGATGCCGCCGCTGCGTCTGGTGATTCTGCTGGTGATGCCGCTGCATCTGGTGATTCTGCTGGTGATGCCGCTGCATCTGGTGATGCCACTTCTTCCCATGAAGCATCTGCGTCTGGCAATGACTCTCCTGGCCGCACTGGTAACGACAGCAGCAGCAGCAGCAGTAGTAGTGGTAGTGGCAGTACCACCGGCAGCAGCAGCAGCAGTCGAAGCAGTAAGGGTGAGAGAAAATCCAGGCGGCGCAAGGGCAGTGGTAATAGTAGTGATGGCTTTATCGCCAGTGATGCCATCAACAGCGCCAGCAGCAGCAGAAGCAGCAGCAACAGCAGCAGTGGTCTGATGTTTAGAAGAAGCAGCAGCGTCAGCAGCAGCAGCAGCAGCAGCAGCAGCAGCAGCAGCAGCAGCAGCAGCAGCAGCAGCAGCAGCAGCAGCAGCAGCGGTAGCGGCGGCGGCAGCGGCAGCAGCAGCAGTGTGATGTTTAGAAGCAGCAGTAACAGGCGATACTGCCTGCAGAGCATGGATACCGTGGAAGAAGCAGAAGAGGCGGAGGAGGAGTTGGTGGAAGGGGAGGGGGAGGGGAAGGATACATTGGGAGAAGCGGGAGAGGCGGAGGGGGGTTTGGAGGAAGAGGAGGGGATGGTGGAAGAGGGGGCAGAGGTTATGGAGGATGAAGCGGAGGAAGAAGGTGAGGGAGAGAAAGGGAAGAAGGGAGAGGTTGAGGGCGCGGCCCGGCGAGATGCTAAGGGAGAAGGTGTTGAAGGACGAGGGGAAGGAAGAGATGAAGGGAGAGATGAAGGGAGAGATGAAGGGGGAGATGAAGGGAGAGATGAAGGGGGAGATGAAGGGAGAGATGAAGGGGGAGATGAAGGGGGAGATGGAGGGGGAGATGAAGGGAGAGATGAAGGGGGAGATGAAGGGAGAGATGAAGGGGGAGATGCGAATGGAGAGGGCCAGGATGCAGAAATTTATTCAAAGGTGAGAGGTCTAATAGAGGAGGGTTCCAAGAAGGTAGGTGTAGATGAGCAAAGTTCAAACGAGGAGGGTTCAAAGGAGGCGGAGGAGAAGGAGAAGGAAGAGGGGAAAGAGGGGGAGAAGGAGGATAAAGAGGGGCAAAAACGGGAGAAGGAGGAGAAAGAAGGGGGAAAGGAGGAGACGGAAAGCATAAAGGATGCTGCGATGGCGGCACTTCTAGGGTTCGTAGAGGACACGTTCTGGGTGAAGGGAAACGCCCTTAGCATGCGAGGGAGAAGCTGGCTGGGTGGGACAGAGAAGGGCGAGAGTGTAGGAGGAAGGGAGAAGAAAGAACAAAAGGAAGGGGAAAAGGAGGAGGAGGTGGGAGAGAAGGGAAAGGAGGAGGGGGGCGACAGCAGGAAGGGTTCGCCTGCAGAGTATGCAGCAGGGAGGTTGGCGATGCTGCTGGGTCTGGACTCGTTGGGGTCGTTTGAGGAGGAAAGGCAGGCTCTGGCTCTCGAGGCTCGACGGGCAGAGGAGGCAGGGGATGAGCAGCGGGCGAGCATGGTGGAACAGGTCAGTGTGATATGGCTGGTTTATTGGAGTGGAAAATGCTGGCTGGTTTTGCAGTTAACTATAAATGTGGTCGAATCTTGTGTCGACTAAAGACCGGACGAGCAGCGGGCGAGAGTATGGCATGGATGGTGGAGCTGGTGAGTTTTGAGTCGACTCAAAACACACCTGAGTATGGCATGGATGGTGGAGCTGGTGAGAAGAGGGTGAGGGGGTCGTCTGAGGAGGAGAGTGAGGCTTTGGCGCTTGGGGCACGTCGGGCGGAGGAGGCAGGGGATGAGCAGCAGGCGAGCAAGCATGGTGGCGCAGGTGTGATGTGGACAAACGTTTCTATCTTGTTTTGTGCCGAGCAAACACCAAGTGCTGCTGTCATAATCCTCGTCTCTTGTTTCTACTCCCACCACCCGTGCCCACACTTCTCAAAAGCAGCGGGCGAGCATGGTGGAGCAGGTGAGGTGGCGTGAAGGAGGGAGAAAACACCAAGTGCTGCTGTCATGATCCTCGTCTCTTGTTTCTACTCCCACCACCCGTGCTCACTGCTCACACTTCTCCTTAACCTCCCCACGCCATTCTTCTTCCTTTCTCCGTTCTCCCTTCCCCTGCAGCTCACCATTCTCCTGCGGGCCATGCAGCAGCAGGTGGGGCAACTGAAAGGAAAAGTCGAGCATTGACTTTTGAGACGTCTCTAAAATCGCCCCCCCCCCCCCCCCCCTTCCCCCTTCCCCCTTCCCCCTTCCCCCTTTCCCCTTACTCCCCGCAGCTCACCATTCTCCTGCGGGCCATGCAGCAGCAGGTGGGGCAGCTGAAAGCAGGAGAAGGGCAGGGCCAGGGCGAGGCAGGGGGGAAGGGAGAGGGAAAGGCAGAGGGAGGCGGTGTAGCTGCAGCAGCCGATAAGGAAATGAAAGGCGAGGGCAGGAGTTTAACTGCAAGGGATCAGGATGGGAGGGCAAGTGCGGGGAGAATAAGGGAGGAACCAGCATCATCGTTATTATCGCCATCAGCAGCAGCAGTGGCAGCAGCAGCGAGGGCCTTTATCACTCCAGAATACCTTGCTGCTGTGAGGGGTCAGAGGAGAGGGGGCAAGGATGGGATGTCGCTCACGCATGTATCGCCCAGGGACCAACTCAAATCGCCCAGAGATGTTAAACCGCCTAGAGACCTCAAATTGCCCAGAGATCATAAATCGCCCAGAGATCATAAATCGCCCAGAGATCATAAATTGCCTACAACAGATATTATATCCCCAAGAGACCCAAAAGATCGAAACTCGCTTGCGGATGCAGCCACTCTCACCGCCCCTCTCTCCGCTCCTCTCTCCACTCCTCTCACGGCCCATCCATTCACTGAGCGCCGTTCATCCCACCGCTTCGTCCCACCCCCACCGCTGCAAATCAGCAACTCGTTAGACCCCCTCTCAGGTCTCCCCATCCTTGATGAACCCCTGCCAGATCTCACCGTTCTCGACCCCTTTCAACCCCTCTCCTCCCTTGACCCCCTCGCCTTTACCAGTGCCCAGCCAAGCCCCCCCATCTCCCCATGGGCTGTCCCTCCTTCGCCCTGGGATCCCACTGCTATGGTCAACGCCAGCCTCTTTAGCCCTGTGGGCATGGCTTGTGGTGCTGCAGAAATCCATAATGCTGCAGAAAGGGCTAATGCTGCAGCAGCGGTTAACGCTCATCCCTCCGTCTTTCACTCTACTCCTTCCGCACTAGTTGCTGCACCAGGTGATCTGATGTTTCCTGGCCTGCTGACGGGTATTGCAGATGCTTCTGCTGCTGGTAGTGCTGGTGCTCTATTTGACCACTTATCCTCACAGCCCGGCTCGTCCCCGCTGTCAGCAGACCCGTTAGTAGTGCCATTTTCATCCGTCCCTGTAGCTGAACCTCTTGCTCCTGCCTCCTCCCGCCGACGAACAAAGGAGAGGCGTGAGCAAAAGCATCACCAGCAACAGCAACCCCACATGTCCTCCCAACCACTCCACCCCTTTGCCACCCTCCCTCTTTCCATCCAGTCTCTCATCTCTCCCTCCGAAGCAGGAGCTACTGGTGGGGCAGGTGGTATTGGAGGAGGAGGTGCTATTGGTGGGGCAGGTGTTACTGGTGGCAGCAATAGACGCAGCAAGAACAATACTTATGGTGACGAAGGGGAGGGCAGAAGGAGAAGCACAGGGGACACGGCGAGGAGAGATAGAGAGGGAGCTACCAATCCGCGTCCCCCGCCAGATGCTGCCAAGTTTTTGCCGCCCATGAGGCGGCTTCTAGCCGACGCGGACCAGGAGAAGGGCGGCAACCCGAGCTTCCAGCGGTGGGCCTTGACTGGCTTGGGCGAGCCCGAAGAGATTAAAGACATGGGGATGGGCAGAGGCGCAGGGGAGATTAAAGACGTAGGAGAGGTGGGAATGATACGGCTCATGGAGCATGCTCGTCAGGCTCGGGAGGCTTGTGAAGTTCGGGAGGCTCGGGAGGCTCGTGAAGCTGTGGAAGGCTCGGGATGGGATGCTGGAAGTGAGAGCAGTGGGATTCATGGGATGGTGGGGAGGAGGAGGAGGGAGAGTAGTGGGACTGGTGGTGGGGTAGGGAGAAGAGAGGGTGGTCTAGGAAGTGCAGTGCATGGTGACACAGCAGGAAGGGCGAATGGCAGGGAGGGCGAGGACGTCTGGTATGATAAGTCGATTTGTGAGTCGACTCAAAAATCGACTTATCACGCAGTGCATGGTGGCACAGCAGTGCATGGTGGCACAGCAGTGCATGGTGGCACAGCAGTGCATGGTGGCACAGCAGGAAGGGCGAATGGCAGGGAGGGCGAGGACGCCTGGTATGGCATAGCAGGGAGGGGAAGGAGGTCGCCTCGCGCCCCTAGTGGTGCAACCAGGTTCGGTGCTGGTGGTGGTGGTGCTGCTGCTGCAGCTGGTGGTAAGGAGGGTAAAAGCAGTAGCGTGCTCATTGGTTCTAGTCAGGGGGTCGTCCTTAGTGACAGCAGTGGCAGCAACGCTAGCAGCAGCACTGGCAGCAGCGGTGGATTCCAGATTGGAAGTAGCAGTGGTGCTGGGACTAGCAGTAGCAGGAGTGGGTTCCAGGCGGACGGCTTGAGTGAGCAGCTAGCGCTGATCAACGCACAGCTGGAGCAGGTGTATCTGGAGGAGGCTTATCTGCAGCAGGCGCAATCAGGGGGAGGGGCGGAGTGTAGGGAGGGGAGAGGCGTGAGGAGAGAATCGGGGAGTGCAAAAGAGAGGAGCTGTCAAGGAGAGGAGAGGTCTATGTTTGCGTCGACTCGGGAATTCGGCAGTGCGAAAGAGAGGAGCAGTCGGGGGAAGGAGAGGCAAGGGGTGAACAAAGGAGGACCGGTGGAGAGAGTGAGGGACGAGATAGCATTAGCTGCTGCTGGTGGTGCTGGTCGTTGTGGTGGTGATGGTGAGGGCGAGACTTCCTTTGATGGTTTCCCTGTTGTGCACTCTCTGCCAGAGCTCCCTCCACCACACCTCCATCCTTTCCCTCACTCCCGCTCTCACTCTCACTCCCACTCTCACTCGCACTCACACACACAATCTCACCCGCACCCCCTCTCTCACTCTCACTCTCGCTCTCGCTCTCACTCTCACTCTCGCCCTCGAGACGCAGCAGAATGGTCTGACCCTAGGCAGCACACGAGCAGCAGGGCGCAAGGCAGTCAGGGAAACACAAAAACCTACCAGAACAGCCTAAGTTACAGCCCACGGGACAACCCCGGGAACAGCCTAAGTTACAGCCCAAGGGACAACCCTGGGAACACCGGCAGGGAGCAGAGCATGGGCAGGAGGCGGACGAATCCACGGGATGGGAATGGGCCTCATGGGCTGACCATGACCATCCCAGAGAATCAAGATTCTTTTGGGGACCTTGTGAACCCCAGAGACCTGATAAGCCCCAGAGACCATGTAAGTCCGAGAGACCATGTGAGTTTGAGAGACCTGATAAGCCCCAGAGAACGTACTAGTCATAAGGTGAAATCCAGCCCACGAGGGCATGCAAGCAGAAAAGAGTTGCCGAGTCCGAGAGAACATGCTAGCAGCAGGAAAGATCTACCCAGCCCAAGAGAGAATACGAGCAGCAAGATAGAGCTGCCAAGTCCGAGAGGATGCGCCAGCAGCTGGAAAGACGTACCCAACCCAGGAGAGCATGCTAGCAGAGAAACGTTGCCCAGTCCACGAGAGCATAGGAGCAGTAAGTTAGAGGTGCCTAGCCCAAGAGAACGCGCCAGCAGCAAGAAAGATCAACCAAGCCCAAGAGATCATCGGAGCAGAAAAGAGGTGCCCAGCCCAAGAGAGCATACTGGCAGCAATATAGAGCTGCCGGGTCCGAGAGAACGTGGCAGCAGCAAGAAAGATCTGCCCTGTCCCAGGAATTCAAGGAGCTTGTCTGTCAGTCAGGCTGATGCACCTGCACCAGGTGTACCTGCATCAAATATACCTGCGCCAGATGTGATGTCCATTGACCCGAGGGCACCGGCTCAGGTGGTGCTGAGGGTGCTGCAGGGGACGAGAGAGGAGCAGGGGAAGGCGGCTGGGGTGATTGGGTGGTTCTGCGCGTCCTCTGCTGCTAACAGGGCGGCTTTTAGAGAGGCAGGTGCTGTAGAGGCGCTGCTGCAGCTGGCTGCTGCTGATGGTGGAGATGGCAGACTTGGCAGTCCACATGGCAGTCCACAAGGCAGTCCACATGGCAGTCCACGTGGCAGTCCACGTGGTGGTTCGCATGCTGCCATGGATGCGCTCCTGAGGCTGTCAGCTGATGTGGAGAGCCAGGAGCGGCTGCTGCTCCACCTTCCTCTGCTTGTTCAGGTGAGCTTCGGGTGAGCTTCGGGTGAGCTTCGGGTGAGCTTCAAGCGATTGGTGGTGGGTCATATGCAGCCATTGATGCGCTCAGCTGATGTGGAGACTTTTGAGTCGACTCAAAAGTCACCTCGCAGCCATTGATGCGCTCAGCTGATGCGGAGAGCCAGGAGCGGCTGCTGCTCCACCTTCCTCTGCTCGTTCAGGTGAAATTCTGGTGAAATGTTGGTGAGATTCTGGTGAGCTTCTGGTGAGCTTTATTTGTCTTTCTAATGAGCTGCTGATGCTGTGAAGCAGCAGGGGGATCTGTACTGCACCACTCAGGTCAGGACAGAGGGGTATTTATTGCATCATATGATATGAAGGACAGGGCATTCTATGTCTGAAGCACTCCTCCTCCCAAATGGCGCAGGGCACAGCCAGCAGCAGCAGCATCAGCGCCAGTGCTTCGCTCTCCCCACCTCACTCCACTCCATTTCTCGCATCCCATACTTCCCTCCCATGCTCCTCCCCTCCCGCACAGCCGGAACAGGTTCTTCCTCCTCCCCAGCAGCACAGGCCAGGCTCAGCAGCATCGTCAGCGCCAGTGCCTCGCTCTCCCCATTTCATCCCCTCCCTGTCTGCCCCTTTTTTCTCACCTCCCTCTCTTCCCTCCCATGCGCTTTCCTTCCCCCAGTGCCAGCAGCGTTCCTCCTTCCCAACTGCCGAGGCCAGAGTCAGCAGCATCATCCGCGCCACAGCCTCGCTCTCCCCATGTCACCCGCACCCTATCTATCCCCCTTTTCTCGCCTCCGTTTCTGCCCGCCTCCCACACACTTCCTTTCCCACGGTATCTGAAGCGCTCCTCCTCCTTCCCAACTGCCCAGGCCAGACTCAGCGCCAGCCACTGCCTCGCTCTTCCCATCTCAACCCCTGTACTTCCCCGTGATAAAAGATATGTTTTGAGACGTCTCAAAACTGCCCAGGCCAGACTCAGCGCCAGCCACTGCCTCGCTCTTCCCATCACAACCCCCGCACGTCCTCGCCTTCTTTTCTCACCTTTCTTTGGAGTGACTTTTGAGAAGCCATCTCAAAAGCCATCTCAACCCCCGCACGTCCTCGCCTTCTTTTCTCACCTTTCTTTGGAGTGACTTTTGAGAAGCCATCTCAAAAGCCATCTCAACCCCCGCACGTCCTCGCCTTCTTTTCTCACCTTCCTTTGGAGTGACTTTTGAGAAGCCATCTCAAAAGCCATCTCAACCCCCGCACGTCCTCGCCTTCTTTTCTCACCTTCCTTTCTCACCTCCCTTTCGCCCCGCCCTTCCACTACCCCTCCTCCAGTGTTTCAAGCGCTCTTCTTCCTCTCCAGCAGCGCAGATCAAACTCAGCAGCATCGTCAGCAATACGGCCTCGCTCTCTCCGCACGCCCGATCTCAGCTCGTGCAAGCAGGGGCGCTCAAACCGCTCCTCAAACAGCTCGCAAAAGGGGCGAGCAGATGGGCCACGGACAAGGAGAAAGGCCTGAGCGGAGAGAAAGCAGGAGAGGGAGAGACGACATTCTCGGGAAGCGGTTCGGGAAGAGAGGCTCGAATGGCGAGGCAAGCAGCAGCCGAGGCTGTGACGAGCCTCTCGCTCTCCAACTCCTGCTGCTCCTTCCTCCTCACTCACGACTCCATCCCCATCCTCACTCTCACTCTCGAAGCATCCCTTGATTCTGCTGATTGGGCTACTACTCTCCCTCTCTGCTCCACGATCGCTGCTCTAGCAGCGTACTCCCAGGACAGTCCTGCAGCAGAAGCGGCTAAGGCAAGGGAGAGCATAGGAGAGGCGATTCCAAGCCTGGTACATGTGCTGACAGCCTTTGCCTCCTATGCCTCGAATGCTGCTTCATTGTCAAACGGGGGTGGAGAGGAGGGGAGGCGGAGTGAGGAGGCGGTGAGGGTGGTGCTGCAGGCGCTGGTGGTAATGGCGGGGTGTGGCGCGGAGCACAGACGGAGCATGAGGGGCTGCGGGGCTGTGTGTGCTCTGCGGGAGGTGGTGCGGTTTGCTCCGACAGACGTGCAGGGGATGGTAAGTGCTTTGGAAGAGGCGGGTGGGGGTGGCTAGTGCAGGGTAGGTGAGTGCTGGAGTAGGTGGGTGCTAGGGAAGGTGAGTGTTGGATGGGTCCGGGATGGGGTGGGGGAGGCGGAGTGAGGAGGCGGCGAGGGTGGTGTTGCAGGCGCTGGTGGTGATGGCGGGGTGTGGCGCGGAGCACAGGAGGAATATGATGTGTGTGCTCTCAAGGAGGTGGTGCAGTTTGCTCCGACAGATGTGCAGGGGATGGTGAGTGCTGGTGGAGGGGGTTGGGGGCCGGTTGTTGGGTGGGGTGAGTGGGTTATAGATGGCGGGGTGTGGGACGGAGCACAGGGGGTGTGGGACGGAGCACAGGGGGTGTGGGACGGAGCACAGGCGCAGCATGAGGAGCTCGTGGGCTGTGCGTGCTCTCAGGGAGGTGGTGAGGTGGTGCGCTTTGGACCGACAGATACGTCCAGGGGATGGTGAGTGCTGGGGCAGTGAGGGGTGGACAGGTGAGTGCTGGGGCAGGTGAGCGCTGAGGGAGGTGGTTGACGGGGCCGGTGGGTGCTGGAGGGGGGTTTAATGCATGGAGGGGGGGTAGTGCTAGGGGTGGTCCACGCAGGTCAGGTGAGTTCAGTGCAGGGCAGGTGATGCGGTTTCTTAAAGCCAGGGTCTCATGTAAGCTAAGGAGCCATCGACTGCAAAGCACTTGAAGCTAGGTAACCAAGTTAGTGCTCGCGAAGTTGTCTCTGGCTGGTTTGGGGACTCAGCTTGCGTCACTGCCCCAAATGCAATTGCACAACACTTATGGGTACTTGAGACTTTCGATGAGTTGGGGGCATTTTAGGTCTGGCTCCGAACCAAGTTTCCAAGCCTAGATGGTTCGGTTACCCCCAGCGATTTACGTTCACTTCGCACCCCTCGCTTCACCCCACTTCGAACCTTACACCTCGCCAACCAATCAAAGCCACACTTTCACCATCAATTGCTAAGCACTTGTGGTACGTGAGACCCTGGCTTTAAGGCGCCTCCAAAACAGGGAGGATGAGGTGCGGCGGACCCAGTGTGTACTCTGCGGGAGTTGGTGCGGTTTGCACGGCGCGTTGTGCAAGGGAACTTATACCCACACAAGAAGTGGAATGAATGAATCCATGTGTTTTGCACCTGCCATCTGTCCTGCCTGTCCCTCCTTGCAGGCTATGGACCTTTTGCGGGCATTCTTCGTATGAAAATTGCATCAAGTCCTGTACTCATGTACAGTACAAATTACTCATCGCGCTAGTGCCCCAATCTTTTAAACCTGCGAATCGTAAATGGTCATGCTGGCAAGTACCGTAGCACTCGGCAATGCCTGTATGTAATGAAAAGAGCCTGTGAGTTTAGAACTCTAAGAAGCAACTTCTCACATCATATGCAACGACGATGCCACACCGCCCAAAAGATTCAGTCATTTTGCTTTGAGGCTTTGCATTCGCAACCCCCCCCCCTCCCCCCCCCCCTCATCATTTCTACCCCTTTTCCCCTCAATCGATCAAAGCAATTCCCCGTCTATTGATCAATTAATGCATCCTCGAAATCTTAGCCCGCGGTGCGCTCTGCTTCAGTTCCTTTATCCTTTCCTTCTCGCGCCGCCTTGCCAGCTCCTCAGGGCTCAGCTTTGCTTCTTCCGCCTTCCTCCGCTCCTCCTTCCGCCGCTGCAACTCTTCCTGCCTCTTCTCCTTCATCTCTTTCAGTGCTGCTTCAGCTGCTTTTGCTCGCGCAGCCTCTGCCTTGCTCTTGGCCTATGTTGTCAGGAACAAAGAGGAAGGATTGAGGGAGGGGGAGCAAAGGGGAGGAGGGATAGAAAAGCAGAGAGCAGGTGAGTGAGAGATGCAAGCCTCTTCCCGCACCTTCTCCTGCGTCTCAGTCCCTCTCAGTGCTGCCTCTGCTGCCTTCGCTCACGCTGCTTCCGCCTCGCTCTTGGCCTCAAAAAAGCAGCAAACCCGTCTTTGTTACACAAAAAGGAAAGCTACGGGCACTTTAACGATCTCATAAGTAATTACTTACTAAGAACCTCGTGCTTTGAGACGTCTCAGAAAGGCAGACTGGTCTCAGGGACTGAGGGAAGCAGCGCCTCACCAGAGAACTGAGTCGAAAATTTCCCCACAGCGTCAACAACAAAGGGCACAGACGCCATCAGCCTAGCCAGGTCAGCAGCGTTTTGAGGTGGCAAGGACAGAGCAATCACAGGGTACACATGGTACTGTTCCTAAAGGGGCTAGAACAGAAAAACGTACCTGGGCGCTGAGTCGAAATTTCCCCAGTGTCAATGGCAAAGGGCACTGACGCCACCAGCTTCGGTGGGCCAGCGACTCATGATGATAACAACCAATCAAGAGATTGACCAGAGAGAGAAACATCGGCTCACCTGAGCACTGAGTCAGAATTTCCCCACAGGGTCAATATGAAAGGGCACCGATGCCATCAGCTTAGCCAGGTCAGCAAAGCTTTGAGGCGGCAAGGACAGAGCAATCACAGGTAGGGTACACAGGCTACTGTGCTTAGAGGGGCTGGAAGAGAAAAGCCAGCTCACCTGGGCGCTGAGTCGGAATTTCCCACCGCGTCGATGAGAAATGGCACCGACGCCATCAGCTTTGCCAGCTCAGCAGCGCCCCCCCGAGGGAGAAAGAAGGAGAGAACGGTTACATGGTACACAGGGTACTGCGCTTCAAGGGCGAGAGTGGAAGCACTTTGAGGCGCCTCAAAAGTCCCCCCGGGGCAGAAGGAAGGAGAGAACGGTTACATGGTACACAGGGTATTGCACTTGAACGGCTAGTGTGGAAGGCAGCTCACCTGGGCACCGAGTCGGAATTTCCCCACGGCGTCAATGAAAAACGGCACAGACGCCATCAGCTTCGCCAGCTCGGCAGCACCCCCGCGGGGGAGGAGGAAGGAGAAGCGCAGCACCTTGCGGTGCGCGCCTGCGCCTGTGGGTTGCTGATCCGTGAAGTGTAGCGCGCGGAAGAGAGGCGCTATCTTTGGGAAAGATTTCTCGCCAAAGAGCTGGGAGGGGGGAGGGGGGAGGGGGGGGGGGAGGGGGGAAGGGGGGGGGGGAGAAAGGGATACAGAGGGTCAGAGGAAGGGGGATAGGTGAGAAGGTGTGTGTGCCTGCGCCTGTGGGGTGCTGGTCCGTGAAGTGCAGGGCGCAGAAGCGAGGCGCTATCTTTGAAAGAGAATTTCTCGCCAAAGAGGTGGGGGAGGGGGGGGAGGGGAGAAGGGAGTATGGGGTGGAAGAGGGAAGGGGATAGGTGAGAAGGTGTGAGCGCCTGCTGTGGGGTTGCTGATCCGTGGAGTGTAGCGCGCGGAAGAGAGGCGCGAGCTTGGGGAAGGACTTTTCCCCCGATAGCTGGGGAGACGAGGGAATATGGGGGGTTGTGATGGTTGTCGATGCACTGCTCTGGATGTGGTGGTTGTGCTGGGAAGAGATGGTAGGTCTGCAGGATCTGACACAGTACTGTTCCATCTATGTCAAATCTTGCGGACCTACCATCTCTTCCCAGCACAACCACCAAATCAAGAGCAGTGTATGATAGGCACACGGGCGGGCGTCATCGGAAGAGAATGTTCCAAATGGCCCTGAGCCCATGAATGAAATTCCTCTCACAGCAGATGCAGCACTTGTCCTCGTTCCCTGCAACCCGCGGAAGTGACTTCACAGCAGAAGTGGAAAGCGAGGGGAAGGCGGGAGCGCACGAGGCGAGGGAATGGGGAACAGAGACACAGCCTTGGCAGGAGAAGGGAGTGTGACTTGAAGTAATAACGAGCAGGGGAGAGCGGGGTGTGAGTGGAGAGAGGAGTGGAGGGGAAGGGTGGGGGGGAAGAGAGGGGGTTTGTGAGGAGAAAGGGAAAAAGAGGAGGGAAGATAGGGGGGACAGAGTTTGCTGATATGAAAGGAACAGAAAGAAAAAAAAAAAACCAACAAAAAAACAAAACAAAACGAAAAAGATCTGTGTCACACGCTCGTACCTGATCAATGATGACGTCAGACAGAAGCTCATACGCCGCTTCCCTGCTATCCCCGATAATAGCCAACTCGTCTGCCGCCCACTTGTTCTTCCCGCTGCCGCCTCCCCCCTTGAGTACCACTTCCGCGTCAAGCATGCTCGCGAATTCCTTGAGATCCGCGTTTTCTTTTATAAACGCCTTAGCGGATTTGCGCGGGACTATAGCGAGTACAAACGGAGCCATGTCCTCCTCGTTCATGTACACGTCCACGTCGACTTGATCTTTCTTTGACGAAAGGAGCGCGTCCCATGCGAGCGTCGCGAGATCGTGGCGACTTCGCAGGTTCAAAGTAACCAACATCGCTTCGCAGAACCTTCGCCCGCTCGCGTACAGCTTGAACGTCGCCTGGCCTTCTTTGACGAGGATTGGTTCGCTGGTGTCGCCCGTTCCGATCAGGGCGAAGTTCTTCGCAAGCAGGTTACCCTCCGTCGCAAACTGATTCGCGAAAGAAAGCGCAATCTTTTCGTTCTGCCATTTGCCGACGAAATAGTTGATCGCGAAAATCACGAGGAACGCAAGGAAAACCCCTTCCGCAATGAAGTCCCGCGGGTGGAACGGCTTCCGCGCAACCGACATTCTCCGCGCGCGAGCCTTTTGCGCCTGCTGCTGCGCGGATCCAGGCTTGCCAAAAAACGGCTTCCCGCCGGCCGCTGCTCCCCCGGCACCAGCGCCAGCACCAGGCGTCACCCCTTCAAACTCCTCGTCATCCCAGTCCGCCGCTTGTCCTGCTGACCTACCCCCGCTGCCGCCAGCGGAATCTGTTCCGTCGGGTGCGGTATTGTCCGTTGATTTGGAATCTCGATCAGATCCAGCCGTTGCTTTTGTGCCCTGATCCGGCTCGAGCGTGACGGATCGCGTCGGAGGGCGCTGCGGGGCGACGAATTCCGTCTCCTCCTCGTCAGCTGCGTCGTCAAACTCGTCCTCGTCGAATCCCTCAAGCTGTTTCGCGGAAGCAATGGCGCGCTGCCACGTGGAGGTTGCTAGGAACGCGACAAGCATCAGCGCAAGCCACGGTATCCTGGATTTCTTGGTTCTTATGGATCGACATAGTACTCCAGCCATCGGACCAAAATCACGGACCAGGAAGGAACTAAAGGAACCGTCGATTCTGGACGTGGATGGATCAGTACCTCACACGCTCAGTGGCTTTTACCTGAATAGAAGGTAGGTCAGTCAACGCGTCGCTCGGTGATGTAGATCTGTAACCCAATAACGCCAAGTGGTGACCTCAAGATACGCAGAAGAGAAGATCGAGCAGGAAAGATACGTAATCACAAAATGCGGATCTAACGATGGCTCTAGCACGAGGCGAGTCACAAAAGCACAGGACCAGACTGAAGGCCAAGAAACGTTTCCACAAGGAGTTTGCAAGGAGAGCAAGCAGAACAATTCTGATTTCGAGGCAGAGTGTATTCTCAAGGGACTTCGGGGATGATGGGCGAGCAAGGGCGTGCTTGAGAACCGCCCTTGGAGCAGAAAACGGTTTGTGACTATGAAAACACCTTCTAGGTACGTTTTGAGCTGCAAAGCATACGACCCACAAGGTTCTTCAAGGCACTTCGTACTACGAGTTTGAACGCTAGAAGTAACCTCGAGGTGACACAAAGCTCGATTCCGGATTGGGAGATTGGCGCCGCGCTCCGCTGCGAAGATCAACTTTCGCAGACCAGATACGTTACACGTGAAAGATAATTGATATAATAGTCACACACATAGACCTAGAACTTGAAAGTAATTATCTCCAAGGTAGCTGAGTGCCTATACTATGGTAAAAAACTACAAACCAGGGGGCATACATGAAGCACGTGGGTTGAGCACAATGAAAACAAACAAATGCAAGGTGTTACAATCCCAAGTGGGACTTAGCGAAGGATCGCTCAGGATTGATCGCGGAGTAGTGTTGCAGCGGAAATTTGAATCTGAGGTCAGAGTGAATGTGAATGACTGAGTTTATAATAGCATGCATATATCGAGTTTATATAAGACTACAAGGGAATAGGAAAGGACCTAGACTAGCCATGTACTCTAAGGGCTACATTCCCTTATTACAACCGAATTCAAAAACCGTGCGGCGCGGGAACCCGTTCAAAAACTGTTCCCGCTCTTTTCACTTTAAATGTTTCTGCCTGCATCGGTCTTGATCTTACGGTTGGTGCGTCGCTTCGGCTCTTCTGACTCCTCAACTTCGTACTCGGTAGAGTCGGCTCCTACAGCATGCAGGAATGCCTTCTCATAAAACTTCACATTGTAACACTCCCCTTCATTCCTGGGCGCGGGTGGAGCTGACTCGCTTGACTACTCCGGTGAGATCAGAGCAGTGCTTATACTGCTGACGTGGCAGGCGCTTGGTGAGGAAGTCTGCTGCCATCTCAGTGGTCGGGCAGTAAGCGAGGTCCACTTTGCCTTGGTCGATTTCGTCTTTGACGAAAAAGTACCGAAGCGCGATGTGCTTCGTGCGGTTTACAAATCCTGGCTTGTTCGCGATTTTGATCGCACTCTGGTTGTCGCAGTGAAGGCGAAAGGTAGGCGAGGTTGGAATTTTCGCCTCCTGCAGCAGCTCCTGCAGGTACAGGCCTTCGCGAACTGCTGCTGTCGCGGCGATGTATTCTGCTTCGGCCGATGACAGGGCAACCAACTCCTGCTTCTGGGAGTTCCAGGAGATTGGACCAGTTGGTTCCAGGCGAAAAACGAAGCCGGTTCAGGACCGTCGATTTGCGGGATCAGCTGCGTGGTCTGCGTCCACGTAGCTGTTGAGGTTGAAGGAGGGCGTCGTCAGCGTGGAGTAGGAGAGCCCGATGTCAGGTGTGGAGATGAAGTACTGCAGGGCGCGCTCCAGGTCCAGCTGGTTCTCAGCTACTGGCTTGCGAGAGTACTGCGCCAGTTGGCTAGCGATGTACGAAAGGTCGGGTCGGCAGGTGATAGAGGCGAATAGTAGGCACCCCAACTTCTGTTGGTACATTTGGAGTCCTGCGGGCGACAGAGGTTTGTTGTCCAGTTTGAAGTTGGTGCTCGGGCTACGGTAGGGAGTTGAGAGTGGTGCGGGTGAGATGTTGAAGCGTTCCCCCAGCTGCTCTGCGTACTTGGAGGCTGACAGATGAATTGCTTCTGGCACGTAAGTGATATTTAACCCCAAAAACTGCTTTACTTCGAGGTTGATGGTGATGTCCACGCGCTGCGCCCGGTTCTCCTGAAACTGGTCGAGGAGTTTGTTGCAGGTCCCCGTATACAGCAGGTCGTCTACGTAGACTGTCAGGAGGATATAATCGCCGCTGAAGTGGAGGCGATACATTCCCGGGTCGTGTGGGAGTTGTTTGAAGCCGATTTCGAGGAGGATTTTGTGCAGATGCTGCTGCTAGAGTCGTGGCGCCTGTTTGATCCCGTAGAGTGACTTCTTCAGTTGACAGACCCTGGGATCACCTTCTCCGTAGGTGTGCGGCTGCTCCACAAAGATGGTGGCATCCACCAATGCGTATAGAAACGCGTTCTTCACGTCGATCTGTCACAGTGGTAGGTGCTTCGCGGCGGCAATAGCGAGTAGAATCCGGACCGAGGTATGGCGACTGACGGGAGCGAAGGTCTGATCGAAGTCTATGCCGTGATGCTGGTCGTACCCGCGTACAACCCAGCGTGCTTTGAAGCGCTCAATAGTACCGTCAGCGTTAGTTTTGAGACGAAAAACCCATTTCCCGCTGAGCACCCTCCTCCCCTTCACTGCTGCACGATCGACTAGGACCCAAGTGTCGCGCGATTCCAGTGCTTTCAGTTCCGCATCCATCGCAGTACGCCACTCCTTGGCGTGAGGGCCGGTTAGGGCTTGGCGAGGGTTTTTAGGTTCCACGGTCCGCGCGAGAGTAGAGACGGACGTGTGCAGGCCAAGAAGTTGAAGGCCTGACACGTTGGTGGTGTGTGCGTTGGTGGGGACTTCAATCACGTCGTCATCTCCGCTCTCGTAGCCGGGTGGTGCGGTGCTTGGTTCTGTCTGGCGCCGTGATGGTCCTGGCGCAGGGTCGTCATCGTTGTCATCGTCATCGTTGTCGCGCGGGCGAGGGGGGATGCTGGGATGTTCGTCGGTGTCGTCGCGGTCCAGAACTGCTGCTGCTCCTTCATCTTCAGGGGTCGCGAAGCTGCGGCCGCTGTTGGCGTAGCCGCGTGCGTGGTTACGGCGTTCGTCCTCGATCCACTGCGTCAAGGTGAGCCATTCGTAGAAAAGAATGTCACGCGCAGGGACAATTTCCTGGTTGTCCATGTCAAGGATGAGCCATCCTTTGTGCTCGTGGCTGAGTCCTAGATGAACTCCCCAGCGCGCACGATGAACGAACTTGCCGATTGTGGCCGAAGTGGGCCGATACTGCACCATGCACCCCCAAACCCTTAGCATGGAGGGATCTCCCCTTGAACCGGTCCACTTCATGTGGGGTGACAGGTTATCCCTGTTGGCGGTGGTGGAGAGGAGGTTGTGCAGGCGCACCGCGTGATTCATGGCGTACGGCCAAAATTTCTTTGGCAGGCCGGACTGGTTCATGATGGCGCGAACTTTAGTCATGAGGGTCCGATTGACCCGCTCAGCAACGCCTTGCTGTTGGTGAGCATAGGGAAGGGAAATCTCATGCTTAATCCCCTTCTTGGTGAGCACGCTCTCCAGTTCATGGCTGCGAAACTCTTTTGCCCCATCACTCTGCCAGATCTTGAGTTTCCTTCCCGACTGTCGCTGCGCGTGCGCGAGGAACATACGGAACACCTCCGGGGCTTTGGAGCGGGCGTCAACATTGGCAACCCACACGTGGCGTGAGTAGGCGTCGATGAAGGTCAGCGTGTACTTTTCGCCGTTGAGTCCGTCGCAGATGAGTACGATGAAGTCGCTGTACACCTTTTCCAATTTCTTGTAGCGGTTGGTGCTTGGCTCCAGAGAGGGATAGGCAGTGTGAGAGAGTGCGGCTGTGGGGCAGACAGTGCAAGTGGTTGGATGGGGGGTGGTGTGTTGTAACTCCGTCCCGTCGGGGCGCAGTAGTGCTCCTTGCGGAAAAACTTTTGCACGGAGGCAATTGGTGAGTGTCTGGCGCGAGGGGTGTCCCATCCGCTAGTGCCAGAGGTCATTCTCGGCACGGATGCTGGAGGTGCGCTTGTAGCGGGTGTGGTACTCTGCTGCCTCCTCCGCTGTGAGTTCTGGGATCTAGAGTGGGGGTTCTTCCTCTTCTCCTGGTTCTGCTTCGTTGTTCTCCTCCTCTGCTTCTGCTTCTGCCATTGCTTCCCCTTCTGCAGGTGCCGATGAGAGATACAGGGCGAGAAATTCGCGATCGGGAATGATCGTGAGCGGGGTCGTGGTGCCTTTGATGAAGCGGGCGTACGGATCTGGGCGCGAGATTGGACCGAGTGAGTCTCGCGGAGGTGTTGGCGGTACATTCCCCTTCTCAATCTCCGACCAGGGATCACGCCAGTGATGAGGTGAGCGAGGTGGTTCGGCAATGCGAGGGGGTCAACCGAGGGGAATGGTTACTGGAGGTGATGCTTTGCCGCGCTCAGCTTGCATTTCTTGTGCAGCTTCCTCCAATTCCTCTTGCGTGAGCTCCCCTTCGTCAGGCTCATTGTTTCCCCATCCTCCTGTGGTGACCGTACCGGTTCCCCATGCTCCAGTTGTGGAACCCCAGGTTGCGCCTTCTTCTGGATCAGCGGGCTCGTTGCCCCATCCTCCGCGTGCAAAGTCTGGGTCCTATCCTGCCGCAATGCGCTCCTCATACAGCTTCTGCCGCTTCTCCGCTTGGGCCTTCTCCTGTTCTTCTTTGACACTCAGTTCCTCTGGTGCGTCAGGATCTTTCCAAGCAGGGTCAATTTCGCGGTGGTAGACTTCGCGAGTGTACGGGCGCGGACGTCCTTCTTCGTCGAGAGTGCGCGCGTTGGCTTCCAGGACGAATCGTAGGGTGTCCGAGTAAGGCCGTGGACTCTCCTGCTGTTCTTGGCCGAATTTCTCGCTTGGCTCACCGAATATGCGGTGTGATGATATG